CATTTTTGTGTCAATGGAAAAGTTGTAGAGAATCAAAAATCAAGCTTATATCCAAATTTCCAAAAAGATACACTTAGTAGTTTCGCTTAAAATGCGAGTTTTGTGAAAATTCGAATATCTTTATTTAAAGCCATTTACAAAGAGAAATCCCTGTCTAAATGACTCGGTGTTCTTCGTGCGGCCGCGTAATCGCTGGATACTGAAATGAACTATTGGGTTGGTGAATTGAAAATTGCCGGCTATTGTCATATGTGCCAGTTTAAGCACTTTCTTCAAAAGAAACCCATTTTTGTGTCAATGGAAAAGTTGTAGAGAATCAAAAATCAAGCTTATATCCAAATTTTCAGAACGATTCAAAAACTGGTTTTCAAGAAATGTCAAATTTACGATGTTTCACAAAACTTGCATTTTAAGCGAAACTACTAGGTGTATCTTTTTGGAAATTTGGCTATAAGCCTAATTTTTAATTCTCTACAACTTTTCCACTGACATCAAAATGGGTTTCTTTTGAAGAAAGTGCTCAAACTGGGACATCTCCAGTCCTCCATTTTTGAGTCTCACACTTGTCTCACACACAAACCAAAATCCAACTAGAATCCAAAATCCGAAAGAGGAATCCACAAATTGCCTGTAAAATGGACAGAAATCGTCAATAATAATGGAAATTATTTCGAATGAATTCATGGTTTTATGTTGAATAAATTTTAGTTCAAAGTCCCAAGTTTTCAATTCACCAAAGTAATTCAATTCAATTCACCATAAACGTATCTATAACAAATAATATTGTAAAAGTAACTTTTCAAAGTCATTTTTAGAATATAGATCTGTGTGGATGTAGATATTTTAACCCTTTTTTTTTAAACCCTTTCCTTTTTCCTTTTCTTTATTGATCTCTAAATGAGGTTCCAAAGAAGAAAGAGCTCGTTTTCGGGGTAAAAGAAAAATTGAATGCCCTCCGCCATTCATTCCTCGAAATTTTTCAACTTTAACCTAACAAAAACAACCAAAACTTTTGAAAGAATTGAAAATAAATCGTTTTTGATTTAAGTTACCAGTCAAAAAGAAATATTCTAAGCAATTTGACAAGTCAATAAAGTTCTAAAAAAGAACTCAAAGAGAAAAATCATTCTTCAAACAGTTGCTGGTATTATTTTGAAATTTGTTCAAAGAATTTTTTTAGATTATCACGAAAAGACAAAAGCAAATAGCAAGAGATTTCTCTTTTTTTATACTTTGAGCATATGTTTGTCAAGTGAAAAAGAAAAGATGTGATGTGAATGGTGGATGAATTTGTGTTGAGAAAAAAACATTGGCCAAGCCGATTCCCTAGAGATTCTTTCCCTCTACTCACTCAAAAAAGTTGACGTGTGAAATTTCTCTAACCACAAGTTTCTTTAATTCTAAACCATTTCAAAAGTTTTTTTGTCTTTTGAGAAAATATGGATTTAAATAAAGTAAAAAGATTTGAATAGCAAGAGTTATAAAAAATTTGTTTGCCAGTGATCGACACTGTAGCTTATAGCTCACTATAAGATAAAAGCAATATACTAAAGATATTCAGCTTGATTCCTGTAAGATTGGTTAGCTATCTACTATATATAAAGAGAGTAAGACGTCTGTCTGCTGTCAGGCTGTCAGTCTGTCTGTCTATCTGTCTGTCTATCTGTCTTTCTGTATGTCTGTCTGTCAGTCTGTCTGTCTGTCTGTCTGTCTGTCTGTCTGTCTGTCAGTCTGTTCTGTCTGTCAGTCTGTTCTGTCTGTCAGTCAGTCAGTCAATCTGTCTGTCTATCTGTCTGTCTGTCAGTCAGTCTGTCTGTCTGTCTGTCTGTCTGTCAGTCTGTCTGTCTGTCAGTCAGTCAGTCAATCTGTCTGTCTATCTGTCTGTCTGTCTGTCAGTCAGTCTGTCTGTCTGTGCACTACTCCTCAGCCTCCAGAGGACCGTTTCAAATTATTTATAATTAGTTTGGCTTAGAATTTCATGTAGCTGTGCAACATGTTTTAAAATTTTTAAAAAACCAACCAACCAACGCGGGCGGGAGTTGAACCCGGATCGTGTACGCTAGAGACAAGTGCGCTCGCATTGCGCCATCGAGTGGCCTAGTGGTTAATGCGCGCGTCTTTCAAACGAACGGAAGAGAGAGGTGACGGGTTCGCCTCCTCTCACCACTAATTCTTTTGCTTTTTCTTCCAGAAATTTTTTTTCTTTGCAAAGCTTCTGGTATCAAGATAAATAGATTCAAAAAAATGATTTAGAGCCAGAAAAAGCTTAACAAACAGTGCCAAATAAGACATTCATCGGTAGAAAGATCGATAGAAAGTACAGAGATTGAAAACAATCAAACAAATTGAAATAAACAAGGGGAAACGATTGGGAACACATGAACTCTTCACAACAGAGAAAAGCAATCAATTTTGCTAACTTTTAACAAAGTAAATAGCGAATAGAGAAGAATAGAGAGACCCAACCGGAAACATCGACTTTCCATCCCCATTCCCCAGCTCATATATCAACAAGTGACACCTCGAAAAAGTTTCCAAATCACTTCGAGAGAAAGTAAATGGTGTGTAAAAATCGAAAAATCTTTAACTTTTACCATTTATAATTAAACAATGGTGCATAAAAAGGTTCATAAAAAGCAAATCTCTTTTAATCTTTTCTTCGTCTTGCCTAGTATTAGCTCAAATCAGGCAATTAGCTCAAAATTCTACTATTAATAAGTCTAGTCAAAGAAATTGAAAGAGACATCAATCTTAACTTACTTATTCTTCAGGCCTTTTATTTCATCAAGCAATTCCGATCTAAAAAGGTTCATAAAAAGCTAATCTCTTTTAATCTTTTCTTCGCCTTGTCTAGTATTAGCTCAAATCAGGTAATTAGCTCAAAATTCTACCATTAATACATCTAGTCAAAGAAATTGAAAGAGACATCAATCTTAACTTACTTATTCTTCAAGCCTTTTATTTCATCAAGCAATTCCGATCAAAGATTTTTCTTTTTAAGGTTCATAAAAAGCAAATCTCTTTTAATCTTTTCTTCGTCTTGCCTAGTATTAGCTCAAAATTCTACAATTAATACATCTAGTTAAAGAAATTGAAAGAAACATCAATCTTAACTTACTTATTCTTCAAGCCTTTTATTTCATCAAGCAATTCCGATCTACCGAATCAAAAACTAAAAGCTCAAAATAATGTTAAGAGATAAAACTCGTCGAACGTTGAAAACATCTTATAAATATTCAGTCAGTCTTTGTCTAAGTGTAATTATTGAAAAGACAAGAAAGAGAATGAGAAAGAGAGTCAAATGGAAAGCGGATAAATGGCGTCAATGAGGAGAAGGTGATGGGGATGTTTTTGCAAGAGAAATGGAGGGATATAGGAGCAACGATCATGACACCCCCTACCCCATCCCTTCCTTTTCTTCCTTTTCTTTCTTCCTTCATTTCCTCTTGTCAATCAACTGGCCATGTCCACCGAGTTTCTCTTGAACGACTAACATATAAACTTTTCATTTTTTTACCACTTTGTGAGCTATTGGGAAAGTAATTTTTGATCGTTAACTCTTTCTGGAGTCAACGAGAGCAAGTCCCTTGCTAACCATTGGTCTAATGGTTAGCACAGTTGCTCGGTAAGCGAAAGGTCGCAGGTTCGAGTCCTGGTCGGGCAGAAGATTTTTGATCCAATCTAATTCCAACTTGATATATGTTTTTGTAATGTTTATATATTGTTGGCAAGTGCTTTACAGAACTAAGCATCGTACAGTAAGTAAAACTAGTCACTTTACATTCAAAAAGAGCTATGGTATTGTTAAGACTTAACACACTTAACTAGTAAATGATAAAGTAATTATTATAATTATTATAGAATACAGAATCCAGAAAACTTGATTCACTTTTCAGAAAAATCATTGGTGTGCCTTTTCTTATCCTTAAAGCAAGCAGAAATAAAAAAAAAAACTTTAAAGGATACACTTAACTAATAGGTTGATGCAAAAGTCTTTTCGTTTTTTTCGTACTTCTGTTAAAAAGTAACAAATTCACCAATTAATCTATAGTTTGCTCTATAAAAAAAGTGTTTTTTTGTTCAATTTGCATCTTTTTAAATGAATTTCGGTTCACTTTCAAGCAAATTCGAGAGTGAAAAACGCCTTTTTCGTAAAAATCTATAAAAAACTCTACGGAAAAATTGGCTGAATGAATTTCTCTGAAATTTTGGCGAAATATCAAACGTTTTTTTCTCTATCTTTTATCTATTGACACGAAGATAGGTTTTCTTTAGCTAAGGTGTCTAAACCGCATCATCGAGTTAGCCCTTTTTGACTACCCGACTTCATACTCTCAAGAAAATCCAGGCATTAAATATTTTTAAACCCGTTTTAATGTTATTTTGCAGAAAAATAATTGGGTTTTCTAATGAAATCAACCGTAGTTTAATTGGTGCATTTGTTGGCTTGAAACGGCAGACGAAAAGGAACAAAAACACTTATGCATCAACCTAATAGTAAATGATACAGTAAGTATTATAATTATTATAGAATACAGAATACAGAAAACTTGATTCACTTTTCAGAAAAATCATTGGTATGCCTTTTCTTATCCTTAAAACAATCAGAAATGATTCTCTTTAGTAAAAGGTCTAACCGGACGGAAATAGAGTGTGAAAATTGAAAAATGATTGTGATGAAGAGAAAAAAGAAAACGAAACAAGAGAAGAAAAAACGACGAGATGTTCAGAAATCAGTAATTTCCCTGAGGCGTCACTTTTTTATGTGGTTGTCGGCTCTTTGAACTCTAAGAAAGAGGGAAACACAAGAATAATGATAAACCAAAAAAAAAACAACAAGAACCCTCACTTTTAGACCGATTTTTGAACCTCTAACCCTGGAACGAGTGTCAAATGATCATTTGCCGTTAAAGATAAGATTGAAAAAAGAAATTTATTTATTTATTTGAGGGATTGAGAAAAAAATTCGACTTTTCGAGACGACTCTTTCACGACGATTAGCGGCAGAACTGCTTCCTGAAAAACTCCTATTTCTTTTGTTTTTTTTTGTTTTAGAAAAAGACAAGACCAATTTTTCTTTCCTAAATTTTTCGAAAGTCATTATTTAGGATAAGGAAGTTTTCAAGAAAGAACGAGAATTTGGACTTGAAGTTTTCACTTTTTTTTTCCATCTAATCCGATATATTTTAGTATTTTAAAGAAGTGAAACTGAAAGATTATTTCTCAAACTCACGTGCAAAGTTGTGTTTGCAACCAGGTGGCAGTTTGGTCACGTTTGGTGGTAGCATCAAAGACACAATTCGCACCACCAGTTAGTGTCGACAATTTAGTAGTATCAGCGCCCGCATTCCACTATAACAAGCAGAAATTTAGCCGTTTTAAAACAATTTTAGAATAATTTTAGAACAATTTTAGAACAATTTTAAAACAATTAGCTGGATTACGGTATTCAGTCTAGATTAGGGTATTCAGTCTAGTTTAAGTTATTTAAGTTATTCAGTCTATTTTAAGGCATTCAGTTAAGATTAGCTGGGTTACGGTATTCAGTGTAGATTAGGGCATTCAGTGTAGATTAAGGCATTCAGTTAAGGTTAGCTGGATTACGGTATTCAGTGTAGATTAGGGCATTCAGTGTAGATTAGCTGGGTTACGGTATTCAGTGTAGATTAGGCATCGTCTATTTTGGATTCAGTTAAGATTCTGGTTTTTCATGTAGATTAGGCATCAGTGTAGATTAAGGCATTCAGTTAAGATTCGCTGGGTTACGGTATTCAGTGTAGATTAGGGCATTCAGTGTAGATTAGCTGGGTTACGGTATTCAGTGTAGATTAAGGTATTCAGTGTAGATTAAGGCATTCGTTAAGGTTAGCGGTTACGGTATTCAGTGTAGATTAGGCATTCAGTGTAGATTAGCTGGTTTACGGTATTCAGTGTAGATTAGGGCATTCAGTGTAGATTAAGGCATTCAGTTAAGATTAGCTGGGCTACGGTATTCAGTGTAGATTAAGGTATTCAGTTAAGATTATTTTAGAACAAGCCGGAAAACAATTTTAGAACAATTTTAAAACAATTTTAAAATGATTGAATCAAAAGTTGATCTTATAGAGCAGTTTTTAAATGTTAATTGTAAATGAAAGCTGAAAGAACTCTCAAGAAAGACATGGCTTTTGTCAATTTTTGAGATAAATATCTTTTTTTTACCTTAACAGCAACAAAATGAACTCCATAAGTGCTGGCGATGGATTGAGATAGTGCTGTTGGGTCTTGATCAAAGCTAAAATCTTGTCTTTATTCTTTTCTCGATTTTTCGAAATCTTTTTCTTTTTGATCTTTTCTGATTTTTTGGATTCAGCTGAACGAATTCAGCTGAAGCGTGTGAACTGACAGATGGCTGTTTCTCTGTTTCTTATCACCAAAACAATTGAATTTTTGTGCAAAATCTCTGTTTAACACAAGAAATCGCAAAAAAAAAAAGAACGAACTTTGTATTGCCAGAGAGGTAAACGACAAGTTTGTTTGGAGTTGGATAGTTTTGAACGAGGAAAGTCGAATTGATTGCACGGAGAGCTCTGAAAAATTATAGATATTCTAAAATTATAGATATTATAGATATTCTAAAATTATAGAATTATAGATATTCTAAAATTATAGATATTCTATTCTATTCTAAATCTCTATTTTATAACATTCTTAACTTTATTTTAACTATTTTTTTTTCTATCTTCTTAAAGCCTTAAAGCTTCAACTCACAAAGCCAGCGTTTGCCCATTGCTGGCATCTTGAGTCAAATAGCCGAGCGTTGAAAGGAGTTGCTTTCGGTTTTGGTTTGCATGAAAGCCTGAAAATTTGAAATCAAAAAGGAAAATCTCTTTACACAAATCAATTTTTTTTTCTAAAATTTAGCTATTAAATTAAACCAGTATAGTAAAGTTGAGCATCCAAAGAGATGGTGACAAGTCCAAAGTTCACATTGCTATCTCCGAGTGGGTAAACGCTCACAAAGGATAGGATTTGTTGCTTTAGCTGAAAATCTAGTGCATCAGTTCTAGAGCTCTAAAGCTGTTTTTCAGTTTCATAAGCTTCAGAATAGAGCTCTAAAAGAGTTTTGATCAACTTACGGTGCTGAAATCAGTTGGGGTAATCGATGTGGATGTGTCGACGATCAAGTAAACGTCAAAGTTTGGTGTGGTCACCTGAAATGCTTGTTATAAGCAGAAGATTTGATATAAGTATTCAATTTTATATCAAATTCGATTTGGGCATCAATTTTTCCATTAAATCTTATCAACTCACCGGACATGGAACTGATGGATTTGGAGTGGGCACAGTGGTTGGCATTGGGGTTGTTGGGGGAACGTGAGAGTTGCTGTAAATGTCTATTATAAAGCTGGTTTCTTAGGGGTAACTGTGGCGCAGTCGGGACTCACTGTGGCGCAGTCGGGAGCCGGCTGGGCTGCAGCCCACATGATCCGGGTTCGAACCCGCCGCCTAGCGTTCAATTTTGAATTTTTCAATTTTTATCTTAAATGGCACAACTACAATATATTTTAAGGTTTTCTAAGGAAGTTTTAGCTTTATTCGTCAAAAGACGGCCGAGAAAATGCCCGTACAGATAGACGGACGGATGGATGGACAGACGGACGGATGGATGGACAGACGGACGGACGGATGGACAGACGGACGGGCGGATGGACAGACGGACGGACAGACGGACAGCCAGACGGACAGCCAGACGGACAGACATTGCTCTTTTATATAGTAGATAATGTTCCTTTACTACCGTAAACTCTTTTAAAAGCTCTGATTTTAGCCTTTCAATATACATCTTTCGAGCAAAAACTCACGCGCAAGCATTGTTCTGAATCCAGAGCTGAGCGTAGGGAAGATGGTCGGTGTTGTAAGCCCAGAAAACGTCACTAAATGGGAAATTTTAAAAATCAAAGCTTTATTCGACTAACGTTTTGTCTCCAGCAAGTTTCTTTGTATTTTCGTAGTTGTTGCGAATCGCTTGCTCACCAACTCCAACCACCAAAATCATGTCGAACTAAAATTTGTTCAACGATTTGTTCAACGCCTAGAATACAATTTAAACCTTTGCCCTAACGGTGTCAAGCTGTCGATTGAATGGTGATTGTCCGGTGAATCTAAAAATCAATTCTGTAAAATTGAGTTCTCAAAAATGACGCACTCATCTCCCTCAATGATGACAAGAACTTTCTTGGCGTTAGCGCGGAAACCGTTTGCAGCAGTCACGTCAGTCTCCTCTTGACTGATGGCTCTAAATTGAAATGAGTATCAGAATTTCACTATTCTATACTGTTGCAAGACTCTGTCTTCAGTGGCATCGTATTGCAGACCGCCAATGGCTTGTTGAAGAGCGCTCAATGTGTTGAGATCTTTGAGTAGACCAGCTGAACGGACTCGTGTCGCATAGGTGTAAATAGCCATCTAAAAGCTACTGGTTTCCATTAGGATTCAAGAGCTTTCATCTATCAATTTCCAGAATACATTCTCTCATCACTTTTAAGTAGAGAAAGGTGGCTTTTTTTGAGTCGCACTTAGTGAGTTTGATAGAGCTTTGAATGAGGATTCCGAATTTGTTTTTAGTTTTCCCAATGGAGCTCTGTATCGCAAGATAACTGGCATCAAAGTTCACCCGAAATCCGACAGTATTTCAGCGCAATTCCCTAGCAGTTGTGGTCTAGAGGTAAGTCGATTGGAATCCAGTCAGTAGAACCCTGGTTCGATTCTGGCTATCGAGTCGCAAGATTTGATAGCCAGAACCGAACTAGGGTTCTTCTGGCTATCAAGTCGCAAGATTTGATAGCCAGAACCGAACTAGGGTTCTTCTGGCTATCAAAAAGCCATCTTGTCCTGCTGTCTTTCCCTAGTAAGCACCTGTGATGCAGTTGGACCGATTGTCAGTGAAGTGGACATGTTGAGAAGAAGTTGCTGAACCGCGTTGAAATCATCTTGACTCAACGCCTCGGAAACGTCAATCAGGAATACGAAATCGGCAACCAAATTCTAAAATGAGGAACTAGTAAGAGAAACTTTGTTAGACAAACTTTTGGAGCACAGTTTTGATTGACGCAAACACTCGTCCCATAGATCACAGAAGCCAAGGCTGAGAATAACGCTAAGAAACGCATATCTGAAAAAAGAAAAGTTTAAGGAAAATATTTCATTTTCAGGTAAAAGGAAAATTGCAGGGCGAATTCAGAAATGGCTCTGAGAGAGAGAGAGGCTGTGGATCTTGAACCGGGTGTGCGCTGATAACACTTTTTCGGGATCCGGGCAGGGCACTAAAACAATGACTCTAGAAGTGATAAATTATAGAATTTCTAGCACATTTTTTTAGAGAAAAATTAAGCAAACTGGTTTTTGAGTGCATACGGATGTTGGGAAAAGAAATACATTTTATTTGTTGTTTAATTAATGAAATTTCCTTTGTGGGTATAACTTGGCACGTTTTTTTTAAAATGAAATTTTTCTTTAGTTAACAACTTCAATCATGCTAGAGATTTACCATTTTTTTTGATATGATTTGTGCTTATTTTATTGGCAGAAGTTGAATGCTTCTCTCAAAGAAAATCTCCGGAAAATCTTTTGACGCAAACCAATATGTCAGCAATCTTTTGACCTCTTCAGAATCAAAGCGTTTGTTCACTAAATCATTGCCCAAATAAATAGTAATTGCCATCATTGCCATCATTGATAAGTAGCAATCAGAAGCTGGAAGTTAGGCCATCACTTTCCATCCAAGTAAGTTTATTGTAGAACGAGTCATCTTCAAAACATCCGGTCTAGCATTATCATGTTAAAGAATGATTTCTCTTTAAGATCTTTCTCTGGCAAAGATTTGGTTGACTTGTCAAGTTGCTTCGAGCATTTGATTAAGTTGAGTGTTGTCTTGGTATCCAAAATTTCCTAGTAGGCTTTCCCAAATCCCAGAGCACCGAGAGCATAAACTTCTCATGTACATTTGGCTTGACCTTTGGTTTTGGCTTTGCCCTTCAACCAATTGGCACTTTCTCCGAAAGTTGACAGTTAGAATCTATTTTCATTTCTGTCACAATACAGGGTAAAAAAGATTTGCGCTCGTCTTGAGAAAGATGAGTTGGATTGGTTTCTGATACGTTGCCATTTCTGGGTGTTCGTTAAATCATGTGGAATCCAAGTCCCTAATACGGTTTAAACCCAACGAGTATTAGTGTCGGATCAAAGAAAGTGTTATCAAGATTTATTGGTCAACGTAATATTATTGATCTTGATGATCTATTTAGATCTATTTAGATTTATTTAGATCTATTTAGACCTATTATTGATCTATTTAGATCTATTTAGATCTATTATTGATCTATTAAGAGCTATTATTGATCTATTTTGATCTATTTTGATCTATTTTGATCTGTTTAGATCTATTATTGATCTATTTTGGTCTATTATTGATCGATTAAGATCTATTTTGATCTATTTTGTCTATTTAGATCTATTATTGATCTATTTTGATCTATTAAGATCAACATGACCATATTTTTCCCCTAAATCATTGTGCATTTTTCTTTTTTTTTCCTTTTGCATATCATATAATTTGAAATTTATTTTCAAAAATAAAAAAACAAATCCCGATCGCAAAACATGACCATAATTTCGGATCGGAAATTTGATGTGAAAGGAGAGAAAAATTTTCGGATTTGGGGTTTAGGAGAAAAAGGGACGGGGGAAATGTGGTCTGGCAAAAAAAAAAAAAAAAAAGAAAGTCTCACAAAAAAGCAAAACGAAAAGAAAAAAAAGACAATACAGATTCCTTGCTCGAAAGAAGAAAACACTCTTTTTGTATGTTTTGTCTTCAAATTTTCTATTAAAGATATTGTAATCTAATTGTTGGGACTAGGTGTCGCTCAGCGACTTTTTTAACTCAGCGACTTTAACTTTTTTTCACACACCGGTCTTTTTTTTCTATCTCATAAGATTTTGAAAGTGTTTTTTTTTTAAAAAGGTTTAAAAAAAGGTTTAAAATTGTAAATTTGTAAGCTAAAAGGGTTTATTATTATTTTTTTTGAAAGGAAAAATGGCAGGAAGTTAAAGGAAGTTAAAGGAAGTTAAAGGAAGTTAAAGGAAGTTAAAGGAAAGATTTAAACGGTAGAAATAAACGTAATAAACGTAAACGAATACCCTTTTAGCTTAAGAAGGTTAAGAAACTTAAGAAAATTGGTGTGGGGATTAAATCGGGTATTTTCTAGCAACACATGGCTTTTCTTCTGCATTTGTCCTCAATTTGATGGGGGAGAAACAGTGAGCAATGCACTTCAAGGGGAAAAAAAGAGAAATGGGGGGGGGGGAAATTCTTTAAAACATATATAATAATTTACTAATACAATAGAAAAAAGATTTCTCTCAGTGGGAAGAGCTCGATAGCATTCGGGGCATACGGTAGGGACTGACTAATTCGACTTTCTCTGGCTTGTGCTTTCATCTTTCTTCTTTCTCATCTTCCTTCTTCTTTCTCATCTTCTTTCCTCTCTTCTTTCCTCTCTTCTTTCTTCTCTTCTTTATCCTTTCTTCCTCCTTTCTTCTTTCGTTCTTCTTTCTTCCTCCTTTCTTCTCTTCTTTCTTCTTTCTTTCTTCTCTCTTCCTCCTTTCTTCTCTTCTTTCTTCCTCCTTTCTTCCTCTTTTCTCCTATCTTTTCTCATCTTTCTTTCATCATCTTATCAGAAACATCATTTGATTACCGTATCTATCTTCCTCCTTTCTTCAGAAGAAAGGAGAAAGAAGAAATGAGAAAGAAGAGAGGAAGAAGAAAGAATTTGATCTACAGTAACCATTCTCTTTTCTCTCAAAGCACGCCATTCTAGCTCTAAACTCTTCAAAAAACGATCTAAATTAGATTTTTCTTAGTTATGTCACCAGAAAAGAAATCACATCTCAAAAAATCAGAAAAACAAGAACCAGCCGTAATCCGTGTTTTGTGCTAGGGCCTTAACAAGAAAAAGAAAACTTTTGAGAGTTGAACTGAATTCAAAAAAATTCTAAAAATATTCTAAAAGTTCAGCTCTCAAAAAAATGACATGAAATATCAAAAAAAGCAAAAAAAAAGAAAAAGAATCACTATCCTTTCTACGAAAAATTCTCTAGGCGGTACCTTTTTGCATGTACACACGCTTTGTGGCGCCGTTTCGCCACCGAAAAATCATTGGGATTTTTCGAATCAAAGAAAAAGAAAAAGTGGATTAATTTTATCTTATCTTTCTTTCTTTTTTCATCAACTTTTGACAACGTTTTTGTTGACGTTGACAGCGTTTTTGTTGACGTTGACAACGTTTTTGTTGACGTTGACAACGTTGACAACGACAACGACAACAAATCCACTTTTTCTTAAAATAAAAATGAATTTTTAAAAGAAAAGAAAGAAAAAACACCGGGCTTACCGAAAAATAATTTTTTGACAAGGATTCTTATTAAAAAAGAAAAAGGAAAAGGATTAAAGACTAAAAGGAAAAACTAAAAAATTGTTCGAGGCAAAGAAAAATAAAAAAAAGAGAAAAAAAAACGGCACAAATACTCGATTTCGACACACGATTTGATTTTATAAAATTCAAAAGAGAGAAATGGTATTTGAGTTTTGAAGAAGAAGGATATTATAGCTCTAGCTCTAGCTTTTTTCTCTCTAGAACTATAGCATTTTGTTGAAACGAGCAAGGAAATGGGGTAGAGTTTTCGAAGATTAAAAAAATTTATAAAGTGGTATCGAGTTGAATGAATGAATGAACGAATGAATGAATTGGGGGAAAAATTGACCGATTTATTGTTGGGTGCGGCTACGTGGACCCGCCTTCACGTCGAAAAACGTCTAAACGATTTTGATTCTCGTGACGCTTCTTGAGAAAACGTTTTCCTACCGTAAATACTGTAATAGTGCCCCACCCGCATAATGACGGTGCGGAGTGTTGCGTAGTCTAGCTTTGAACGAGTTTTTCTCGACACTGGTTTATGCTACAATCGCGCTTAGGTATCAAAAAATAGCCCTGAATTTCAGCTATTTTTTGATACCAAAGACGCATTTTTTGAAAGTACGGGCGCTTTGAAAAAATACTAAAATGAAATACTAAAAAACTTTTGCGACTACGCGACTGTACGAGGGGGGTGGGGTACTATTACAGTATTTACGGTAAGAAGCTTTTCCTAAAAAGAGCTTTTAGGAAAAAGCTATCATAATCCAGTTTCCCTACGCTACGCACAATAACTTTTCACAGCTTGATGAGCGCTAGAAATGAAGCACTCATCGAGAAAGCAAAGCGAGAAAGAGTGAGATTTTCTTCTCAATTACCGTACCCAGACCCAGTTGCCTAGAAGTTATCCAGTTCTGGAGTACTATAGCTAAAACTCACAAAGTTCTATGAGTTGGAACTAGGGCAGATCAAAAACTTGTCCGCCGCCGGGACTCGAACCCGCGACCTTCCGCTTACCAGGTAACTGTGTTAACCATTACACCACAACGCACTTGATCTGCTTTATTCCAGAGGGAGTTAACTGTTTTAGCAACATATGGAACCGTCTCGTTCAAACGGGAGGGAACTTAAGTCCCTCTGAAGTAAGGGCGATCAGATGCGCGGTGGTCTAATGGCTAGCAAAGTTGGGCGATAAGCGGAAGGTCGCGGGTTCGAGTCCCGGCCGGGCACAGGTTTTTGATCTGCCTTACTTCCAACTAATGTTACCTAAAACTCTGTGCTTTACTTTTTACCTTAAAACAACATAAAACCTACAGCATTAGATTTTATGAAAGGCAGCGTGTGCGCCATGAGTTTGCCCGTAGGTGTTCGGCGCGTACACAGTGTTCCCGTAGGCAGAGACATCAGAGCTGAAAATTTCTACAAAAATCCAAGAATTTGGTCGCAACGATTGCCGTTACTTACCCCATGGCGTAAAGAGCCGCGTCGAAACCCGGGGCTCCCCTTCCCACCGACCCCGATCCAGGGGATGAAGGGATGGCCGTGTAGTTGGGCATGTTGAAGACTGAAAAGGAATTTGCTTTCAAAAATCTCAGCAAAAAAAAAACGAGCACAACTCTTTCTCGACTACACACCCACAAAACGGCTAATGTGTTGTTGTTTTTTTGCTTTTTTTTTTTGCGCCAGCGCCGGAGCCTTCTAGTAAGGCCTCTAAGGAAACACTCGAGTGATTGAATTTTTATAATTTTTACAATTTTTACAATTTTTACAATATTTTAAATGACTTAGAAGCTAGATTTATTTAAAGATTAAACAAACGGAAACTAGTAAGTAATTTAGACTGTTTCTTTTTGAGGAAAGAGTTTTCTAAAAGGTGGAAGAGCTATGGAATAGACGGAAAATTCCACCTACATTTTCTCAACAATTTCTTAGCCAATTGTTCTGAAATTTTGTTTACAAATAGGAATTATCATTCTCTCTTTGTAGACAAAAATTTCAGAGCAATTGGCTAAGAAATTGTTGAGAAAATGAAGATAGAATTAGGATCGAGTTTGGAAAGATTGAATTAGGTTTGGTTTGAAATTTTTCCATATCCATATCCATTTTTCCATGTCTATTTCCATAGCTTAAAGCTTTTTTTTTCATAAAGATTGCATTACAGTAACTTTTAAGGAAACTTTTCAATTAAAAGAGTACTGTGAGCTGTAGTTTTTTGATTGAAAAGTTTCCGAAAAAGCTAATTTGGTGGGGGTGATTTTGGAAGGAGTGACGGGTAAATAAAAGAATAGGAAAGGAGTTCTCGATCCAAAAAAAAAAGACGAAAAACAATATTCACTCGAATGCTTGTTGTTGGGTGGCATGCGGACTGCCTGTTGGGGCAGCGGAGTGTGGGTGAAGACCTTGAAGGCCGGGCGCTGTTGCGCCCATCGGAAGCAGCAGTGGACCCGCCGCCGCCGCTGAAAATTTCTCTACCGGTTAGCCTTTTTTTGTTGGGGTTCTGCACCTAAATCCCTCTATTTTTCTACTCGAAAAGGAAATCGTCGGTTAGTACGTTTTCTACAATTTGCAAACCTTCCATTGCATTTGTGAAAAAGAACTTGAAATAAATTTCTCGGCTACTCCGACTACTGAACGTCGAACACTACCGTACTCTCTTTGCTGGCTTGCTGTTTTGAAATAAAAACAAAAAGCTACGAACGCGCTACAGCTGCATTATAAGAACCTAGTGATTGATGGGGAGACTTTTCAAAGGATTCTTTTGAGATTTGAGGGGAGTGGGACAAATGCGATTTTTTTGCGCACCCGGACATTTGCGCACCTTTTTTTCCGTACTGAGCCCATTAGCGCACCTTTTTTCGCGTTTTAAAAAAGCTCTAGAAAGCTAATATTAACCATTTTCTATTCCAAAAGTTGTTTTTCTAGGTAATTTTAGGGCGTAGAATCGAAATTTTGACAGAACAGAGCTTGTGGAAGCGAACGGACGGAGTTATACAAAGAGGAAAATCTCTAAAAGCTAATATTAACCAATTTCTATTCCAAATGTCAAAATTTCGATTCTACGCTCTAAAATTACCTAGAAAAACAACTTTTGGAATAGAAAATGGTTAATATCATCTTTTAGAGCTTTTTTAAAACGCGAAAAAAGGTGCGCTAACGGGCAAGGTGCGGAAAAAAAGGTGCGCAAATGTCCGGGTGCGCAAAAAAAGGTCGCATTTGTCCCGCTCCCGATTTGAGATTTGAAGAGCTATTGTTTAGAATAGAGATTTGTTTTTTTAAATCATTGAAAAGTTTCCCCAATCAATCGATGCAACACAAAGATAGAATCGCGCTTTTCTACTAAATACGTCTATTAAATCTCTATTCAAACAATGATATTATTTGAAAATAAGTTGTTTGTTTGAAAAGAGTTTGTTTAAACGCTTGTTTGAATAGAGAAAAGACACAGAAAAGCCCCATATGGAGGCTGGCCTTCGAAAGGAAATCTCTCGCAAATTCATAAAAAGGAATGGTTAATATTTTTGAGTTAAAAATACTGTAAAGTCTCATTTTCTTTTACTAAAGTACGCCTAAAAGTAAAAGCTAAAAGTCTACTAATAGGTTGATGCAAAAGTCTTTTCGTTTTTTTCGTACTTCTGTTAAAAAGTAACAAATTCACCAATTAATCTATAGTTTGCTCTATAAAAAAAGTGTTTTTTTTGTTCAATTTGCATCTTTTTAAATGAATTTCGGTTCACTTTCAAGCAAATTCGAGAGTGAAAAACGCCTTTTTCGTAAAAATCTATAAAAAACTCTACGGAAAAATTGGCTGAATGAATTTCTCTGAAATTTTGGCGAAATATCAAACGTTTTTTTTCTCTATCTTTTATCTATTGACACGAAGATAGGTTTTCTTTAGCTAAGGTGTCTAAACCGCATCATCGAGTTAGCCCTTTTTGACTACCCGACTTCATACTCTCAAGAAAATCCAGGCATTAAATATTTTTAAACCCGTTTTAATGTTATTTTGCAGAAAAATAATTGGTTTTTCTAATGAAATCAACCGTAGTTTAATTGGTGCATTTGTTGGCTTGAAACGGCAGACGAAAAGGAACGAAAAGACTTATGCATCAACCTAATACAATTGATAAGTAGTTAAAGCTGAATATCGTTTGAATTCTCTTATGAAACTAAAAAAATCAGAAAACCAGCTATGAAAATGATTCTCTTTTTTACTGTAGCAAACATTAGCTAAAACTTTACAGTATTTTAAAGTCAACCAGTTAATTAGATCAAATCAGATGTTTTTTTTCTTGTTATCAAATGGAATCAAACAGAAAATCCGAGCTTTGTAAATGAAAGAAGACTTGGACTTGGTTAACGGCGAAGGTAGCGATTATCGAGCGGGGGCCAAGTTTTTGCTCAACTTGCAGCCCGATTTTATATAAGTTTATCTTAATAAATTTTAATCAAACAAATAGTTTCTGAAAGCTGATGTTTTAAGCTATCTAAATCTTATTCAAAACTTCCTGATTTAACAAGTTTAAGGTGCTTAAAAATGAGCTGCAAGTTGGCCAAAAAAATTGGCCGATAATCGCTAATCGATAATCGTTAAAGATCCGAAGACTTTGACAGAGTTTAGCAAAAAAAAAAATTCCTTAAATTTGCGAGTGACAAACCCAACGAGAAGGCCTTTTGCTAGAAGAAACCTGTATCTTTGAAGAGAAAAAAAAGAGAGAAAACGTGGAAATAAGTCACCTAGAGGAGCCGGGCCGGGAATGGCGGACCGCCTAGAAACACTCTTTCTCCAAACATTTCTTTTGATTTTTATTCTACTTAAAATTTCAACAAGTAAACCTCTCCGTTTCCCACTTCCAAAGAAAAATCACTGAACCCTGAAATTTCTTGCTCACCATTTGTCATTGTTGGGTAAACCATAGCATTTGGATAGCCAAAGCGTGGTAGATAAGAAGCATAAGCTGAAAAGAATTTTATTTGATCTTTAAAAGACTTTTAAAATACTTTTAATATCAAATACAATGAAGAACTCATTGATTTTATAATATTTTCTACAAAATGACTAACCAAGCAACTGTTCAGGCGCTAACCCGTAGAGATTTCGAGCTGCGGCAGCTCTCGACTTGTTCAACTGCACTGGCAGCATCACCTAAAGTTTAGAGATTGATTTGAAAAGCAGATTTCATTTTATTTCATTTTATTGCAATTATTTCCTTTCAATTTACCTCTTTTGGTTGAGCTTTTTTGCATTCAACCATTTTCCCGTTGATTTCATGAAAGTGGATCTCGCAAACCTTATCCGCCACCTCGTCACTGTCAAAAGTGATAAAGCCAAAGCCTAGAAAACGATAATTTCATTGTCATTCTTTTTTTTTCTTGAATTTCTTTAAAATCGAATCTCTAGATACTAAAATACAAGTCATTTCTTTAGAGTTTAATCTCTAATCTCTCAATCTCAATCTCAATCTCAATCTCAATCTCAATCTCAATCTCAATCTCAATCTCAATCTCAATCTCAACTCAATCTCAATCCAATCTCAATCTCAATCTCAATCTCAATCTCCATCTCAATCTCAATCTCAATCTCAATCTCAATCTCAATCTCAATCTCAATCTCAATCGCAATCTCAATCCCTTTCCTAATCTTCCCCGCAATCATTCACCCCTTAACTCCTCGAAAATCCATCAAAACCCCGTTCGACTCTACTTCTATTTTCATATCACTTGTAAAGTAAGCTTTTTGGTTGAAAAAGCTTTTTCGGCAAATCTGGGATAATCTGGGTGAAGATTCGAGGCCACTTCACCGGCCTCTCATCCATCATCTTCCCATATGTCATTCAGCATGTCAGCGAGCCCCTTCACCTTCCCTTTTTCAGAAAAAAAAGAAAAAAAAGCCGAGCGAATCCTTCTCATCATCTTTATGCAAAACGGTCAAGAATTTGCTTCGATATAGGATATAGATTTGTTGAGCTTGATTGAATGGATTCTCTGTCTCCTTGACTCTCCTTGGCTTCCTTGGCCTCCTAGGCTTCCTTGGCCTCCTAGGCTTCCTTGGCTTCCTTGGCTTTGACTTCTTGTAAATAAATACCTAGCTTGTTTCAACTAGATCATTACTAGGTATTTATTTACAAGAAGTCAAAGCCAAGGAGACCAAGGAAGCCAGGGAGAGTCAAGGAGACAGAGAATCCATTCAACCAAGCTCAACAAATCTATATCCTATATCGAAGCAAATTGTTTGTTTCAACTAGATCTAGATCCTATTTTCATTATCAAGTTATTCTTTTGAAGAGTTAGATTAGTTTGAGTTAGATTTGAAGCATTCTTTTTTAAAGCATTCATTTTTAAAGAATTCATTTTTAAAGCATTCTTTTAAAGAATTCACTAACCCTAAACTTTTAACTACTTCATTTTCCCCCTTCCTAACACCTCTGGAAAGAGGGGTAAAATTTGAAAAGAAAATCACGATGCTTCTGCGTATAAGTGGAGAGATTGGAGGGCCAAAGTGGGAAGAGGAAAAGTGGGGCCAATGCGCGAGTGAAGGGGGGGGCAATCAAGCCCTCACCCAAAGATTTGTTCTGCTTATTCTTCTCTTCAACGATTTGGCCCCGATTTGGGGCTCTCTCCATATTGCCCACCCCGCACCTACATAGGCCACTACTTTTCCATTGAAGCTTCTGAAGATTCAAGAGAAAAGCTTTTCCTTTCTCTGGACTAGTCAATGAATGCAAATTGTTCTCTTTTGGGTTTTATTTTTAAGAAAAACCTAGTATAGTTGATTGAAAATTGATTGAGTTTTAAGAAATTGAGAGAAATAAAGTAAATGTTTTTATCTTCAACGATTTGGCCCCGATTTGGCCCCGATTTGGGGGCCAAATCGGGCCAAATCGGCCAAATTTTTTTAATAAAGCAAACCTCTATGCCGTTGTGTCGTTTTATCAAACATCAACATCGCATCCTCAACCTGAAAATCTTTGTAAAAAAGAAGAAATTCTAATGTATAGAAACCTTTCCATACTGTTCAAAGTAGGTCTTCATATCCTCAAGTGTCGATGAAGCCGAGAGTCCACCAATGAACACTTTCTTTGTTTTTATCACCATCTGAAAGGATTTTTATGGAAACATTCTTAGAGATCCTTAGAGATTCTTTGAGATTCTCTCCAATAAACGAATCTGTTACCGGGGTTGCAAGGGCCATTCTTCGAATGAATAAACAGAAGTTAGCACTACGAATTTAGTTGATCACTAAAAAGATCTTATAGAGGATCTTATAGATCTTTGAAAGCTTTGAAAAGATTGGAAGCTTTGAAAGGATTGGAAGCTTTGCAAATATTGGAAGCTTTGAAAAGATTGGAAGCTTTGAAAGCTTTGTAACCGTTGGAAAGCTTTGAAAACTTTGAAAGCTTTAAAAAAACTTGAAAGCTTGAAAGCTTAAAAGCTTTAAAAAAACTTGAAAGCTTGAAAGATTGAAAGCTTTGAAAACTTTAAAAACTTGAAAGCTTTAAAAAACTTTCAACTTTCAACTTTCAATCTTTTCAAAGCTTTGAAACTCAAGTTGGTAAAGACAAAAGGTAGATATAACAAAGACAAAGCAGTCAAATTGGAGATGAGAAGAAGAAAGAGGAAAAGAAAGGATTGTGGTAGATGTGTGGGTTGAAGGCATGGATAAAGAAGGGCACGGGAGGGGTGCTCGGTGCCGATGAATAAAAGATCGTCCCTCTCCTCACTAAAGACTCGCTCCGACGCGCAAATCGCTCAATTCTCCCTCACCTCTAAGGGGAATCTCTAGGCTTTTTTAGTGAAAAATTTAGAAGAAATTGAGAATTATTCTAGAAATGAATGAATTGATTTACTGATTTCAATTAATATCAAAGCTTTTAGACTATCCAGAGTCTATCCAGAGTCTATCCAGAACTCTTAAAGGATCAATTAGTTTCTGGACAAATGACTACAATATTTTAGCAGTAAATTGATGCTTTAAGAGTTTATTTATTCTTACTGAAGTTTATAAATGATTGTAGCAATAATGATTGAGGTGAAGAACTCGGTTATGTCGATGCAACAATTACGGCATCTCGGAGGCCTAACCCCCGGGCACCGGAAGCTCACCGGGACCACTCCATTCCCCCCTCTTACCCTAGCCTCAATTTTCAATCTATATTCCCAAGAACTTTATCCCCAAAAACACAATGCTTTATAAACAAGTAGGGGAGAATGATTCTGCAGAAATCCTCTCAAATGCAGACTCTATCTTGCTTTTTTTTCAATGGTCTCTTTCTGAGATTGACATAAGCGATAGGAGGAAAGCGGCTTTTTGGCAGCCTAGTGAAATCGCTAAAAAGTTAAACGATAATAACAATTTAAACGAAAATTCAATTCTTAATAGTTAATATCATAATCTTTTTTTTCAATGGTCTCTTTCTGAGATTGACATAAGCGATAGGAGGAAAGCGGCTTTTGGGCAGCCCAGTGAAATCGCTAAAAAGTTAAACGATAATAACGCTTTAAACTGAATTCAATTCTTAATAGATAATATCTATTCAATAGTTTTCTAAGATCGGGGCAGCAACACGCGTAAGCCGGCGCGTTTTCCCACCCACAAGACTGGGGGGGACCGATGGATCGGGCAAGAAATTGGTGTCAGATATCAACGACCCTCTCCTTTCCCTTTCCGCAATCTTTCTTCATTGAAAGCGAATACGAGTCTCTCTATTCCTTAGATGGTTTCCTTTCTTCCAGATTTTGATCAAAATATTCCCAGAAACCTTTTAAAGGGAAGAAAAAGAAAAAGCCGGCATCAGATTTTCAGTTTCGTTCAGTTTTTGGAGGAATCAGAAACTTTGAAAAAGAAGAAACGAGAATCAAGAGGTGGAAGTTTGTAAGCAGTTCTTGCACACAATGAGGCTTTAGAAAAGAAGCAGTCTGAAGCCTATTGAGGAGCCGAATATGAAAAAAGGGCGGTGCTTTCATATGGGCTTGGTTGAAGAGAGAGGTCCTCAAGGGGCCACCCAAACTTTCACCTAAGCAATCAACTATATGCTTTTTATCTAAGCTTTACAAAGGATTCTTTTATAAAACTATTAATGTTACCAATGAAAGCTATCTAGTTTACAAAGAGCCAAAGCCAAAGCCATAGCCAAAGCCTAAGCCAAAGCCAAAGCCTAAGCCAAAGCCAAAGCCGTAGCTAAAGCCAAAGCAAAAGCCAAAACTAAAACCAAAACCAAAGCCAAAGCCAAAGCTATTAGGCTCAAATTAGTTTAGGCAAAAATGGAAGGAAAAAAGCTTTAAGAAAGGCATGGAACACAGGACTACATGGTTTAAAAGATATGAAAGTAAAAGGCTTTAGTTTAGAGATCGAGTGATGGGGCTTAAACCTATGAGGGGCTTAGGCAAGGAGGAGTTAGAAAGAAAAGCGTGAAATCGCACAATCCCTCCTCCTTTTCGTCTTGCTTCTTCTTTTTGATGATTCTTTACGTCTTGAAGGCCCCCAAAGGCTCAACCTGGCGCCGTGTGCGGGAGAGACAAATGGGCCGTCACTGGGGCCCTCTAGCCTTTCCCCCAATCCTTTCCCCCAATCCTTTGCCCATTTTTGGGGGCTTTGAGAGGAACGGAGATTTGTTTCCCTTTTCTCCTCCAATCCTCATCCCATGAATCATCCCTTTTCTTCTACAGAGCTTTAATAAGACTCTAGGGAGAGAAAAACAAAGCAGGTCAACTTTTTTTTTGATTTGTTTATAACGCCTTCTAGGATCGACAATAAATAGTAGCATAGAAAGGGGGTGAAAAGGGGTTTCTTGAGATCAAAAGGGGCAAAAAAGCTGCAGAATCAATCTGTCCTCTTGGTGAATTGCCAGAGCGTCTGTCTCTAAAAGTCTGTGCCAGAGCGTCTGTCTCAGAGAGTCTCTCTGTCGGTCGGGGTTCGACCGTGCATCCACTTTTTTTGGCTTTCGTTCTCAAATGAATGCTTCCTTTTGGCTGTTTTGTTTTTGGCCCTTAGTTCCCAACGCTTATTGGAGAGATGATTTTCTGAAGCCAAGTTTACCTTTGTTTGTGCTCGCTTTGGGAAAGCCACTTTTGGATCGATCTGTAAGTTGTCTTGTTAAAGAACAAATGATAAAAAAAAACCTTTTTCCCGTCAAGCTCGTGATCACTTACGGCGAGCACCTTCTCGACAGCGGACGCATCGGCAAAAGTGATGAAGCCAAAGCCTCTGAATAATTTTTTTTTAAATTTAAATTTAAATTTCAATAAAGTGTCAATTTTATGTATTATTATAGTATTTGTTTTTTGGAATTTTACCGGGCTTTTTTCGTGACAGGATCTCGCATCACCATGCACTCATTCACCTCGCCAAACCGGGCAAAATAATCACGTAGTCCTTCTAAATGTTTTTTTATATAATTAAATACTAATTCTTTGCTTTCTTAGCTCTATATAAACCAAAAAAAATCTCTAAAAACTTGCTAAATGTAAGAAAACTAACCGGCAGTTGTCTGCCAACTAAGACCACCGATGAACATCTTTCTAAAACTGACAAAATTAGATAACTAAATATAAACTATATTAAAATATACTATATTATTTATAAATCTTTTAGAAATATCATGCTTTCTATCTAACAAAGGAATGGTCTGAGCTCAAAGTTTGGAAACACAAGTGGAAACTTTTGGAAACACAGTCCTTAATATAGAATCGACAATGGCGAACAAAACGCCACAAAAATTACCCGCTAATAGTCACGGAAACGCGAGGAATCTGGCATGCAAAACTGATTCCTTTATAAAGCTTCTCTCGCTGCCGGGCCGAGATTAGCTCGTCGCCTAGTGGGATAAAGTCTGTGCAACTTATTTATGCTCTCGGGTTCAATTCCGCCCACATACAAATTTTTTCTTTTTTTTCTGGGTTTGCATCGACGTAACCACTGGAATGCCAAGAAAAATGACGAAATTTCTGAAATTGAACTGACTCAAATTGTTTATGGGTGATTGAAAGTAAACTTTTATATATTTTCTCGTTTTCCCGGTTGAAAACTTATATCGCAGAGTGTTCCATAGGCAAAAATGTTAGATTTATTTTATTTTATTAAAATTTACTTTGCTTTAAAAACGAAATAGTTCCAAAAATCGCAAAAAAAAACAAGAAACAAAAAAATTTGCATCTGTGGGAATTGAACCCGAGAGCATAAATAAGACCATCGTTTCACGGACCTAAGCCTTTATCCACTAGACCATTAGACTCATCTATCCACGGCAGCGAGAAAAGCCTTATAAAGGAATTAGTTTTGAATCCCGATTGTGCAGATTTCTCCTTGGCTATTAGCGGCCAATTTTTGTGGCGTTTTGTTCGCCATTGCCGATTCTATATTGAGCACTGTGTTTCCTGTCGATTCCAAACTTTGAGCTCAGACCATTCCCTTGTAAGCAATCTTATGAAAAATTAGGGGCTACAAGCACGCAAACATATATAAACTGGAGCTAGCTGAAAAGAAAGTCGAAAAGTTTTCAAATCCTCTATGCTAAAAGCACGACAAAAAGCTTCTATAGATTAAAATAGTCAAAGAGGTACTAGTACAATCCTAAAGAAGTACAATATTAGAGAGTCTTTCTATATTTGGGGAGTATGCGTGCCTGTTGCTCACCCAGTCACAAACCCCGGATCCTGCACGGGAGAGCCGCCGTCACTCTCTGCGTTTAGACGAGCTTCTGAGCCTGATAAAAAAATAAAAAGTTATATGAAAATTATGATCTAGAAACTGTCATTCATTGAGTTAATAATCAAAAACGAGAAGCCGCTAACGTCATTTCCTACGGATTTTCAATAAACAAGACATATATACCGTATTTTCTCTAATAGTAGTGCATCCTAAATTACTCGAAATCTTGAGAACCGCTTATCAGAACCTATTGATGTCGGGTCGGAAAATGTAGCTGACGATGAGATCTAGTGGGGAATTTGAGTGTTGAGCTTCTGCAAAAGCTTGGAAACCGTAAAATAGTCACTAACTTCAAGTCACAGTCCAGTCACAGTCCAAGTCACAACTCGGTTCGCTGGGGTGCACTACCATTAGAGAAAATACGGTAACTTTAAAAGGTTAAGTATTCTTCTTCATGTAAGGGGATATTACACTATCTACGGTATGTTTTTCTCTAAATAAAAAGTTTTTATTGCTCAATTTCGATCTTTTTAAGTCAATTTCGTCTCACTTACAAACAAATTCGAGAAAGAAAACACGTGTTTTTCGTAGAAATTTGTAAAAGCCTCTACGAAGAAATTGAGTGAATGAATTTCGTTGAAAATTTGACTATATACTAAACTTTTTGTGCTCTATCTTTTATCTATTTACACGAAGATAGGTTTTCTTAGAGCTAAAGTATCATTGCATCATTGAAGCGTCGCTCTTTATGACTATTATGACTTCGACTTCTGGCTCACAAAAAAATTAAAAATTAAACATTTTAAAGCCGTTTTAATGTTATTTTGTAGAAAAATTATTGCCCTTTCTAATGAAAAAAAAAGCCGTAGTTCAATTGGTGCATTTGTTTGGTTTTAAACGGACGTACGAAAAGAAACGAAAAGACTTATTCACCAGAAAACAACCTTGAGTGATTGCTGTTTAGATGCTCTTGTAACCTTCTTTGCTAGCTTTATACATTAGTATATAAAGCTTATTAAACAAAACTAATTGTAGATGTGTTTGGTAGATTTTGATTTGATGAAAGTTTGATGTAAATTTGATGAAAATTTGATGTAAATCTTACCGGCATCGTCATGACCCACAGAGGCACTGCCGCCCGAGTCGGTCCCGTGCACCGACTGGCTGTTCTCCATTGCGCCTAAAAAATTTTAAAAGATTCATAATCGTTAACAATCTTCTATAAATCTATATAATCTTCTATATAATCAATATTCTGTCTAGCTAAATGAATTTGAAAGTTTGAAAAGCCTTTAAATTAGATACATCGTTCGATCATTAGATCGTTGATCTTTGTGAATGAAGATGAGTGACTAAGAGTCATGGAATGGTCCTCAGCACACGACTGAGTGACTATGGAATGGTCCTCAGCACACGAATGATGTGCTTTCTATTTGTATGTGCATGGTACCCTGTTCATGAGCCAAATCTTTCTAGGTGTTTGCCGGTGACTAAAATGAGTCACCGTCGATTGTTCTCCGCCAAAAACTTATTGAATAACTCAAATAGACAAAATAATCAAAAAAAACTTCTCTTGGTTTCTATTGATTATTGATTTTTGATTTTTCTTCAATGGCTTAATGCAGTGATGTTCTACGGTTAAAAGATAAAATGGGGTAGGCTAATTTCCGTCATTTTATTCGCGCAACTCGCCATAACTTTCTTCTAAGTGGGACAATCTTTATGATTTTGGTGTCATTTTGTTACACTTATTGAGATCTACAAAATGACACCAAAATCATAAAGATTGGCCAACTTAGAAGAAAGTTATGGTGAGTTGCGCACAAGACCTAGTTGCGCAAAGTAGCCACTCCCGTCTTTATGATTTTGGTGTCATTTTGTAGATCTCAACAAGTGAAACAAAATGACACCAAAATCAGAAAGATTGCCCAACTTAGAAGAAAGTTATGGTGAGTTAAGCAAAAAAATTTTGCGCAAAGTACCCTATCCCATAAAATGGGGAACAAATTAGACTTTGGTTTATAGCTTAAAGCTACAGATTTATAGATTAAAGCTATCGATCCATAAATCAAAGCTATAATATTCATATCTTTATTATAGTTTATGAATAAACACTTTGCCATGTATTGATTTTTTTTTTTAAAAGATCTAAACGACTGACCTGTTCCTAAGCCAGCTAAAAAGATGGGCTGCTGTGCCGCGCCGCACACAGACGAACCCGAGGCTAACACTAGGTCCCTGAAAAGTATTGATTAATAAAAAAATATGTTTTTCTTTTTAAGCTTTTATATTAGGCATTCAATGAATCAAAAAGGAGAGAGGGCAAAAGCCAAACTTTCATTCATACTATCAGACTTTTCTGCGTAAAGAGAGGGCTCGGAGAAACTCAATAAACGTCGCGAAAAATTGATAAACCAGATAAAAATAAAAATCTCCGAGAAAAGAAAAAAAAAAGGGAAAAGGGAATGGGGATTGAAATGAAACGAAACGAAAAAATCAAGAATACAAGACAATTTCAAAGAAGGGAGAGCTCATTTTTGAAGTTTAGTGAATCAAATTTTTAATGAAATGATATTGATATTGAATTTTACAAGGGAAAGGTCTACAAATAGGGAAAGGTCATTGAGAAGAGTTCAGAGGAGAGAATTTTTTGTATTTTTGGGTTTGTAAAAACAACCCAAAAATGGGAGAACTCTTGTGGGATTGATGGATAGAGGAGCGATCGAAAACACGTTCAATTCCCTCCCCCCTACTCTCCCAACTCTCCCAACTCTCCCAACTCTCCCAACTCTCCCTACTCTCCCTGCGAATCGTTGCGATAACAAAAGAAAACAAGATCATGTCAAGAAAAATGCGTTAATTTTTTGAAATTTCTTTTTGAACTATTGAGTAGTTTTGTGTTCTGAGATGAAGGAGAGAAAATGAAGTGGCGTGACTCGTTAAGAAATCAATCCTTTCAAGGGTTCACAAGATTTTCTAGCCAGTTTTTTATAATAGAACTAAAAAAAGAGGAAAAAGAGATGAAATAGAATACCGTAAATGCTGTAATAGAGCGTCGCGTAGTCTAGATTCCTATAGGAGCGTCGCCTAATCTAGATCCCTATAGGAGCGTCGCTTAGTCTAGATCCCTATAGGAGCGTCGCTTAGTCTAGATCCCTATAGGAGCGTCGCGTAGCCTAGATCTACTCTCAAACGAATGCTCATAACTTGACACCAGTACATTTATTTCTGCGCACTTGAGTCTCAAATTAAAGTAGAGAAGATGAGTGACTTTTTAAAGAAAAAGCAAAAAATTTGGCAAGTAAAAAGTCGTAGATCTTGAAAAAAGTCAAAGTACGTTTAATAAGTTAATAAGTTTTAATATTTTAGTTTTGTGGGTTTATTAGAAAAGATTGGAAAAGATTGGAAAAGATTAGAAAAGATTGGAAAAGATTGGAAAAGATTGGAAAAGATTAGAAAAGTGATTCGTTGCAAAATAAAATTTTTGAGGGGAAAAGTAGCTAAAAATTACGTGAGAATTTCGCTATTTATGAATTTTTCCTCATTGGAGTGATGTTTTTTTCGTTGCCGCAAAAGAGACGGCAATCGATATCAGCGACTCTCTTCACATTTTGTGATTGATCGTCTTTTAAAGAGTTGAAGCAATTTTTTTCATTTACAATCTTTTGCTTGCTCAAAAAAAATGTAAATGAAAAAGGAAAAACGAAAATGGATTTTTAAACACTTTAGATCTATTCTAGTTAAATTTAATTTAATTGAGAAATGAGAAAACTAAGGAAACTAACAATTTTAATAAGAAAACTAACCAATTTTAATGAGAAAACTAGCAAAACTAACAAAATTTAATGAGAAAACTAAGAAAACTATCCAATTTTAATGAGAAAACTAAGGAAACTAACAAATTTCAATGAGAAAACTAAGAAAACTAGCAAATTTCAATGAGAAAACTAACAAAACTAACACAAAAACCTACCACAGAGAATTTGCACTTATCTTTCCAACAAAATCTTGAAAAGGTTTTTGATTTTTCAAGGAAACTTTTTGGGATTTATCTTGCATTTAACCATGCAAGAGAGTGAGGAGAAAACTGCGTGTCTTCAAGAGGAAAAATCTCTATTTTCGCTTTCTTTTTTTTTCAATGTGTTTTCTCTCTGTGCCGAAGCGATCTCTCGTCCCGATTTTTGCTGTGTTTGCCCCATTCGCGAAAACTCGTATCGATTTCTAGAGAGTGAAAAAGTCGATGTGATTATCGACTTGAGAATTGAGAATTGAGAATTGAGAATTGAGAATTGGGAATTGAGAATTGAGAATTGAGAATTGAGAATTCACAAATCGGGAAATGAGTTGAAAAATTCCCTAAAAACTGAAGAGAATACGAGAAAAACCTAAAAACTGAAGAGGACTTCAAAATTCGGAAGAAAATCGTTTCTTTGCTTTCTTTTTAGTGAAAATTCTTTTAATCCTAAAAGGTTAGTAAGATAAAAATATAGAAATCGATGATTGATAGTTAAAATTTGTAAAGAAAACAAGTTGATGAAGTGGAAAAGTTTCGGGATAGTTGCTGGAGAGTTGCTGGAGGATGAATTGTGCGTGTGCAGGGGTTCAGGTTTGAAACCGAATGCCGAGTGTGTTGGGTGGAAACGGAAAAAAAAGGAGGAAAACGATTGAGAGAAAAAGCGAAAGAACACAAGGGAAGGGTCCACCATGGCATTTTCTGCTAAAAAAAAACGTAGAGAAAGGGGTTTGAGGAGGGGGTGAGGGGGCTGTGAAGGCTGTGAAAGAATGAGAGAGATGGGATGGGGGAAAAGGGAGTGTGATGGCCGGCAGTGCCCAACCACAACAAATACGCTGGCTGTCCAGCGTGGCCAGGTATTTGGGGGGTTAGACAAGGACTTTTTGAATGAATCTGTGGAATCACCTGTTTGCAAGGGTTCTATTGTCACTTGATGAAGCTACCTTTGCCTGATTGTATCAACGATTGTCAGATTGATTGATTTATTGTTATTTTCATTTTTTCTATTGTCAGATTTATTTCCTCAATCATTTAATCAGTTAGATCTATCTTCTTGTTCTTTTCGTTCTTCTAAAAGGTTGGTTATTCTTAAAATTCAGTTACCCTAAAGTCTCGAGTATAAGTTCATCCGAGTATAGGTTCTACCTTAATTTACATTCGCTTTAATTGCTTTGAATTTCTTTTTGTTGGGTTTTTATTGTTATATAAACTTTTATTATTGTTCTTGGAGCGCGGGATACTACAGGGTGACAGCCTATCACCATTGCTATTTGTTATGTGCATGAATACATCCAGACGATAGTGTTGAAGAAGACGCTGGAAAGCATCTCTTTCGACCGTCGACGTGGACTTTGGCCCTTTGGCCGGATGAAGAGGCCAGGGAGGGATCCGTAAGACTGAGCACCGGAGAGGAGCAGAGCGGACGCGCCAAGCCACGCCCGGAGCAACAAATAACAGCATAAAATTGCTATAACCCTCAATAAATTTACTTCTATTATTGTTCTTAAAAAGCAAAAAAGTTATGCTGCAGCGGGGTTCGAACCCTCGACACACCGCACCGGAGACAGCCGTCAATTTGCATGCGAAAACCAAACGGAACTTATACTCGCGACTTTAGGGTATAATTATTTCTTTTTAACAAAACAAGTCACAATTTTGATATTTTACATTATTTTTTATGTTATATTGTTAATAAATTGTTGAATCTTTAAATAATTTTTAATTTTTTTAAACTTTTTTCAGTTTATCACTTTCTTTAAGGATTTTTTTTACAAAAAATTGTGAAAATGAAAGGAAAGGAAAGGAAAAAAAGTTGATTAAAATCAATAAAAGATTACCAATGATAAGAACCGTTTAAAGAATAATATAAAGAATAATATATAAAGATCTTTTTTTTAAAACAATTTTCTAATATAAAGATCGACTATTCTGATCGACTTGCTCTTTTTGACCTTAAACCCTTATCCCATCGCCGCATTTATTTTGATTTGGTCTTATGCTATAAAATCATCTTCCCTCCTAACTCTCATCCGGAACTTAAAGGACTCTTTAAGATTTCGAATCACGCCAGAAGAACTCGTAGTCACAACTTTCAGATTACCCCCTTTCAAAGCTTTCATAACCGCCAACTGTATCATTCTTTTGCTTGTCGTGTTCCTCGTATTTGGAATAAGTTACCTTGTGATATTTTTTCGTCTCTGAACTATTTTAAATCCTCAATATATAAGCTCGATCTTGTAGCTCTGTCAATTTTAAATTAGTTTTTAATGTCATATATACACGTGTCTAATTGTAGTTGTGTTTGTATATCAATTATCTTTCTTCGTCTACGCTGTTCAATCTGTTTGCATTGTCACTTTTCCTTGTCGGATAAAGTATATATATATGTTGTGTCCGATTTAGATTTCCGTCCGATTTAGATTCAATCTAAATCTTATATGGATTGAACAATAATATAAACATGCTTAATATATGTTCTTAAGCGTTTTCTGTAGTTTTCTGCATTTTTCAAAGGTCTTTTATTGATTAAAGTCTATATCGGACGTCCGATACAGATCGAACAATAATAAACGTGCTTAACATATGTTCTTTGAAAATTTCTTTGAAAAGCGCAGAAAATTGCAAAAAAACGCTTAAGAACATATATTAAGCACGTTTATTATTGTTCGATCTGTATCGGACGTCCGATATAGACTGTAATCTAAATCGGACGTCCGCGATAAGTTCAATCTAAATCGGACGTCCGATTTAGATTGAATCTAAATCGGACGGAAATCTAAATCGGACGGAAATCTAAATCGGACACAACATATATATATATAAAGAAAGAGATTTTCTAAAGAATTTCTAAAGAATTATTTACGAAAAGAAATGAATGAAATTGAATGAAATGGAATGGAATAGAATTGAGATTTTTGTGTTGGAAACGATTCTCGACGCGTCTTCAATCATCAAAATTTTCCAAACCACCCATTAATGTTCGCTATTTTTCCTCGAGAGCTCTTAAAATCGATGCTGGAAAATCCTACAAAAAAACAAAAGATTTGCTTACCAATTGCCTACAGCTTTTATTTGCTACAGCGATTTATCCTGCTCTCCGTTCTTAAACCCCATTTTTTTCGATATTTGTTTAATGAATTTGTGGCCTTGAAAATACAAAAACACTAAAAGATAGTCTCTTTTGCCCTTTTCATTTTGCTCTTTTTCTTTTCCCCTTTTTCTTTTACTCTTTTTCTTTGACTCTTTTTCTTTTGACTCTTTTTCTTTTAATTTTGTTTTTCTCTTCTACATTTCAACGCCTCGATTTGGTGAAAAGCGAGAAAAAAAACTTGTTTACGCATTTTTCTGATCTGATCGCTTTTCAGTGCATTTACTTGCACGAATCTTCATTGTTTTGTGCATGTGTAAAACTGAAAAATCTTAAACTTTACTCTCATTTTTCTTGAAAAGAAGATCTAGATGAAGGAAAATGATTGAAAAGCTCGAAACGGTGTGTGAAATTCGGTCACTATTTGCACGAAACGTCGCAGAGAATAGCGCTCAAAAAACGACAAGATTCGAAAGGAGGAAAGGGTGAAAAAGTACAAGGATGATTGGGAAATTTTGAGGATATCTGGGATTTTGTCGTTTCTAGCAAAAATTGTTTCACAAAACACTGTTTTTCTGTGGTTTCTGATCAGCACGCGTGCAAATCTTTCCTTTTTTCGCGCTCTTTTCACCCTTTACAAAGGGTCAAAGCGAATCGCCGAATCGTCAGAGTCTAGACAAAATTCATGGTATGGTTGGACAATAGTTGGACCGTCGGGTTGAGGGAAACAAAAAATGAGCGGTGCCGGGATCCGAACCCGACCTCTAGACCCGTCGACCTGCCGCTTACCAGCCGAAAGCTCTACCAATGAACTACACCGACACTTGCCACCTTGCCGCCAGGAGGGGTTTACTTCATAGCTGAGTGACAAATAAAGGTATTCAAGCTTTTATGATCTTTATCCAGGCTTTAGAACTTTAATTTAGCTTTGTGATAGCTAAGAATAAGCTACCGTAAATGCTGTAATAGTACCCCATAATGACGGTGCGGAGTGTTGCGTAGTCTAGCTTTGAACGAGTTTTTCTCGACACTGGTTTATGCTAGCATGTGCGTTTTGGTATCAAAAAATAGCTGAAATTCAGGGCTATTTTTTGATACTAAAGACACATTTTTTGAAAGTATGGGCGCTTTAAAAAAATGAAATACTAAAAAACTTTTGAGAGTACGCAACTGTACGAGGAGGGTCGGGTACTATTACAGTATTTACGATAGATATCTGACTGTTTTGACTGTTGTTTGTCTCTTGTTCTCAATTTGAAGCACTTCAAATTTTAATGATATTCAGCTTACGATTAGACTCTATAATTTAAAGTTTTGATGCTGTTTCAGCTTATCAGCCTAGCCAATCAGCTATTCTCCTAATCGAGTAGCTACAATGTTCAAAAAAAAAAAATCTTATTTTGACTAACGCAATTTGTTGTTTACTTAAAAGTGCAACACAGATTATCGAAAAGGAAAAGAAAACTCTACAAAATTCGACTAAAACAGCAAAGATTGAGTGAAAAGGAGAGAGAGAGAGCACTCTCTTGAGAGTTTATCCTTTTATTGAAAACAAACACTTTCTTTCTTCTTCTATAAAAGAAATTTTAAAAATGGGTTGAGAAGTGAAGACATTGATCTCTTAATGAGAAATATTTACTTGATCGTTTAGGAAGGGGAATGACCTTAAAGGATAGAGCTATCTGAGCAGAAGCTCATCTTTTTCTACTTTAAAAAATTCTTTGATAACCAAGAGTAATTTTTGCTGTACCTTATCGACGAATAAATAGTTCCTTCATCGAAATGACTAAAAGTCGTCAAAGGTATCGAATTCACGTCTTAAGCCCTTTAAAATCGAGCTTTTTAAACCTTTTTTTTACCGTTGGATAGCAAGCTTTATCTAATTTTGGAAAACGTTTGAAAAAGTTGATTTTAAAGGGTTCAAGAGGTGAATTTTTGCTGTACCTTATCGACGAATAAATCAAAAATGCATGTTTTAGTACCTGGTGTCTATTTTTTTCACTTGGAACGGTAAATTTGTGGAATGAGGGAATCGAGGGCGCAAAAAACATTCATTCAAACACACCGCAGGTAGATGAAAAGAATTCAGAAAAAAAAAGGGGACACCTCGAGTTCCGGTAAGGGAAGAGCAAACATCGAATGGGAATGAGACCGATGAGGTGCTCGAAGTGGGAAAAGTGGATATGTAAAAGAGGCAACGAAGATGCACGACTCGCTGTTTAGAAGCGGATATCCGTCAAGAAGTAGAGTGTGTTCGATCAGACCCAATTTTCCGAAAACTAGAAAACATCTTGGCTAGCTAGAATTGGGCCTGGCTTGATTGCCTTACAACTTACAGCTCCCTAGGTGTCTTTTTTTCTGTCTGTCTGTCTGTCTGTCTGTCTGTCTGTCTATCTGTCTGTCTTTTTTAAAAACTACCGTAATCTTCTCTCAATTATTGTCTAATCTTAAACTATTTTATATAAAAAGATATAAAAATAGATAGATTATACAAAACTAGCAATATTGTTTAACTAGCAATATTGTTTAACTAGCAAAATTGTTTAGCTAGCAAAATTGTTTAGCTAGCAAAATTGTTTAGCTAGCAACAAAACTAGCAAGACAGCAAGAGCAAAGTTTTCATTTTTTAGAAAGCGCTTAGTCAAAAGAAACAGGTTAAATAATTTTTTTTTCGTTTTTTTTTATAAAAACTAATCTAATGACAATGATTCAGCATTAAAATCAGTTTTATGAAGTCATTTTAAAAACATAAAAAGAGCAAAGACGGTGAATCAGATTTGTGTCTTAAAATGGCACAAATGAAAATCCTATTTTCACATTATTTTTCTTGATTCTATTTCAGGGAAACAAAATCTTTGCAATCTTTTTTAATGAATCACCGACTCGTATGTATTGGATCAAATTGAATCGATCGACCTTTTTGCCAAGTCTGCGAAAACAACCGATCTCTCTACGAAAACTTGATTGAATGATTGAAAACATTCAAATGTTTAATCAATATTTTTGGGAAAATTGGATAAGAAAATAGAGAAGAGAAGTGAAAAAGTTTTTGAGTGATTGAGCGAACGGCTGGGGAAATTGGAAATTGGAAATTGAAATTGAACAAGTTGGGCTCTTTCGATGAAAGTCGAGTAGAGTGACCTTGAGGATTCGAGAGGGTTTTTTCATTCGATTAGTTATTCATTTTTAAAAGATGATTATAAATAAATGAAGAGAGAGAGAGAGAGAAAAGAAATAAGAAAAAAAAATGAGTTTTGGTGTTTCGTAGAAAAAGGTGTCTTGGAAGAGAGTTCTTTAAGAAAGTTTTTGATTGAATAATTCTTTGCCGAGTAATTTATAGCTTTCTAGATTTCTAGATTAGATTTTCTTTAAGCTAAAGTTTTCTTATTACATTATCGTTTAGAAAAACTCTAAAGATTTGACTGAAAGAGACAAGAAAAAGGAGCCAGTTGGAGATTGATTCACCGTATTTCTTGTAACTGCTGATTTTTAAGATTTTCTAAGATTTTTCAGCTTTTTATACCAATCTTTACTAATCCGTTCATAGAAAATGTCAAACTTTAAGACAAAACTCACGCCAGAGTGACGGAGAATCCGATGGTTGTCTCGTTGGGGACACAAGTGGATGGAATAGAGACAAGAGGCAATCCACGCACCGGATACGGATGGTAACGGTGCATAGAAGGCTCAGCGGGGAAAGCGCCGAAATTTCGGGTATTTCGTTGGGCAATCAGTTTGACTAGAGTACTGCAAACAGGTGTTGCCAAGTAGGGAAAATGTTTTTGGAAAAGAAAAGAAGGTATGGTCTCAAAGTACGGTTGTTTTGCACGCGCCTCGTGTCTCCACCCCCTTGTGGCTGGGCGGGGTGAGGCGAGCGAGAAGGGGGGGAGTGCATTGAACTGAAAGGAGGGGTGCCGAACAACAACTTGTGTTCTTCGGTGGCTTGTTTTTAAATCATAGAGGAATCTATCCTACTCAAAACAACAACTTTCCTATCTCTTTGCTTTCTTCGGTCTCTAGGAGAAACCCCAATCGATAGACTTTCTTTTGGCTTATCGTTCCATTTCAATTTAAATTGTTCCGAGTTTTTATTTTATCGAAAATACTAATCATAAAGCTGAAGCAGAAGCTTAAGCAGAAGCTAAAGCTGAAGCTGAAGCTAAAGCTGAAGCTAAAGCTGAAGCTAAAGCTGAAGCTAAAGCTGAAGCTAAAGCTGAAGCTAAAGCTGAAGCTAAAGCTAAAGCTAAAGCTGAAGCTAAAGCTAAAGCTAAAGCTAAAGCTAAAGCTGAAGCTTAAGCAGAAGTTTTTTTTGAAAGGCAATTGATATTTGTAAGAATTTTGTTTACAAGCTGATTGTTGACTTTGTGAATAAAGAAGACAAAAAATAGCTTTGTTTAGAGATAATGTTTAGTGTTTAGAGATCGTGGCGCAGCCGGGAGCGGGCATTTCTACGGCCCACACGACCAATTTGTTCGTCGACCTATCGTTTCAAGATGAGATTCAGAGCTATCTTGTTTTAACAAGAATACTTTAGGCTTTCTATTAATGCTGAGTGAAGCCTGATTTGACCAACCAATCTAAAAATATAGACAAGAAAATGGATGTCTATATTTTCCAAGCAAAATAAAGCCAAATTTGTGGGTTGACCTCAGAGATTTGGGCATAGTAATGGGCAAAATAAAAAAGTAATCATAAAGCTGAATTCATCAAATCTCGAGCATAAAGTCTCACACACAAACCAAAATCCAACTAGAATCCAAAATCCGAAAGAGGAATCCGCAAATTGCCTGTAAAATGGGCAGAAGTCGTCAATAATAATGGAAATTATTTGGAATGAATTCATGGTTTTATGTTCAATAAATTTTAGTTCAAAGTTCCGCAGTTTTCAATTCACTAACGCAATATTATAGTTAACTTTTGTTCTAACAAGAATACTTTAGGCTTTCTATTAATGCTGAGTGAAGCCTGATTTGACCAACTAATCTAAAAATATAGACAAGAAAATGGATGTCTATATTTTCCAAGCAAAATAAAGCCAAATTTGTGGGTTGACCTCAGAGATTTGGGCATAGTAATGGGCAAAATAAAAAAAAAGTAATTATAAAACTGAATTCATCAAATCTCGAGCATTTGTTTTGTAATAAAATGAAAGAAAAATCCATAAACTTTTAAATGCAGAAACTTTTTTAAAAACTTACAATTCACGGTAGAGATCAGCAAGGGTAAACATAGAAAATATTGTAATAGAATAAGAAGAATGAAGAATTCGTTTGTGAAAGACGGGTAAAGTGGAATGGAAAGTGTTTATGAATAATCAATGATAGCCAATGGCAATGATTTTGATTGAGAGATCGAGAACAAAAGAAAGAAAAGTGGTTGCAAGTAGTTGAAAAGGTTGATATCCGCAAAAGAAAAACAACACTTATAATTTCCGATCGTTTTTCCTTTCTAAAGATGAAGAGATAATGAGCTATTAATTGCCATCAAAGTTTCTCTCCAAGAATAAGCTCCCAAGTTTCCCAGAATAGGCTCCCAAGCTCCCAAGTTTCCCAGAATAGGCTCCCAAGCTCCCAAGTTTCCCAGAATAGCCTCCCAAGCTCCCAAGTTTCCCAGAATAGCCTCCCAAGCTCCCAAGTTTCCCAGAATAGCCTCCCAAGCTCCCAAGTTTCCCAGAATAGCCTCACAAGCTCCCAAGTTTCCCAGAATAGCCTCCCAAGCTCCCAAGTTTCCCAGAATAGCCTCACAAGCTCCCAAGTTTCCCAGAATAGCCTCCCAAGCTCCCAAGTTTCCCAGAATAGCCTCACAAGCTCCCAAGTTTCCCAGAATGCCTCCCAAGCTCCCAAGCCCAGAATAGCCTCCCAAGCTCCCAAGTTTCCCAGAATAGCCTCCCAGCTCCCAAGTTTCCTAGAATAGGCTCCCAAGCTCCCAAGTTTCCCAGAATAGCCTCCCAGCTCCCAAGTTTCCCAGAATAGCCTCACAAGCTCCCAAGTTCCCAGAATAGCCTCCCAAGCTCCCAAGTTTCCCAGAATAGCCTCACAAGCTCCCAAGTTTCCCAGAATAGCCTCCCAAGCTCCCAAGTTTCCCAGAATAGCCTCACAAGCTCCCAAGTTTCCCAGAATAGCCTCCCAAGCTCCCAAGTTTCCCAGAATAGCCTCCCAAGCTCCCAAGTTTCCTAGAATAGGCTCCCAAGCTCCCAAGTTTCTCTAAAAGTTTTATCACTTAAATCCGAGAGTTTTAATTGGTGGACTGATAAAAATTCTTATGAGAATAGTAAGCGTGAAATGGCACGGCAAAAAATTGAAGCGAGAATGCGGTGACTTTTGGCGGTGTTTGATTGTGTTTGAATGGAGTAGTCAAAACTATCGCATTGTAAGCACTACGAGAAATATTGAGCAAAATTTGAAAGCAAAAGTTTTAAAATCATTTCTGAAGTCAGCAGTAATTCCTGTAGCTTAAGCAAATGTGTTTCGGAAATCCATAGAAAAATTAATCTAGAAAAAAAAGGGAAAATGACTTTAGAGCATTAAAATCAGATCTTAAATCTTGAGAAACTTTTTCCTTCTTCCCCTTTTCTCTTGACCAAACAAGGTACCCAATAGCTCAGTGGTTATAGCGATTGTCTGTAAAGCGAAACTTGGGGCCGGGTCGAGGGTTCAATCCCATTCGCTGAAGCTAACGCTTTCTTTTCCTTCACTTTTTTATAAAGTTATTTTGTAGATCAGATCAGAGCATAAGGTACCATCGAACAAGATCAATCAAGCTAAAGTAACCAAAAGAATACTGGGAAAGTCAAAAGTTTCCCAGATGAAGTGCCAATGTGTATTTAAAAGTCCGGAAAGTGGTAAAAACATCATTTCTCGCAGGGGTTGGGGTGGTAAAAATGGAAATTCAAGCCGAAAAGCCGCGCCCGACTCTCCGCCTCAAATGGGACGCAATTTGGCTGATTGGAGTAAAAGAGTAAAAAAAGGAAAGAAGGGAAAAGCAAAGGTCTACCTCTCACTTCAAGATCGAGGGAAATGAGTGTCAAACTTTGTCTCTTTCGCATTACATACCCCAAATGTTTACCTATTTATATGCAACTTGCCTACTATTGCCGAATTTGGGGTTGATTAGTTTTGAGAAAATCTAAATTCGAATAAAGTGAATCTCAATTGTCGACTCTCTGGGAACTTTCAGAAAATTTAGCAGCTGCTTGTCTAAAAGAAGGGTTCGAGCCGAATACAGCTGGAGACAAAAAGAAGGAGAAGAAGGAGAAGGAGAAGGAGAAGAAGGTGGAGGAGAAGAAGAAGAAGAAGAAGAAGAAGATGGAGGAAAAGAAGAAGGAGAAGGAGAAGGAGAAGGAGAAGAAGATGGAGGAAAAGAAGGAGAAGGAGAAGAAGAAGAAGAAGATGAAGATGAAGGAAAAGAAGAAGAAGGAGAAGGAGAAGAAGAAGAAGAAGAAGATGAAGGAAACGAAGAAGAAGAAGAAGAAGAAGAAGAAGAAGGAGAAGAAGAAGAAGAAGGAGAAGAAGAAGGAGAAGGAGAAGGAGAAGGAGAAGGAGAAGGAGAAGGAGAAGGAGAAGGAGAAGGAGAAGGAGAAGGAGACGAAGAAGATGATGATGATGATGAAGGAGATGAAGATGAAGAAGAAGATGCTGATGATGATGATGATGAAAAAGAAAAAGATGAAGACGGAGAAGAAGACTTTATATCTGAGAAGTTACAAGAACTTTTTGTAATATTAAAGTTGAACGTTTTGTAAGATGACCCCTACGCAAGGGCACTGTGCAGATTTACAAGCCATTTTTAGCTCTCAAGCTCTTTTATATCAAGATATTAAGCATAGATTTTTAGCTATCAAATAAAATCGCCTAAAGTCTGATAGTAAAAAAATTTTGGAGAATGTAAAAGTTGTATTATCCGGTTATATTCAAAATGAATGAAACACTTGTGCGATTTAAAGTTGATGCTTCAATTGGAATTGAATTGGAATTGAATTGGAATTGAATTGGAATAGGTTTAAAAGTAGAAAATTCCATAGTTCAACTATTGGGTTGGTGAATTGAAAACTGCGGCCTATTGTCATCTGTCACAGTTTGAGCACTTTCTTCAAAAGAAACCCATTTTGGTGTCAATGGAAAAGTTGTAGAGAATCAAAAATCAAGCTTATATCCAAATTTTCAGAACGATTCAAAAACTGGTTTTCAAGAAATGTCAAATTTACGAATTTTCACAAAACTTGCATTTCAAGCGAAACTACTAAGTGTATCTTTTTGGAAATTTGGCTATAAGCCTCATTTTTGATTCTCTACAACTTTTCTATTGACACCAAAATGGGTTTCTTTTGAAGAAAGTGCTCAAACTGGGACATCTCCAGTCCTCCACTTTTGAGTCTCACGCTTGTCTCACATACAAACCAAAATCCAACTAGAATCCAAAATGCGAAAGAGGAATCCACAAATTGCCTGTAAAATGGGCAGAAGTCCTCAATAATAATGGAAATTATTTGGAATGAATTCATGGTTTTATATTGAATAAATTTTAGTTCAAAGTCCCGCAGTTTTCAATTCACCAACCCAATAGATATGAATTAACTGATTGTAAAGATGAGAAAATATAACCGGATAACCCTGCAAAAAAAAGTTTAAAGTTACCTATTCTATAGAAGAATTTGTTGAAGGAGATCCGTGTCGACTCCCAGTCGTTGAGAGGAGACTGTTGCCGAGCTCCCCTTTTTGGAGTGCTGAGGCCAGAAAAAAAAGAGAGAGAGAGAAGAATTGTCTCTCTCCCTCCAATGTCTCTCTCTCTTTCCCTAAAATCCAAAATATTCAAACATTTTGCATAAAATTTTAGATTTTCAATGTTTTGAATAAATAACAAGCTTTCGACAAAAGAAAACAATAACAAAAGTCCCAAAAAGATGGTTTTAAAAAATGTAAACATTGTCTATTTAACAGTTTTCTATTGTGAAAAGTTTTCAAATAAAAATCTCTCAAATAAGATTTTAAAAAATATATTTAATTCTTTGAAATAGAATACCGTATTTTCTCTAAGAGTAGCACCGCACCGAGCCGAGTTGATGCCTATTTTATGGTTTCTAATTTTTCCCAGAAGCTCAACACTTTAACCCCCCACTAGATCTCATCGTCAGCTACATTTTCCGATCCCACATCGATAGGTTCTGATAAGTGGTTCTCGAGATTTCGAGCAATTTAGGCGACGCTCAGGGTGCACTACAATTAGAGAAAATACGGTAGTCGTGGCGCAGCCGGGAGGGGGCATTTCTACGGCCCACACGACCAATTTGTTCGACCTATCGTTTCAAGATGAGATTCAGAGCTATCACATTCATTGTAATACCCTATTTTCTCCAATAGTAGCACCGCACCGAGCCGAGTTGGAGACCTATTTTACGGTTTCCAATTTTTCCCAGAAGCTCAACACTTTAATCTCCCAAAAGATCTCATTGTCAGCTACATTTTCCGATCCCACATCGATAGGTTCTGATAAGCGGTTCTCGAGATTTCGAGCAATTTAGACAACAATCACGGTGCACTACTATTAGAGAAAATACGGTATTCAGTTCTTAGCAAAAACTTTCTTCTGCTATTCAAAAAAAAGCTTTTCGTTTTTCTTTTAGTTAACTTTTAGTTTTCTATTGTATTGTTAAGAACTAAAGCTTAAAATTATTGAGAATTTTCTTTATGAATCTTTGAAACATCACTAACATCATCACTGAAACCCCGATTAGAGTTTTTCTAAAAAGCTTTCAACTCTTCAAATGAAAGTTCTCCGGAAATTGAGTACGGAAATAAGAGGATGAATGAAAAAGCGTCAATGTTGAATTATTCGTTTAAATAAAATAACAAATAAACGTTTAATTAAGAGAAATTACGTGAAAGAAGAAGAGATTATTGAATGAAATTTACGAGAAAAGAAAGAAAAAAAAAGAAAAATGGTGGCTCTCTTGGGATGCCGAAAATGAAACACTTTTTTTTTCTTTTCCTAGCTCTACCTCACTTTTACTTTATTTCTTCTTACTTACTTACTTGCTTACTTACTTACTTACTTTACTTACTTACTTACTTATTTACTTCTTCTACTTTTTCCTTCTTTATTTCTATTTCTTACAGCTAAAATCTTTCTTCAAATTCGTTTCCTAATTGCCTAAATCTACCTTAAAAATATAGGATTAAGATAGTTTAAAAAAAGTTGAACCATTTTAGAAAAGCAATAGCTGAAAATAAAAATATTAAAAAGTGAACATCAATAAGCCGGAAGGGGAATCTCTTGATGATCAAATGTTTAATGAAAAAACACCTTTGATGCATATGAAAGCTTGACTCTTTCTCAGCTCTAGTGCCCCGATTATCCCCCACTCCTCCGATCATCTCCCCCACTCCTCCGATCATCTCCGATAATTTAAGATTTTTGAGCCCTCAGATAAAACGAAATAAACAAACACTAAGCCAAGTGGTTCAAAAGCCAAGTGGTTCTAAGATAGAAATCCTTTATGGCGTACTTTCTGTAATTTAAATGATGATATTTCTTTTATTTCTCGATTGCGTCCGTTTCGGTTTCTAAAATCGGCTTATCGACTTATTGATTTCAGTGTAGAGAAAATAAAATGATAAAGAAATAAAGAAAAGAAATATTTAGTTCTCTGTATGTTTTTTTTTGTTTCGGCATTGGGGATAAGAAGGGTGAAGGGTTCGATTTTTCTTCAAGGACGAAAAGGCCACCTCCTATGCAAGTGTGTGTGGAAAGCAACGACAAAAAAAAAAGGAGACGAGGAAGGATGGGGAGACGGCCACACGAAAAAGAGCTGAAAACGAATAGGGAAAAAAATGGAAGGGAAGGGAGGGGGGAACCCGGCAGAATCCATAGAAACCCGGAGGCGCGAGCCGAGAAACGTGTCTTCAGCCCCGCTTCTACCCCCAGTCACTCACAACAATTCCCTTTGTATTTTAGTTGTATCTAAAATTTAACGATGCTAAATTCAGCTATATAAAAATGAGAAATCTTTTGCATTATATGTTGACATTCTGATAAAATAGTTGACAAAATAGGAACGTTTAACCGAGAGAATTGAGCAATCTTTTGCTGTTGTTGCTTTAGCTCTTGATTTACCATTTTATCTATCAAATTCTATCCATCAAAAAAAATATTCAACAAATGAAAAGGAACAAGAAAAGAAGGAACCTTTAACCGAGAGAATTGAGCAATCTTTTGCTGTTGTTGCTTTAGCTGTTGATTTGCTATTTCATCTATCAAATTCTATCCATCACAAAAAAATATTCAACAAATGAAAATAATGACTGAAAAAATAACTGAAAACTTTTTCAAAAAAAAACAAAACTAAAGAAATTGTATGTATGTGTTTGTGAATGAAAGCGTATGAACGGCTCTGAGCGATGGAGAGACCGGGGGAATGGGAGGAGCAAAGAGACGGCACAGAGAGGGGCAACGCCAACTCCCGTCAAAAGGGAGGAGGGGTAAAGGGAAAAAACGGCTGCAAGAAAGGGAGAGCCGCTTGAAAGGAAAAAGAAGGGAAAGGGGTAGAAAAGCAATGAGAATCGGGGGGGGAGGGAGGGGAATCGATCCCCTTCCCCTCCCCCCCCCAGTCCCCTTCTCCCAGAGTCCCTCTCTCTCTCACTTCATGCCATGCTGTGTTGGTCTGTTGGAAAGACTGAAAAACCCAAAACCCCCATCTGCTCTTTTCTTTTTTGTTAACCAACTTCTCTAGGTATTCGTTGAGATAAAATGACGCGATTTGTTGACTTTTATTTGGTAAGAGGTATTGACAATGATTGAGAATGGGATTTCTATAAAAATAGAGCCAAATGTAGGCTCTGTACTCAGTTGTACACTTGAAACACTCAATTATACACTTGAAAATTGAATAAACTCGGAAACTTGGAAGCTTGGAAGCTTGGAAGAAACTTTTTGTTAAAGTCTTATTGCCGAAGCCTTGTTCATCTCATTTTCAGCTTTAGATCAAATCTAAATCCAAACAATGCAACAACACAAAAGACTCAAAGAGATATTTTTGACATCAAATATAAAACATAAAACAAATTGATAGAAAAATAACAAAAGGGAAGCAATTTCCCGGGAGAACATCGATTCTAATGGTAGAAAAGGATCTTTCCCTTCATTCTTTTCTTTTTCTATTCAATGTCAATTTTAAGCTCAATGAAAAAAACATGAACACACCAGAACCAGAAATGCAAAATGCTTCAAAAAGCAAAATGCTTCAAAAAGCAAAATGCTTCGAATGGATATTTTGTTCAAAAATCACAAAATATTTGGAAATTGATTCTTCGTCTATTTTTCAGTTTTATCATAGTCCTTAAAAGCCGTACTTAAACATTGTTATTATTGAAATGTTGTTGTTGAAAGATTGCGTCAAGGTTTAGAAGTTGTCGAAGGAGAGAGTCGAGATGCCAGAGGTCAAAGAATTCGACTGCTCGATGCGATTCGACGAATTCGAGTCCAGTTGACTAAAATGGAATGGAGATTTTATTTGTAAGCTTTTCTATTTCTTTTTTTCCTTTTACTTAAATTCTTTTTCTTTCAGAGCTTTTCTCTCTTTGCTTAAATCATTTTTCCTTAAACCTGAACTAAAGCTACAGTACTGGACAATGAAATATCATATTTGAAAAACGATCGTCACTTTCGCGCGTCTGTAACTCCCTTGTCTTTGAGTTTAAACTATTGGTGCTATACATTTTCTGAAAGCTCTTTTCAATGGCTACACAATGGTAATATTAATATTTAGAAATACGGTAAAGACAAGGGAGTTACAGACGCGCGAAAGTGACGATCTTTTTTCAAATATGATATTTCATTGTCCAGCGGTGTACTTTCAATTGCTTGCAATAGATAATCTTTCAATAAAAATCTGTACTTGATGTGCTTGTTTATTGTTTTTTTTTGTTTTTAACTAAAGAATAAAATAAGATTACAAAAATCGATGACAACAATAAGATGATGGTGCCAAGTCGTTCTTCAGCAGGCGCTCCTTTGTTGAGATAGTGTCTAAAGGGATTAAATGGTTGATATGTGTTTGATCTATGCTTTTAAAACTTTCAAAAAGTCACTTATTGTAAAAAATCAGTTTTTTTTATAAGTCTCTAAATGTTTTATAAGTTTTTCTATTAAAGTTTTTCTATTAAAATTTCACTTGTGAAGGGATCGAATGAGTGCGTCTAATTGTCGCTTCATCGCTGGTCGACCCTCTTGAGAAACATTTTCAATAGCTGAAATTCTTTTTTTAAGAAAATTTAAAAACAAATTTCTTATCTATTGGGTTGGTGAATTGAAAACTGCGGAACTTTGAACTAAAATTTATTCAACATAAAACCATGAATTCATTCCAAATAATTTCCATTATTATTGACGACTTCTGCCCATTTTACAGGCAATTTGCCGATTCCTCTTTTGGATTTTGGATTCTAGTAGGATTTTGGTTTGTGTGTGAGATAAGTGTGAGACTCAAAAGTGGAGGACTGGAGATGTCCCAGTTTGAGCACTTTCTTCAAAAGAAACCCATTTTGGTGTCAATAGAAAAGTTGTAGAGAATCAAAAATGAGGCTTATAGCCAAATTTCCAAAAAGATACACTTAGTAGTTTCGCTTGAAATGCAAGTTTTGTGAAAATTCGTAAATTTGGCATTTCTTGAAAACCAATTTTTGAATCATTCTGAAAATTTGGATATAAGCTTGATTTTTGATTCTCTACAACTTTTCCATTGACACAAAAATGGGTTTCTTTTGAAGAAAGTGCTCAAACTGTCACATTCATATGTGGAGGACTGGAGATGTCCCAGTTTAAGCACAATAGCCGACAGTTTTCAATTCACCAACCCAATAGATTCTTATTTCCTTAGATTTATCTTCTTTGAATGTAAAGTTACCGCCTTGAAATGAAACAAAAGCTTTTAGTGCGACGAATTCCTCAAAAGTGATCTCAATTTGTTGAAGTGGTGGAATGATTTCATTCAGAATTCGTTCCAATAATGGCTTGTAAATCCTAAAATAAATTTATTCTTAATTCTTCTTTAATCTTTTAATATTTAAGGCTTAAATTTGAATAAAGAAAGAAAAAAACAAAGCTCACAAACATTTTTTTCGTTTGTCCGCTAATCTCCTTTTCATCACTCCATCCATCGTCAGAGTTCTGGAAAAAAAAATCGTTTTTAACATAATTTTCTGTTCACTTATCACTTCTTCTTTAAGCTCAACTATTAGGTTGATGCATAAGTCTTTTCGTTCCTTTTCGTCTGCCGTTTCAAGCCAACAAATGCACCAATTAAACTACGGTTGATTTCATTAGAAAAACCAATTATTTTTCTGCAAAATAACATTAAAACGGGTTTAAAAATATTTAATGCCTGGATTTTCTTGAGAGTATGAAGTCGGTAAGTCAAAAAGGGCTAACTCGATGATGCGGTTTAGACACCTTAGCTAAAGAAAACCTATCTTCGTGTCAATAGATAAAAGATAGAGAAAAAAAACGTTTGATATTTCGCCAAAATTTCAGAGAAATTCATTCAGCCAATTTTTCCGTAGAGTTTTTTATAGATTTTTACGAAAAAGGCGTTTTTCACTCTCGAATTTGCTTGAAAGTGAACCGAAATTCATTTAAAAAGATGCTAATTGAACAAAAAAAACACTTTTTTTATAGAGCAAACTATAGATTAATTGGTGAATTTGTTACTTTTTAACAGAAGTACGAAAAAAACGAAAAGACTTATGCATCAACCTATTACTTTATTTTTCTTTATCTTTACCTCTTTACATGAAACATAGCCACCATTTTGCATCACAAATTTGTCTGGGAGCCCGCATTGCAACGAAATGTATACTGGGTCCAAAATCGTGTGAAAAAGGACACACTTTCGGAGAAAAGATACCTAAAAATGAATTATATTTAAAGATATTTAAAAGATATTCTAAAAATATATATTTACATAGATTTATATAGATTTATATAGATTTATATATGTCGTAGCCGATTATGAATGAAATTTTTCTAGCAAATCTTTCTATTAGCGCAACCCTTTAATGTATGAGGACAATATTATATCACCTTGTAGCGAATTGAATTCTCTGTCGATTGGTACCAAATTTGTGAGTTTAGGTTTAAAATTGCCGGCGCTACAACGTTTCATTCAAAAATCGGCGGGACCCCCGTAGCGGATTATGAACGAGTGGGTCTAGGAGCGTCCAACCATCAAGTATTTAGTCTCATTCAACGCAGAATCATTGATAATTATGTTAAATTTTTAAAATTAGAAAGATTGGATAAAAAGAAAAAAAATTAGAGCAAAAAAACGGTTTGTTCAAGAGAAAACTTTGAAGCCCCATAATTTGTGTTCTTTTTATCCAATCTTTCTAATTTAAAAATTTAACATAATTATCAATGATTCTGCGTTGAATGAGACTAAATACTTGATGCTTGGACGCTCCTAGACCCACTCATTCATAATCAGCTGAAATTCATAATCGGCTACGACATATATTTATATAGATTTATATAGATTTATTTAGATTTATATAGATTTATATTGATTTATTTAGATTTATATATATTTATATTAATTTATATAGCTTTTAAAGTAGATATAATTTCTAAAAATGAACTACTTTATCCGAATTGTTGAGAGTTGAGTAATCGGGCCAAGCTTGAAGCCATTCGTAAATGAAAAGGATATGCGTTCGAATGGATTTTCGAAATTCTCGAAAGCTTAATGGGCGAATGTCAGCCGCTGTGTAAGGCTGAATTGAGATTTGTCTTTAAAAATGATTTTCAACTAACACAATGGGGATTCTGACCGAGAAGTCGCTCGACTGGCCGCTCGCAGAAAATGATTCGACGCCTTTCCCCCAGCTTCATCTCTTCTCGAATCAAAACATCTAAGACCTAAATTTATTTGTAGCAATACTTCGATCATGGCCGACTTGCTAAAAGCCTTGTCTGATAGTCGGGGGTTCTAGGGTTCGATCCCAGCTAGGCTTGGCTAGCTTCGATCCCAGCTAGGCTTCGATCCCAGCTAGGCTTCGATCCCAGCTAGGCTTGGCTAGCTTCGATCCCAGCTAGGATTCGATCCCAGCTAGGCTTGGCTAGCTTCGATCCCAGCTAGTGGCTTGGCTAGCTTATCGATTCTTTATTTTTCTTCCCTACATTTAGAGCTTGATTTTGTATTGTTTGTACCACATTATTCTGAGAATAAATGTGCTTTTTAAGCTTTAAACTAAAATAAATTTACATCAGTGCTATTTTGCACAGCGATCTGTAAAGGAAGACGAGCGTTTGGATGAAGGAGACCTGGTGGAGCGCTGGGCGGTGAATTCTGAAAAGTTGCGTCTTTAAGAAGCTAAGATTGAGGGGGTTTTCTATTGGAATTTCGAAATACCAACGCTTAACTTATTTTAAGCTTTAGATTTAGCAAAATACAATGATTTAGCAGAATAAAAATGGTACAAAGTAGAGGTGTTTGTAGATGAAAACAGCTGTAAGGTATCCAGGATTTAAAGGATCTCGAAATAGTCGAATAAAAGTCGAAAAGTTAAAGTATTCGAAAAGCTGAATCTTTTCAAATACCCTAAAGTCTCGAGTATAAGTTCTGCCTTAATTTACATTCGCTTTAATTGCTTTGAATTTCTTTTTGTTGGGTTTTTATACATTTTTATTGTTATACAAACTTTTATTATTGTTCTTGGAGCGCGGGATACTACATGGTGACAGCCTATCACCATTGCTATTTGTTATGTGCATGGATACATCCAGACGATAGTGTTGAAGAAGACGCTGGAAAGCATCTCTTTCGACCGTCGACGTGGACTTTGGCCCTTTGGCCGGATGAAGAGGCCAGGGAGGGATCCATAAGACTGAGCACCGGGAGAGGAGCAGGGCGGACGCGCCGAGCCACGCCCGGAGCAACAAATAACAGCATAAAATTGCTATAACCCTCAATAAATTTACTTCTATTATTGTTCTTAAAAAGCAAAAAAGTTATGCTGCAGCGGGGTTCGAACCCTCGACACACCGCACCGGAGACAGCCGTCAATTTGCATGCGAAAACCAAACAGAACTTATACTCGCGACTTTAGGGTATTCGAAAAGCTGAATCTTTTCAAATACTTCAATATTGTTAATTGTAAGCTCTCTTTTTGTGTAAGCTCTTTTTTTCGTTTAACAAACATCTTCTTCTTGCATGTTTTCTCGATTTGGCATTGAGCGACAATCAGAAATGACTGAAAGCGGTGAAATCTCGGATTCAATGCCGATTTTCGGTGACAATCCCTCAAACTTTGTGTGTATCTCGATTTGTATCTAAAGTTTTCATGCCTTTCATCTCATCTACACAAACTGGTGAATCGTTGGCAAAACTTTTATTTCGTTTAAGTCCAGATTTCGTCGAGAAAGCTCTTCGTGCGTGTGTGGTTGGCCTTTTCGGTTGAACGACTGAAACAAAATAAATCATTGAATCAAAATTCTTAAATAAAAATGAAAATAAACCGTTTCGATTCATTCCTGAGTGAAGACACCGCTCATAGCGACAAGCTCGACAAATTTGAGGCATTGCTAAAAGATTTTAGACTAAAGAAACACAGCTATTGTTACAGTAATGCACTTGGCACTCGCCATTGCCGGTGATACAGTGAAAGCTCTTGTTCAGGGCAACGGCTCGTCTGAAATAGCATTCTTTTATCAACCCAATCAGTTGACCCTATGGTCGACTGGCTAAGAGTCTTGTATCTGGACTATCTCGACTGGCTAACAGTCTTGAGAGTTCTAAAGTTCAATCCCGCAAGCTAGATTATTGTTAGAATATATAGGGTTTTTCTTTTCTAAATTTAGGATTTAAGTATTGTTTTTGTTTGTTTTTGCTTGTTTTTGCTTGTTTATTACTTGTTTTTACTTGTGTTTACTTGTTTATTACTTGTGTTTGCTTGTTTATTACTTGTTTTTGCTTGTTTATTGTTTGTTTTTGCTTGTTTTTGCTTGTTTTTGTTTGTTTTTACTTGTTTATTACTTGTTTATTACTTGTGTTTGCTTGTTTATTACTTGTTTATTGTTTGTTTTTGCTTGTTTTTGCTTGTTTTTGCTTGTTTATTGCTTTTTTGCTTGTTTATTGCTTATATCATATTATTCTTGTGTAATTTATAATGTTAGAAATGAAAAAGTAGAAAGTCTAGTAGAAACCGAAAGAAAGCGGCACAAGCCGAGCACGATTGCGCGTCGAAGTGGTAACCGGTAGCTCTAGCCTTGCAGATGAGGCAACGATGACCCCGGATTCCGTCATCTAAAAGGAAAATGGTTGAAGTTTATAATTCTATCATCTAAAAGAAAACGCATAAAAATATATAATAAATTGTACTTTTAAGTACTTTTTATAGTACTTTTAGTACTTTTAGTACTTTTTATAGTACCTTTAGTACTTTTTATAGTACTTTTAGTACTTTTAAAGGCAAATAATCTAGTCATACCATCATTTTGATCGGATGATGTTGGCTTTTCAGTCTTCAACAACTCTTGCATCACCACAAAACTGCTGCTCACCTTGGGGTCAAGGTTTACAAAATTTGTTGACTGAGTTGCGAAAGTAATCGTTTCTGTAGAAAAAAATAAAACAAATAAAACAAATACAACAAATAAAACAAGAAAATATATTCAACAACAACTCACTTGTCTCCGTTTTTTCCATCTTTGAATAAAAATGAATTCAGAGAAATAGAAGAAGTTAAAGAAGAAAAGGTTTTCCAAAACAATTAGCGCAAAATCTTTCTGATCGAAAGCACACAAAATAGTACCTGAAGTGAGGAAAAGGAGACGAAAAGCTGATAAGAATGGCTACGCATTGGAGGAGACCGGATAGGGAGCTTCATTGAAAAGAGTTTAAAAAGAGTTGAAGAGGAGTTGAAAAGAAGAGAAAATGTACCGTCAGAGAATCTTTTTCATTACTCCTACCATAAACTCCATGAAAATAAATATGATAAAGGTTGATGGGCCTTTTTCGAGGGGTAAACTACTGAGTTGTATAGTTTGAATGAATGGAAAGTGAGTGTTCTCTTTGTGATTCGCTTCATTTTTTTGAATTTTTCATTTTTTTGTCGAACTTTGTACTTATCTGAAAGCTAGAGAATTGAAATAAAGATAGATGTAGAATCTATCCTGTTTCGAGCTTAAATACTGTACAATACTGTTCAAAAGTCACAGAACAAATCCTCATCGTCTGTCCGCCTGTCCATCTGTCGCCTGTCCATCTGTCGTCTGTCCGCCTGTCCGTCTGTCCGTCTGTCGTCTGTCCGTCTGTCTGTTTGTCCATCCGTCTGTTTGTCCGTCCGTCTGTCCGTCTGTCGTCTGTTCGTCTGTCCGTCTGTCTGTTTGTCCGTCCGTCTGTCCGTCTGTCGTCTGTTCGTCTGTCCGTCTGTCCGTCTGTCCGTCTGTCCGTCTGTCCGTCTGTCCATCTGTCTTTCTGTCTGTATGTCTGTCCGTCTGTCTGTCCAAAAGTCACGGAACAAATCCTCAATTGACACTGATCATCACATTGATCATTTGACGAAGATATTCAGTATTATTAACTGAATACTTTATTCAGTTCTCGTAAGACAAGAGATTTTATGGTATCGTTAAGAGAAAAACTTGTTTCTCGATTAAGCACTGTTTAAAGCTTGTCAAGTTTTTAAAGCTATCTACCTTCTCAAGACAAGATTGCAATAGTTTTCAAAAGTTCATGCGTTTTAGAAAACGAGGAGAATTGTCAATTGGCATCATCAAATCTAAAACATAAAGTAATTTTATTGTACAATCATTATCTTGCCTTTTAGTACAACATAATCTTACCTATTTGAAAGTATACCTAGCTATAAAATCAATATCCATTCCACAAATCAAACCCTTGTGTTCTGCTCAAAGTTTTCCGAGTCGACAAAATCGTTCTAGTTTGATATATCATTTCTTTTTCGCGTAGGTTCAATTACTGTTCGCTAATTTGTTTGATATCAATTAGTGGCAAAAAGAAAAGGAAAAGAAAAAGAAAAAGGAAAGAAAAAGAAAAGAAAAGAAAAAGAAAAGAAAAGAAAAAGAAAAAAAAAGAAGCAAACTTTAAAGAACCGATAGAAACAAGAATTAAACAAAGAAAAAGAGAAAATAAAATAAAAAAAAGTGAACACAGTGTTGTTTATGAGCTTTTCTTTGTTTGATCATTTCAAAGTCTATTTTCAAGGTCATTCACACTGTCCATTGTTGGCCTGTCTTGAGATGGAAAGAAGAGAAAAAACTCTTCTTGTATATCCAGTTTTCCTTTTTAAACACAACACGACTTTTTTCATTATTCTTGAATAGATTTCTCAGTAAAATTCTGTTAACTGCTTTATTTCGTTTTATTGCCAAAAATGGGACTAAAGTCGAGTTTCTAATCTACGATATATAAAGCAGAAGAGACGTCTGTCCGTCTGTCGTCTGTCATCTGTCCGTCTGTCGTCTGTCCGTCTGTCGTCTGTCCGTCTGTCAGTCTGTCCGTCTGTCGTCTGTTCATCTGTCCATCTGTCGTCTGTCGTCTGTCCGTCTGTCGTCTGTCGTCTGTCCATCTGTCCGTCTCTCCGTCTGTCCGTCTCTCCGTCTGTCCGTCTGGGCGCATCTATAGGCAAAAAGGGGTGAGGTTTAGATTGCGCCAAAAAACGTGGACCTTCCCAGCGGAAAATGCGAACGTTGGTGAGCGTTTATCGTTGGTTTACTTTTATTAGTAGAACAAAGCTGAGATCTAACAGAATAGTATCACTTTTTTTCTCGATTTAAGATCGAATCTCATTGTTGATCTGAGATCTGAGATCCCAGGTGGTCTCAATGTGGTTGGTTGACTTTTTGGACCACATGTTTTCCAGAAATTTCACACAATAACCTACTTTTACGATTAGAAAAAGTTTCTCATAAGTTTTATGCACTATTATTACAGCTTTTTATGTCCATTTTATACTCCCTAGCTAAAAAGTCTTGAAAATTCTTTCTACAGAATAATTTTCAACCTTTTACGACAACTTTCCAGATGAAGTTGACGTTTTCTAACAGTTCTGCAGCTTTTCATTTCCAAATCTTTACCAGATTTTGTCTAACAAACAATGAATTGGTAAAAGACTCGATCTTTTCTCTTGTTTAACTTTTTTTTTTTCAAAATTCCCAGTCATGACCTCGACAGAGAAATCGAGAAAAAAAGGAAAAAAAGGAAAAAAAAGGAAAAAAGACACTGTTATCCTCAACGATCTCTCTTTCCTTTTCTCTCACTTTTTGCCATTCAAATCTTTTTCTTTTTCACTCCTCTTTTCACTCCGCAAAACTTTCTACAACCAAACTCTCGAGATTTTTATTTGGCAAGGATTTTCTTGATCTTTTTGCGTGTCAGGATCTCATCTCGGGTAACTGATTCACGCAAAACTAATAGTCTTTCCCCTCATTCACATCTCTCTCGTTTATCCATTTGCACTCATACTAGTTTTGCTGTGATCCTACTTAAAAGTGAATTTATTTCTCAATATCAAAACTTTTGTTTGGCTCATTCTCTTTTCTAAAATCCGATTGTTAAGCGAAAACTTTCATTAAGTCATTAAGCCATCAAAAAAAATCATTAAACCATCAATTTTTTTAAGTTGTTTAGCTCATCTCAAAAAGCTTATTCAGAGTTTTATTTTTAACACTTAAAAGCTTTTCTTTCTTTTCTTTCTTTTCTTTCTTTCTTTCTTTCTTTCTTTCTTTTCTTTCTTTGCTTTCTTTTCTTTCTTTTCTTTCTTTTCTTTCTTTCTTTCTTTTCTTTCTTTTCTTTCTTTTCTTTCTTTTCTTTCTTTTCATCTTCTTTATTTTCAATTTTGTAGAATGAAATTTTAAAGTTTAGATGTAAAGATGGGGTTAAAAACTTGGTTTTTTTTTAAAGAGTATTGTTGCTAAAGTACTAAAGTATTAAAGTATTAAAGTGCTAAAGTATTAAAGTGCTAAAGTACTAAAGTACTAAAGTGTTAAAGTACATTGTTGATCTCAAAAATTGATACAAAATATTGAAAAGGGAAAGAGTTTTATAATTTGTTTAAGAAAAGCGAAGAAAAGAGATCTGTTTGTGGGTTTCTTCTGGTGACTTTTGTTTGTTGAAGAGGTTGAGAGGGCGGAAAGAGAGAGAGAGAGAGAGAGAAAGAAATCAAAAAGAGAGAAAAGGTTGATAAGATCCTTTTTCTATTCATCATTTTGACCTCAAATCTATACAAATTCTGATTTCTTTAAAACCTTTTCATAACTTTATCTTCTATGCCATCTTTTTTCCTTTTATTGCCATCTTTCTATCATAGCTTGTTTGCGCGAGTGAAAAGTGGTGTTTAAGCAAAGTTTTCTATGGGGTTGATGGAAAAGTCCTTTCCGATTTTTTGGGAGAGTACCTTAAATTTGTCGAATTTTGACGTTTTATAGCTCATCCTAAAGCTGAATTCAAGACGGATCGATTGGTAAAAACCGTTTTGAGATATCTCTTTTCTAAAAGTTTTTACAACTATTTTAGTAAAGGGCGGCAGAGCCAAAAAGTGGCTGTTTTCACGTTTCGTTAGTTTTCCGTGCAAAAACCTAGGCTAAAAACATGTGTTTCGGGATCAGCGTCAAAAATAACCCCTAGACACGCATTTTCAGAATCTTAGCAAAAAATTTTTGAAAAATATTGTCACCGGTGGAAGTCGAACCAGCGACCCTCAGATCAATATCCTTTCCGCCGCTTTTCGCGATTTTCCTTCGTTTTTCTCGTTTTTTTTTTGTTTTATCATTTTTTTGATGTTGTTAGAAGGCTTTTTTCAGGAATGTCGTGTCAAGTTGAATCGTAGGAGCACCAGCGACACCTGTAATGCGTGTCTAGGGGTTATTTTTTGACCCTGATCACGAAACAAATGTTACCATTCTTCTTCTTTTTCTTCTTCTTTTTCTTTTCTGGATTCGATCAAAATTAAAAGCTTTATCCATAAATTCAATCGCTTTTTTATTCAATCGCTTTTAAAACTTTAAACTCATTCAATTCAATTCAGCAAATGAATAACTTCAATTGTTTCCTGAAAGTCATCACCCCGCTCTGCCTTGTTTACGTCAAAAATTTACCCGTCTTCTCTCTTTTTCTCTCTTTTCTCGAGAGTTTTATGTTTTCGCTCTCATTCACTCAAAAAAAAGCTTATTGATTCGTGAAATTTTTTACAAAAATCTTCCGAATCCTCATTTTTTATGTATCTTTTGATTCTTTGGCCAAAACGGAGCCAATTTTCCGCCCGAATTCTCTCGAATCCATCATTTTGAATCTTTTCAATTTTCAATCAAAAACCAAAAACCCATTTATCATTTTGAATTGGTCAATTATTTTCTAAAAAAAAAAACGATCTAATTATCTTGAGTTATCGAGTTAATTATCTTGAGTTATCGATCTTGAGTTATCGAGTTCAGATTCCAATTTCCTATTCAATTCTACAACTTCTGTTCCAACCAGGTTCTGATTCTGATTCTATTGGGTTGGTGGAAAAGTCCTTTCCGATTTTTAGGGAGAGTACCTTAAATTTGTCCAATTTTGACGTTTTTTGACTTTTGACTTGAATTTTGACAATAGATTCCTGCAAAAATTGTCAACATTGACTAGAAGTAGAAATTAAGGAAACTTTCAAACAAAGATTCAATTTTATCAAAAAAATTCTATATTTTATTGTTGTTTTCAAAGCTGACAGCTGATTTTTCTTCAAAAGAGGGAGAGAAGTGAAAGCGAGGGCCTTCTATTGATCCCCACTCCCCTCCTCCCCTCCTATCCCTTTTCTATCCCTTTTTCTCAATCTCATTTCCTTTTCCTCTTCTTCTTCTTCTTCAAAAAAATGCTTTTTTTTTTCTTAAAATTTCCCTCTCTCTTGCTCACATTTTGGCAAAAAAATTGCCCAAACCCGAGCGCGTTCTATTTGCCTCTCTTTCCATCTCGATTTTTCTCGTTTCTTTTTTGCTCAATTTCTCCATTTCTCTCATTTTTTTCCCAAATTTCAATCCATTTTCTTCAATTATTCTTCAATTTTTCTCCCCTTTACCCCTTTCTGGCCTCAAAATTTCTTAAAATCGCCCTCTTTGAACAGTTCCCAGCATTTTCCAGCATTTCCCAGCATTTTCCAGCATTTTAAATCACTACAACTAGACTCTAGACTTCTTTTCCTTGTCATTTGAAAGCTCATTTGAAATTTGAATTTAAAACTTCATAAGTTTATTTAAAACTTCACAAGTTTATTTAAAACTTCATAAGTTTATTTGAAAATCTCGAAACTTTAAAACATTTATTTCAGAGATCTTCTCAAAGAACTAACACAAAAAAACTCCTTGCAAATCCGACTTCCGGCATTTCTTTTACGTTGAACGAAAAAAAGAAAAACCATCAAGGGGTTAATTTGCAAAAAAAATGAGTAAAACTAGCAATTACACTGCTGAAATCAGGGAAAATCAGTGTTCTGTGTAAAATATGGGCATTTTTTTTCAGTGTATTCCCCCAATAATTCCTGGTTCATCGAAATGTTTAAGGAAGATAAATTTCTGAAACAAGCAGGAAAAAACAATGAGAAATGTGTTCCTTTTTGAAAAAAAAGAATATTTTCGATAAGTTTTCCTTTAAAAGGCTCCATATTCCAAAACTTTAAGTCTTTTTGTGGGTGGCTACTTTGCGCCAAACTTTTTGCGCAACTCGCCATAACTTTCTTCTAAGTGGGACAACCTTTATGATTTTGGTGTCGTTTTGTTTCACTTGTTGAGATCTACAAAATGACACCAAAACCATAAAGATTGGCTGACTTAGAAGAAAGTTATGACGAGTTGCGCAAAGTAGCCACCCCCTCATTGAGTCAAAGTTTTCATCTCTTGTATTCAGATAACAAATTCGATTGAATATCTTAAAACTTATGAGATTACTTAAAATAGAATATACAGGGTGCGGAAAAAAAGTATTTGCCGCCTTTATAATGTAAAAATCCTAAAAGTTCAAGAAATATTTGCACAGATTTGATAATAACAATCTACATTGTATTTCGACTTTTAAAGTAAAACTTCGTAGTCGGTTTTGGTAAAAGAAAAAACTACATTTTCTGGAACATAAACATAGTATTTTTTTTTCTTCATTTGGTCCCGCAGGTCATTTTCCATAAAAACTCAAAACTTTTTGCAAGTTGCATCTAATCAATAAGCAAGGAAAGATCTAATCAATGGAAACGTTTTTCGCATATACAAAATAATAGTAATAGTCATTGGAAAATCACTACTTGAAAAGTTTGAAACGTTTTTAGATCTTTCTACCACGCTCTATGCATTAGTCAGAATCAGTTTTTATTTGGATTGCTATCAGTTGAATTGCTGTTTTTGAAGAGCTTACAAAATCAGTTAGTCTCTACAGGCGTTCATCAAATTTTGTTAATTTCATCAGAAATATGTGTAGAATTTGATTATCAACAAGAATTAACCATTGCAGGCATTTCGCGCCAATTTTACTAGTTATCAAAGCGGCAAATACTTTTTTTTCGCACCCTTTAACATCAGATATTCAATTTTTGATTCTTTTGATACATTCTTTTTGTCAAAATATTTCCCATTTGACCCCAGTTGGCTCTTTTCTCTTATCACCTGTTTTACACAAATGAAAATTGTTTGCTTTCATACTTTTCAAGTTCTTTTTTAGTATATAAGTTGTTATTTAATGAAATTTCATTAATTGTTCTTATTATAATCGTTTTGTAAGTGTAAATTTAGAAATGAAACCGTTGAAAAGATGGTGATGATGGATGAAAGCTTCGATTCGACTACTTTCGATACTTTGCCCAATGAGCTCGTTGTATCGGTGAATTATTGTCTTAATTTTAAATAACAATTGAAAGATATTACGGCTCTTGCGTCATTTCTGGGTATTTTGAAAGGATCTGGGTATTTTGGAAAAATTCGGGTTTTTGAACGGATCGTCACACTTTGAAGGCCTATAACTTTGTCTAGAGATTATATTTCTCTTAATTTTTTTATATCATTGTACAGAGGACATTTCAGGCTTTCAAATGATACCAAATAGAGCTTGATTCAATTTTTTATTCCCATCCAAACCAGGCGACACATCACCTGAGTTGGATAGGCCTCATTTGCTTAGAGTTGGCTCTGATTTTCTTGGACTCGCTTTTCCAATCAAGCTCTATTTGGTATCATTTGAAAGCCTGAAACGTCCTCTGTACAATGATATAAAAAAATTAAGAGAAATATAATCTCTAGACAAAGTTATAGGCCTGAAAAGTGTGACGAGCCGTTCAAAATACCCGGATTTTTCCAAAATTCCCGAAATTCTTTCAAAATATCCGGAAACACAAGAGCCAATATTCCTTTACTAAAATTTTATTCAAATTTATTTAAGTTTATTCGAGTTTTAAAGCAAAACATCCAAGATGCAATAAAATTTTAGCCGGATATTGTCGGATATCGCGAAAAAGCGGTAATCCTATCTTTTGGCTACGGAAAGTAAGACCATTTTACAATAAGGTTTAGAATATTCATTACAAATCTTAGAAAGCTTATTATTTAATTTGATTTTATAACTTTACCAATTATTAGAACTGTTTCAGGTCTTCTCCCAGCTATCATCAAGGGATTTGTTGAGTGTGATCCGAGCGAATAGAAGATTTCGACGAATCGCCTCCGTTCACGCTAGAAATCTCAATTTGTTTGTTTTTAAATATTCAATTATATTTGTAAGTCTTCTTATTAATAATAATATAAATTCTAAGTTATTCAAAACAATTTCTAGAGTGCCTGTCCATTGCCATGCCAGCGTGCTTGATGTGGATGAGCCGCGCGGCTCCGAGCCTTTCATCTCCTACATTTTCACCGCTTTCGACAAAGCAACAAATGGTATTTAATTTATTTTTAATAAGATATTTATTAAGTATTTATAACTAAATACAAATTTATATGTTCAGAGTATTCGCGGAGTGTTCGTGACTGTTTCATTGGGAACGATTTACACTACAAGGCAATTCTCGTTCAATCACAGAGGTTTTCTATGATATTATAACTAAATAATTTGATTTTAAGAATGATAAATATGGGGTAGGCTAGTTTCCGCAATTTTTTTTGCGCAACTCTCCATAACCTTTTTACTAAGTGGACCAATTTTTATGATTTTGGTTTCATTTTTTAGATCTCAATAAGTGCAACAAAATGAAACCAAAATCATAAAGATTGGCCCACTTAGAAAAAAGTTATGAAGAGTTGCGCAAACGACCCAGTTGCGCAAATAACCCTGTTGCGCAAAAAAAATTGCGGAAACTAGCCTACCCCATAAATGTTTTTAGATCAGAATTATTTCAGATTTGGGGGTCTTTCATTCACGGCAATGCGACGAAATGGAAAAGAACTCGAGCTGGGATCACAAGAGAAATACGATGAAGTGACAGCTTTGGGGGTAAGTAATAAATAATTTTTTTAAATCTACAACTAAAAATTAGTACTAAATTAGTATTAAATTTGAAAATAGATAAATATTTGTATCCTAATATTCAGATCTTTTCCCGGATGTGCGTGGTGGCAGTTCGCTTTGATGTGCAGAAACAGGGGAAACGAATGATGCACCGAATTCAGGATGACATGTATGTAATGAAAAATATAAAAACTAACAGCAGCTCTAGCTTTGTGAATGTGTTGAACTTTTGCGAGAAATTCTGTGGACAAGTGCGGATCAAGTGAGTTTTGGGGGAATTTTCAAGTACCTCGTTTCTAGATCACTCCATCTGACGTCGAGAAACCCGAGATTTCACTGGGAATGGTCACCGGCTAGTGTACATAGGTTTGAACTATTTTAACTGCTAAACTATCTTATCTTTCAAATCTATATATAAAATTTTTTTTAGAAGTCTTACAATATAATATAGTTGTGCCATTTAAAATTAAAAATTAGAAAAATCAAAACTGAGTGGCACTACAGGGGATCGAACCCGGATCGTGTGGGCCGTAGACACGCGCGCTCGCGTCTGCACCACGGCGACCTACGATGGCGATATATACCTATATTGCTCAGCCGGAAAACTGTTTTGGAAGAACGAAAAACGAACCAGGTTTTGAGGCATACTGCACACAGCGCGACCCATGTCGCCATGGCGCAGTCGAGAGCGCGCTCGTTTACAGCCCACACGATCCTGGTTGGACCCTCCATAGTGCCGCTCAATTTGACTTTTTTTACAAATTTCAGCTTTTTTGGCTCAAAGACGGCTGAGAAAAAGTCCGTACAGATGGAAAAAAAAACAGACACTATATAGGAAATATGGTTTATTTAAAGTCTTTCTTTGCTAGATTCAAAAACCTTAACTCATTGGAATCATTGACAACGGAGGGATTCGCCGGATTGGGCATGTTCAATGATGCGACACTGGTTTGTGTGAATGAAAAACATTTCAAATTTGCTCAATTTTAGATCCCAATCGTGAACCTATCCTATCTGCACTTAAGAATCACACACGGACATCGTGAGGAGTTCGCGAATCGAACCACGTGGTTGCCGATTGATGGTACTGTAGAAATTTGTGAGCTGAGCATAGTCCTTTTCTACTTCTTGAATGTTTTTTAAATTCTTCAGTTATTGTCGAATAGCTACCCTAAATACTCTAATAGAAGGCCTATAATGACGGGTGTACAGTCGCGTAGTCTAACTTTGAATGTCGAATTCTCCGCACTGCTTTAAGCTACAGAGTGCGCTTGGGTATCAAATGATAGCTCTTGAAATCTAGTATTTTTTGGTATTGAGAAAATCTGGCTGGGCTGAGAAAAAATGATTTTCAGGCAGTCTGCTATTGAGGCTAGCTTCTTTGGCGCCTCATCAGCTTGAAGTTGATTTATACTCGATCGGTTTCTGTGTGATCACGGCCATCTCCGCAAAGGATATGTGCACGTTTATGCGGGTGAGAACGTGAAAAAGAAATGATTTGTGTAACAAATGATTACAAATGAATGTAAATTGAATTCTTGATTTAGGCTTGGCGTTCGCTCGTTCAACCGTGGAAGATCAGGAGCATCAACTTCAACTCAACGACAACGATTAGGTAACGTTCAAAAAGTATTCAATTCATTTTTAGCAATTGAAAACAATCAATTTATTTCCTTAATACTTTATTTATTAATGGATTTTGTAGACTTTTCGTTTTCTTTTTTTTGACTAAATAGCTTGCTCACATGGTTACTATATTCTATTGGGTTACTGTATTCTATGGGTAGAATTTTAGACAAAAATTTCATTCTATTCATTATTGTCGTTGTTTTAGTAAGCCATAAAGCTATTTCCGTCTGAAAAGTATCGAAAATGAGATTTTGTGGATTCGAACAGAGAAAAGTTGAATGAAATTCAAGTTTTCTTCGTTCTTTTTTAAATGAAAGATGAAATGAAAGTTGAATACAAAATTATGAATAATTATGAATAAATTTTGTCTTCAACTTATGAGTTAATTTTTTGTGTAAAAGAAAAGTTTCAGCGAGTTTCGCACAGTCGCTCATCAAATGGGACTTTTTTTGAAAGACGCTCTAATTGATGTACCGTATTGCAAGTTTCGGTAAGGAAATTTTCAGAAATTCTACATAAACTATAAGATGTTAATTGAAATCAATAATTTTTATCATATTTTTATCATATTTTTAGAACTCATCATCCAAGCGATCCCAATCATGTGCTCGATTTGATCTGCTTTGCGTCAACGGTTGGGGAAATGGCTTTATTTAGCTTTTAAAAGCATAAAATAATCTTTAATCAGTGATTGTTATGATACTATTACAGTAATCTGAAAAAGTCAAACGTTAGATTGAAATTTAGCTCACATTAGCTTCAACTAGTGTTCAGTTCAGAATACTGCGGTGAGACAGAGCTTTACAGTAATAACTTTAAGTAGATATTCTTTTAAGATAAATAATCTTTACGTGGATATTCTTTTAAGATAAACAACCTTTAAGTAGATATTCTTTTAAGAGAAACAATCTTTAAGTAGGTATTCTTTTAAGATAAACGATCTTTAAGTAGATATTCTTTTAAGATAAACAACCTTTAAGTAGATATTCTTTTAAGATAAACAACCTTTAAGTAGATATTCTTTTAAGAGAAACAATCTTTAAGTAGATATGCTTTTAAGATAAACAATAGTTTTTGGTAAAAAAAAAAATGAAAAATGAAACTTTCAGGGCACAATGAATCAGTGGTCTTTCAAGAGTGGCTACCCGGAATTTCGTGGTTGTCGTCAGCGGAGTATGCGACAGAAAATCGCGCCTGTTCCCCACTAAAGTTCATTTGTTTTATCCAAATCTCATATCTGAATCTAAAGAAATTTTTACGATTTTTAAAACTTAGCCCTCGTTTAGTTGATTTCCGTTGTTTTTCCCGTTAAACTGCCATTTTTTTCGATCCCCTTTCAAATCTTTTTCAGGATTCGGATGCCGTGACTTTAACTAGTCTTTTTCTTTTTGATTTTGAGATTCTTATGTCAATAATTTTTGCATTTTATAGAAAAATCCTACTTACTTATTAAAAATCTAGTTTTACTGTTAAATGTTTACTTCAAAAACCAAAAGGATTTGAATTTTTAAAAAAAAAACTCATTGTTGCTTTTTCTAAAGAAGCATTTATTTCTTTTATTTTTCATTTTTATCTTTCTTTGATTTTCGAGTTTATTTCTTTTTTGATTTCTTTTTGATTTCTTTTCAATTTCTTTTTAATTTCTTTTTGATTTCTTTCTTTTTTCCTTTACCGGTAGCACTTTGATCAGTTTTTCTCTCTCCTCTTTTTCTAAATATGAGATTTCTATCAACATCTTTTGCATCTATTTTCTTTTTTTCGAAATAAATTTTATCAAAATACAAAATACAAATGATTTATGATTTTTGATTTTTGACAGCATGGAAAGAATCGCATAAAAGTTAGAAAACCCGTTTTTAGGGAACGGTGAGTTTTAATTAGATTGATGAGATTGAAAAAGAACAAGAAACAAAGTAAATTTTTAGGTTAAAAGTTAAAGTTTTACAAGCAATTGTGCAACGAAGCAATTGAAGCTTTTAGCTGAATATCATAAAAAGATTCAACATTAACTTTGCACAAAAATATTTGTACCCTAAAGTCTCGAGTATAAGTGCTGCCTTAATTTACATTCGCTTTAATTGCTTTGAATTTCTTTTTGTTGGGTTTTTATACATTTTTATTGTTATATAAACTTTTATTATTGTTCTTGGAGCGCGGGATACTACAGGGTGACAGCCTATCACCATTGCTATTTGTTATGTGCATGGATACATCCAGACGATAGTGTTCAAGAAGACGCTGGAAAGCATCTCTTTCGACCGTCGACGTGGACTTTGGCCCTTTGGCCGGATGAAGAGGCCAGGGAGGGGATCCATAAGACTGAGCACCGGAGAGGAGCAGGGCGGACGCGCCGAGCCACGCCCGGAGCAACAAATAACAGCATAAAATTGCTATAACCCTCAATAAATTATCTTCTATTATTGTTCTTAAAAAGCAAAAAAGTTATGCTGCAGCGGGGTTCGAACCCTCGACACACCGCACCGGAGACAGCCGTCAATTTGCATGCGAAAACCAAACAGAACTTATACTCGCGACTTTAGGGTACTTCTTTTGGACTTGTACTTGTCAAATATTTGTACGTTGTATTCAATTCTTTTGGTGCAGAAAAAAAAACTGGAAATAAATTGAGTTTAAAAAAAGAATGTTTAAATCGATAGAGATCTAGAGCTTTGACTTTTCAATGCTAGATATTAAGCTTTCCGTCGAACACACGATGAGATCATGGAGATTGCGCGATTCGGTGGACGACAACACATCGTCAAGCACTCTCGAGCCCACATACCACAACTAGAATTGGGCAAAAATCAAATTGGTCTAGAAGAGGAAAAGAAAAGGGAAGCCTCTTCTACCGCGGTGGTTTGCCAGATGGATAGCGATTACGCGACCGCACAAAGAACATCTCGTCAGTCATTTATTTTAGATTTCTCTTTGCTTTGTAAATTGTCTTAAAAAGAAGATGTTTAGCTGTAAATTTGTACCCGGGGGTTTTCGGGGACGGAGAATCGATTGGAAGTATTTCAAATTTAATTTCAAAAGTGTTTAAAAGCCCGAAAAGTCTTCGATTTCTCACCTTTTCTCGACGCGTGATGTCTCGTTGGGCGAAGGTGAGATCGGATCTCCATTCTGGAATTTTGAAATTAGAAACTTTCAATTACAATTGCAAAGTACAGAATGTTAAATAATAATTTACATACTGTATGATCTTTCTAAATAAATATCACCTTTACATCGAATGTCAACAAGTCTCCCAATGGAGTTGGCTGAGTCATGATCACTTGGGTTTTCACTGGAAAACTCGGTGATTTCTTTTCTCCAAATCATTGCTCACCTTTATGTTTTTCTTTAAATTTCTTGCAACTTTCACAATCGTCATCCCGTGACACTTCCCAATCGTTTAAATCACTTTTTGCGAATTTGTGCAACGTGGAAAAGTTGTTTAGTAAAAGCCATTCTGTTACCTGAAAATTCAAATTTATTGGCTTTAAATAAATTGCTTTAAATTGCTTCAAATATTAATTCTTTCTTCTTCCTTATCTTTCCTATTTCTAAAGGGTAAACAAGAGGCCAATAGCTCAATAGGTAGAGCATCTGTTTAGTAAGCAAAAGGTCCCAGTAAAGTCGAGGCTTCAATTCCCCTTGGTTCCAAATTTAAGATTTCCTTTTCATACTTTATGAACGGATTTTGTGTTCAAAACATTCTTTCTAACACAATCATTGTCTTCCATACGAAACTAAAGGCCCAAAGCTGCGCCAGAAAGGCCCAAAGCTGCGCCAGAAAGGCCCAAAGCTGTGCCAGAACGAAACTAAAGGCCCAAAGCTGCGCCAGAAAGGCCCAAAGCTGCGCCAGAAAGGTCCAAAGCTGCGCCAGAAAGGCCCAAAGCTGTGGACAGGGGAAAAGAAATATACAAGGTTCCCAAAATACAGTAAACAGGAGAAAAACAACCATTTTTTAACTAGAACTCAAGATTCAACCTTTGATTGTAAAGATGGAGCATCGTCGGGACTGACTGAAGTGGCTGCATCAGGACGAATCTTTTTCACAATCGAGTAGAGATCCGAGGCCGACAATTCAAAGAGAGTCGCCATTCTCTCCACAAAAAAAACGCCTCAATCCATTCACAATCGTTCAATCATTGAAACAAAATCACAATTCTAAATCTAGGCATTAAATAGAGTGTATAAGATTTGCTTTAAAGCTCGTGATGAAGTACACGTTAAGCGAAATGTAAAAGTACTGTAAAGCAAAGTTAACCTAACCGGTTTTGCAAGCCAGGCCTGACCCTTGGCTGGTTCATGGACTCTATAGACAGGTCTGGAGTAAAGCCTGGCTTACTTCTCAATGTAAGTTGGCCTGGTTCGCCCTGTTTTGGTCATGGACTTGACCTAGAACCTTTAAAACGAGATGAGAGTTATAGCTGAAATGGAAAATGGAAAAAAAATTCTTCTAGAACCGAAAATTCTGGGATTTATCAAGGGAAAAGGGAAGCGTTTCCGGTTTTTTTTTTCGGATAGAAATTTGAGTCGTTCAATTTGGGGAAATCTTAGGACAAAAATATTAGTATTTTTGAGAAAAGCGGAGACGAAATCGAGGATAAAAAGAAGTTTTTGGGTATTCAAAATAGCGTTTTATTGACTCAAAGTTGTAAGTCAAGCTTGACAAATTGAATTTTTCGGGATTTGTAACTTTCAGATGTACTTTCAGATGCACTTTCAGATGTACTTTCAGATGTACTTTCAGATGCACTTTCAGATGAAAATTTACTAGATTAGAATAGACAAATGAAAATTATCATTTAACTCTAAAGTTGGCGAGGAAAAAAAAGTCAAAAAGTATTCGGGCCTATTTGTGACTTTTATTTCTGGCAACTTTTAAATGCTAATTTTCGGGAGAAATAGTCACAAGTACAGTTAAACCTCGATTTAACGATTCTCTTGATTTAATGATGTCGATTTTTGATCCCTTTAAAGATACTTACCTTATAAAGACGTTCGATTTAACGATGAAGAACCCCAGTGAATGAGAATCGTTAAATCGAGGTTTGACTAAAGGTTTCTTTCTTCTTAAAGTAGAAAATATAAAAAACCTGAAAGAAATAGAAATTGCTAAATTTTAAAGTCTTTCGGATTGATCAAGAAAAAGAAAGAAATGAAATGTCGTGAAGGGAATGAATTGAAGAAAAGAGAAAGAAGAGAAGGGGAAGAAGAAAAGAGGAAGAAGAAAAGACGAAGAAGAAAAGACGAAGAAAAAAAAAGAGGAAGAAGAGAAGAACTCAAAAAGAGCCGAACTTTTTGAAGAAGAGTGGGGGGGGAATGGAAGAGGAAGATGGACACAGAACACACATCAACAAATAAACACAAACAGACTCATGCCTCGAGGGAAAGTGGATTGTACGAGAAAGTGAAAGAATGAAGATTTCGAGCGATAGACAACGCAGCCTCTTCATTAACTCATCGTAATGAAATCTGATAGAAGATTGAGATCTCTCTACTTATAATTGGTTAATCTGAGAACTCGAAATTGGTGCTACAAATTTGTTAGATCTGTTTTGAAAATCTCTATAGCTAATTTAGTAAAATTTCCAACATTTTACTTGATAACATCGTCGTCGGATCGATGCGTTTTCGATCTAAGAGGGGGTGGGACAAATGCGACCTTTTTTTTGCGCACCTGGACATTTGCGCACCTTTTTTTGCTGGAAAAGGCCTTAGGAAAGGTCGTAGAGCTTCAAAAATGTTTTCATAGAAGGGAATCGTATTCGTAGATTCCGAATTTCAACAAATCAGACCTCGCTGACACGTCAAATTTGAGCTAAAAGGCAAAAACTGCGGAAAAGCGTTAAGTTGCGTAGTTTTTCCCTTTTAGCCCAAATTTGACGTGTAAGCGAGGTCTGATTTGTCGAAATTCGGAATCTACGCATACGATTCCTTTCTATGAAAACATTTTCGAAGCTCTACAACCTTTCCTAAGACCTTTTCCAACAAAAAAAAGGTGCGCAAATGTCCAGGTGCGCAAAAGAAAGGTCGCATTTGTCCCACCCCCATCTAAGACTTTAATCTCGAGCTTTCAAGTTATATAGTGAAGATTTAAAGTTTGAGAATGATAAATATTTGCAAGATGACCCCAAAGGGGCGATTTATAAAGAAAAGTGTCAAAGAAAAAGGGTGAGAGGAGACTAAAAAGGTTGGCCTTTTCCCTCAACAGATGAAAGTCAATTCGAAAAAATTTCCATACTAATTGCTGACTATTCTACGAATAGAGATCGATTTCAGAATATTTTAAAAGCTTAAAAATACGAGCAAATTCTAATATCATCCTTTTTATCAAGTCTAGAAAGATTGAAACCGAATTGTTGAAAGCAGTAACTCAAAAATGGGCTTCAATTGCACTAGTACTGTTTTTTTTTCCGCCAAATCCCCTCACCGGAAAAACCCTTATTTTTGGATGAAGCTCGAAAAAAGAGCGCTTTTACCACGGCAACGGAAATCTCAAATGAGTCGAAAATTGAGATGAAAAGGAAGATGAACTGAAAAGCTAATGATTTTGATAGATTTTGGTAGATTTTAGTAGATTTTCAAGATTCAAGATTTTCAAGTGTCAAGTATCCTTGAGTACATAAGTATAAAGATCATCAAGTAAAGCACAATATATACCGTAAATACTGTAATAGTGCCCCACCGCCATAATGACGGTGCGGAGCGTTGCGTAGTCTAGCTTTGAACGAGTTTTTCTCGACACTGGTTTATGCTAAAATGCGCGCTTAGGTATCAAAAAATAGCTGAAATTCAGGGCTATTTTTTGATACCAAAGCGCACATTTTAGCATAAAGTAATGTCGAGGAACTAATGTTTGAAAAAGGTATCAAAAAATAGCCCTGAATTTCAGCTATTTTTTTGATACCTAAGCGCGCATTGTAGCATAAACCAGTGTCGAGAAAAACTCGTTCAAAGCTAGACTACGCAACGCTCCGCACCGTCATTATGGCGGTGGGGCACTATTACAGTATTTACGGTAAGTGTAAAGATCATCAAGTAAAGCACAATACATAAGTATAAAGATCATCAAGTACAAATCAAATACTTTAGCACTCTTGAGTAGATCTAGTTCTAATTTTGAAAATTTATACAAGAACCTAGCCATTTTAACTCTTAGCTGACTAAAATTTCTGATTTTTGACTAAAATGTCAGAAAGTGGGAGGAAAATTTTCTGAGTGGTCATGAATTGAGAATGAATTCTCGTCTTCGGAGTCGATCTCAACAAAAAAGAGACAAAGGAAAAGGTTATAAGATAGAAATTGGAAAACAATCTCATTTCATTGAGATCAAAATGAATTCAAAAGCTATCTGATTCATTAGAACTGATTTCAAAGCGATCTGCTTTCAAATCGATTTGATTTTCCTTGTCAGATTCGTTCGATTCGTTCAATTTCCTATACCTTAACAACGTTAAAAGCTGACAAAACCGGTTTTCAGATTTCGAAATAGGATCATCAAGTTAATCTAAAACAATTCCAAACTTTGAGTTGCAATTTGTAGGAAGTTAATCTAGAAGTTAACGTTAAGAAGTTAGTCTAGAAGTTAAAGTTAGGTTAGTCTAGAAGTTACAGCTAAGAAGTTAAGATTAACTTCTAGAAGTTAAAGTTAAGTTAATCTAGAAGTTAATCTAGAACAATTTCGAATCAGTATCATCAAATTAATCTAAAACAATTTCAAACTTTAAGTTGTAAGAAAGATCACTAGGTCCACTTGATGAGGCCGCCGTGCGCCTCAAAGGACCCTCAACTCTCAACTCCACTCAACTCCGCTCAACTCCTCAACTCTCAACTCCACTCAACTCTCAACTCCGCTCAACTCCGCTCAACTCCTCAACTCTCAACTCCGCTCAACTCCACTCAACTCCGCTCAGCTCAACGAACTCAACAAAAAATGATATCAGAAACAAATTTTGTTTACAATTCATGTCCTTTCATGTGTCTTTTTCAAAATCAAAATAGTTTTATTTTTCCAAGTATTTACAAAAAATTCTTTCCAATTTATACTGTGAGACATCTGGCCTAAAATTGATTTGTTTAGTTTATATGAAATTGATTTATTGATTGTTTTAATTGAGATAAAGACTTACTTGAGCGATGACACAAGTCTGATCTTTCGATTTCTTATCGTTAAGGACCATTTCCATTTGGTAGGGATTGTCATTCTTCAACAGTTTAATGATTTGCTAAATTTTTTTTCATAATGTTTCATGAGATTGTTCAAAAATACCTGGAATTTGGTGAAATCCAAAGTGATTGGAAGAATTTGACGGCCGGTTTTCACTAAAATTTATCAATTTATCATCCAAGCCGACTTAAACAACCTAAACAATCAATACGTTTTATCAATTTATCTTATCATATCTTATCTTATCAATTTATCAATCAACTTATCAATCAATATCAATATCAATCAATCAATCAATAATAACTTATCAACTTATCAATCAATCAACTTATCAATTAATCAATTAATCAATCAATCAATCAATCAATCAATCACATCAATCAATCAATCAATCAATCGACCACCAATCAATCAATCAATCAATTACCAATTAATCAATTCAATTAATCAATCAATCAATCAATCAATTAAAATCAATTAATCAATCAATTATAATCAATTAATCGTAATCAATCAATCAATTAATTCAAATCGATCGATCAATCCAATCAATCAATCAATTAATCAATTATCAATCAATCAATCAATTAATCAATCAATTAATCAATCAATCAATCAATCAATCAATTAATCAATTAATTAATCAATTAATCAATCAATTAATCAAGTTCTTTTTTTTGAAAACAAACCTGGGCAAGGAACACCATTTGTGCAGGCGTCAAGATCCTGAAAAAAAGAAAATGATTACAGGATTATTTGAGTGATTAATAAACTACAAAGCTTTCTATAATTTATAGAATATTCAAATAAGAAGAAACATTATCTTTCTCACAAACCTTGAGCAAGTTTAATGTGGGCACAGTAGTCCATTGGCATCCAGCGCTGCTTCCCCACGACCACAAGTTTACAGTGCTCTAGAAAATCATAAAACTTTTTGCATAAAGTTTTCTATTTTATACAATAGTTTCTGAAGTCATTAATGAAATTTCTCATTTACCAAAAGATTTGGTGAATCGTATTGATTGTTTGGGTTGTTTAAGTCGGCTTGGATGATAAGCGGCTCAGTCAATTTGATCGGATACTCAGCCTTTCCTGAAACACATTGAATCTCTACAATTACTTTATAAATTACCTTTCGAATCAAGAGCTGTTACTTTGTAGAAAGTGACCGGCGATTTGCACGAGGGGAACCATGTCAACGCTTTGTCAGTGCCGTTCGGCCACTAAAAATTAGATAATTGACTCATTTTATACACTATAACAGCCGCACCGCCCGGCTAACAGTGGGTTTTTCAGCCAGAAACCGCTGTCGTCATGGCGCAGTGTGCAGAGCGGTATTCTACAACCCACATGGTCCGGGTTCGACCCCCCGGCGCACCATCGAATTTTGATTTTTTAGATTTTAAATGTCAAACTATATTATAGTTATTATAGTTTAGCAAACTATATTATAGTTAAGAATTAAAAGTAACTCAAAGACGTTTGAGCCAAGATATACCTGTTGATCACAGGCGGCGGCGAAGGCGATAAGGCAGGCAAGGTAGACAAGTCGTTGCATTTTTACGTTGGATTACTAAAATAATAATAAAATAAACGCATCAAATTGTAAGCTTTATTAATTTTATTAAGAAAAAAGCAGACGAGGTAGGCAAGCTTTAACTAATGATCAAGAGGAATAGCTTTGGTTTTGCAACTTTCTGATTTCAAACAAAGCCTCAAAAAGTCCGGGTCTAGTTTAAGCCGCACTGAGAGACTAATTTCTAGGCAAAAGAGAAAAGATAACAGCGTAAATGACTTGAGAATTTGTGTGGATGATGGGTGATTTATAAGCGCGCGTTATCTCGTTCGAAGTCCGGGGACGGTGTGATCGGAACGTGTAGCTTGAAGTCTTCTGCTTCTTTCCTTTTTTTTTCTTCTTTTCTTTCCATTATCAGCATTCCATCCAGTGTACTCCCCGATTTTCGCTTCTTTTTTCCATCGCGATTTATGGCCATTGTATAAAGATAAACACGTCAAACCAATTCCTTTCTGCTAACAACAGCTAATCCGCAAGGAATTCTTCTTTGGATATTGAACTGAAATTTTAAGAGGCATTTTCTAGAGTACAGTCTTGCAGCAGAATTGAAAACCTGATATCATTTGAAAGGATTTATTATGATGAAAAATATTATGATGAATATTAAACAGTTTGCTAAGCCAAGTCTTCAGAGAATCTTCAGGGAATCTTCAGAGAATCCAGAGAATCCAGAGAATCTTCAGGAAATCTTCAGGGAATCTTCAGGGAATCTTCAGGGAATCTTCAGAGGATCTTCAGAGAATCTTCAGAGAATCCAGAGAATCCAGAGAATCCGAAATCAGAGAACTCATCTTCAGGGAATCTTCAGGGAATCTTCAGAGGATCTTCAGAGAATCTTCAGAGAATCCAGAGAATCCAGAGAATCCAGAGAATCCAGAGAATCTTCAGAGAAATTGTGCATAGAATTTTTATGACAAAACTTAGAAACTCACTTACTTTAAAAGCTTAAAATTTTTTCTATAGAGTCAATTTTTTAAACACAAAAACTAGCCTCGACGACCTTAACACGTTCGGGAGAATTCGGTCCACCGGTGGACGAAGGCCGTTTAGTCCCTGGGATGGTTCGGGCCACCGGTGGACGAAGGCCGTTTAGTCCCTGGGATGGTTCGGGCCACCGGTGGACGAAGGCCGTTTAGTCCCTGGGATGGTTCGGGCCACCGGTGGACGAAGGCCGTTTAGTCCCTGGGATGGTTCGGGCCACCGGTGGACGAAGGCCGTCTGGCCCCTGGGATGATTCGGGCCACCGGTGGACGAAGGCCGTTTAGTCCCTGGGATGGTTCGGGCCACCGGTGGACGAAGGCCGTCTGGCCCCTGGGATGATTCGGGCCACCGGTGGACGAAGGCCGTTTAGTCCCTGGGATGGTTCGGTCCACTGGTGGACGAAATTTTTGATGCGCTAAAGTTTTTCAACTTTTTAAAGAAAATGCGAACTTTTGATAGTCGCTGATTTTTGACCGGCTTCGTATTGATGGAAATTTCGAATCGGAGTCGAATGGGAGAGGGTAAATTTATTCACGTTTTTTTGTGCGAGTGAAAAGACAATCGGGATTGGATTGTCAGAGAGGAATTGAGGGATTTCTTTTCTATTTTCCTAGGTCTCGAAGGACGACCTCGAAATGGCCTCCTTTGAATGCCTCTAATGTTTCCTCGCCTATCATAGTTTTGCAAAAGTTTCTCTTTCTTATAAAATCAATGATATTGTCAATAATAGAACTGGAGAAAGAAATAATTTCATTTTGTTTTTGATTTATATCATTAATTGCTTTCATTTTGGCTTTCTTTTTGGCTTTTTGATTCTATTTGATTGTATGCAAGACTTAGGTTTAGAGTAGTAAGGCTTAATAGTAAGGCTTAATAGTAAGGCTTAATAGTAAGGCTTAATAGTAAGGCTTAATAGTAAGGCTTAATAGTAAGGCTTAATAGTAAGGCTAGAGTACTAGCCCTTAGAGTTATTTTAGAGTTACTAGCCCTAAAATCAAAGCTTGAACTTGATCTATGTGAGTACAAGATTTAAAAATAGTCGAGCTTCTTGTCATAACTAATTGTTGCTTTGCTTTGTTGTTGTTTTTCCTCTGAATCAAACATCAAACAATCTCAATCATTAATCCCATTTTAAAACCATTTCATCAACTCTTTATCGACTCTCTTTTTGTAAGATGTTGGTATTTTTACGAGCTTAAGTGTAGAGGGTCAAGCTCATGAACTTCGCTCTCTCTTTTGTTCTCCCAAAAGCGATTGAGCTCTTTTTTTTTGAAATGTGTAAAGTTGAGATAGAAAAGAGGAGGGAAGGATGAGCACAAAAGCGATCAGTGAATTGAGATGATAAGAGAGCTTAGAGATCAGCTTTGACTTTTCACGTTTGTCCCGTTTATTCGATTTTTTTCGATGTGATCGTGTTTCGAAGTGAGCTAGAGCTAGATTAATCACAAATCTTGTCACTTTTTTTCTCATTTTCGAATCCTGCAAATTCTAAAGTTCTCTTTGTGATCAAATGCACATTTTTCCACTAGCTTCAAAGAACTTTTTCTTATTTGAACCCTGTTCGTTCAGCAAATTTGCATTAGACAGCTAATTCTGAATGCCAACACCAGTACGCATACGACAGAACATATCTTGGCCAAATTTCACTCGAATCTTTTTGATTTTGTTATCAATTGACGGAGAATTTCATTTTCTATCGATTGAAATCAAAAATCGATTAAAATTAGAGTGAAATCGGCAAGATTTGACATTTTTTCCGTTCAATATCTATTGACATTTACAAATTCTCAGGTCTAATTCACAAAAAAAAGCTTTGAGCATTGTAGATTCGAAGGAAAATGCAATATTCAACAAATTTTTGTTGATGAGTTTGTTTTTATTCATCAGTTATCCTAATATTGAAATAATTTAGATAAAGATCTTGTACTTAAACTTGTACTTAAACTTGTTCAAACTTGTACTTGAACTTGTACTTGAACTTGTACTTAAACTTGTACTTGAACTTGTTCAAACTTGTACTTAAACTTGTTCAAACTTGTTCAAACTTGTTCAAACTTGTACTTAAACTTGTTGTACTTAAACTTGTACTTAAACTTGTACTTAAACTTGTTTAAATTTATTGTATTTAAACTTGTTGTACTTAAACTTAAACTTAAACTTGTACTTGTTTTACTTCATTCTAGTAGATTTGTTCCGTAAAGTGGGGAAATTTTTGGGTGTTGCACCCATTGAGTCTACCGGTCCTCATCAACTAGCCGATTCGCCCGCTATTCAACAATTCACTCTCACATTGTCCCCGTCAACAACAATCGCTATCGATTCCTTTTTTCCTCCATCATGTCAATCCGCTTATGTATTTCATAAAAGACAAATATGGAAATTGGCTTTTTTAGGTGTTTATTGGATCTCTGACAGTATTTTATAAGAAATAGAAATTCTAGATTTCCAAAGAGCAAAATAAGAACAAAATAAGAACAAAATAAAGGAAAATAAAGCTAAATAAGACCCAAATAAGTGCTCTTTCTTTAAAACTTCAAATCGTTCTCTTTCTTTTGTGATAACTCGCCTTTCTCTCGTTTGATATGAGTCATTGATTTCATTTTTTTTTTTCATCCGATCAAGTATTTGTGAGGGGGACGGGTGGCCGTCAAGAGAGGCGTTTCAGCATACATATTGACAACTCTAACCCTTTTTTTTCCCTCACAAAAGACCAAATCGGTTGCTGAATTTTTTCTCATGTATTTCCTCCGATGATCAACTTTTGAGACCAGAAACCGAAAGGATGTCAAGTTCTCTTTTCACCAAAAAATCCTCTTTCTCTCAGATCTCAGCTGTCGAGCGCTATTGGTGATTTCTTTAAGCTTGAGTCGATGTTTTGAAAGACTCCCAAAAAAGTTTCAACTATTCTTTAAAACATTCTTTTTATTAAACTTGTTTTCCTTATAATTTTGATCGATTTAGATCGATTTAGATCGATTTACAGTAATGAAAACGCGACGTAAACTCTTAGAAATGAGTGAGTTTATTTGGAAATAAAAAATAGATAAATGTACTTTAGGTAGAGACGAGTTAGCTGCTGTGATGGCAGTCGTACTTCCAGGGAGGAAAATTGAGGAACTTGAAGAGGCACAAATGCAAGAAATGATTCTCAAATGGTTTGTTTTTTTCTGAAATGTTTAAGTTTACCTTAGAGATTAGAAATGATTCTCAATAAAGCCCGAATTATCGGCAGATAGATGTAGTAATAAGCGTTTTAAACGTTTTAAACGTTTAAAACGTAATAAAACGAAGCCCGCCAATCGATTCCCGGTTTCAGCGCAATATCTTCTTTTTCTATGATCTTCAAACAAAGAAAAATCCCTGAAAAGAAAATGATTGACGAGGTGCTCTTTGTGCGACCACGTAATCGCTCTCCATCTGGCGCAAGCCACTGATAGATATCCTGAAATTCTCCATTTGCTATGATCTTCAAGCAAAGAAAAATCTCGGAAAAGGAAATGATTGACGAGGTGCTCTTTGTGCGGCCACGTAATCGCTCTCCATCTGGCGTAAGCCACTGATAGATATCCTGAAATTCTCCCATTCGGTAAACTGTTCCGGCTTGGAGGGACTTCCCTCTTGGAAAGCGGAAGAAGCCGTTCAGCGACGGAGCCAATTTCGACCCTTGTTTTGAGCAAATTTGTCAAGATTTTCGCCACAAATTCTAAAACCCTCCAAACAAAAACGAGCTGAAATGCTCAATCTATTAAAGCTGATTTCATCTTTTACCTGATAAATTATTGTTTATTGTTTATTGATATTGATTTACTTGAATTATTTCTACGTGAAAGTTCATTAAAACTCTATTAATACAGCTAGAGACAATTTGGTTTTAATGAGAATCGTTCCTAATTCCGACTTCTTCTTTAAAACTTTAACTCCAGGTTATTCGGGAGTGGCCTTTCAATGAAACACGAGTTCATTTTTGATACCGATGATGATGGAGACGTTTTCGTGGTGATGAGTGGGAAGAGGTCGTGTGAGTGCTGTTCTAAAGGTAAATTCAAGGCAATATTTTCGAATTTTATGTTCAAAAATGTAAGCGCATTTCTCGTGGACCCGATTTCACTTTTATCAAAGCTATAAAGATGTAATTTGTAATTGTAAATGCATCAGAAAGGGGTTCGTTTCCATTTTTGAACTTAAAAAGTCATCAGATGAGCATAAATTCAAGTTAAAGACTTTAAAAAAATGATTTCCGATGAATCCGATGCCACTTCACAATCGGCATTCGATCGATCCCCATTTGGCTCTCGTTTAGCTGTTTATCATGCAGAGGGTGACGGATCGGTGACCCTAGCCGTACCTGGACCTTATCGAGGTTACTTTTCAAATACTCAAAAGTTACTGATCTTAAAAGTTGAAAACTTTGACGTTAAAGAAACAGTTTTAACACTAAGATCATTATCTTGATCATCATCATCCATTTAACACTTTTATTCTATAGCTGCTTTCATCCCGAGCACTTCATTCTCTCCGGGAACTGTTCTAGTCCCCTATCAACTTTGTGAGTTCTCTGTGTACTGCATTCTTGTTGATCTCTGAAAAGCTATGAGATTTGAAGATGAAAAACGATTCAGCTTTGATGACACGATCGTATAGTTTTGGTGTTGAGAGTCTTAATCATTCGAATGGCATTTCAAATCATTTGCCAGGTTCTTGAATGTTTGAGCATTGCTCATCTGCATGCAATACTTGCTGTTTCATTCACAAAATCGAGATTGGATTGAGCTTGACATTGATTTCCTTTTGAGAAAAAAAAAGATTTTCTTAATTTCCTTGAATTCCTTGACTTTTAGAACGCCGAAATTCCGCGTCGAGTTCGGTGATTCACGGGACGAAACAGCCACAACCATATACGAGAACGAAATCGGATACACAGGTTTATTAGCAAATAAATGATCAATGCAAAGTCTAGCTTTGAAAGTGCTATCGATTTAATATACCAGAAAATCAACAAAACTTTCCAATAGAATCCATTGAGATCTATTTTGTGCCTCATCACAAGGGAAAGGCAACAGTTCAAGGTGGCCATCAAGGTGGTCATCAATGTGGCCATCAAGGTGGCCATCAATGTGGCCATCAATGTGGCCATCAATGTGGCCTTTCAAAATGAGACCTAGTGTAACTGATAGAACTTTTTACGCTGATTCCAAATCCATTTTTCGTTTTTCCATTGGGTCCCTGCGAGATATTTGATATACAAAAATTGAGCCGGATTCACGTATGTTTAAAAGCGTTCTTTATCATTCCCAAATTCCCAAATTTGACCGTGGCATGGCGCAGTGGATAGTCTAATAGTCTAATAGTCGATAGCCAATAGAGATACCCTTTTTGATGCTCTACAACAGCTAAAAATTGATGAGATTTTTGTCTCTGAGTTTTCTAGGTGAATGCCGTTCACCGCGTCCATCGCCTCGAGCCGCCGATGCAAATGCGAGACGGCCGAATGATTTCCGATCTCACCGAACCACCCAACTATAAACCCCCACCACCGCCAAATGGAGTCGATAAAATGCTTAATGAGAGACGCGGACAAAAGGTGATAATAAAGAAGATTTGAATTGTTTGAAGAAAACAAGAGATTTGTTATCTGAGATCTTCACTGGAGACGATTTATTTTTTTTTTTATCTGTTTTCGCATTCAGGTGTTCCTATTTGCGCAGATCACAACCTGCTTCCACACTTCTGTATCCCTTGCTATTGTCATCCAGTGTTTCCTATCTTGATTGTTCCTGGTTCGAAGTCTTCGACTTGCTTGTGCTGGTGGTGGTTGCACTCTAACCATCTTTTCTCTGACCGTCTCTGCCACTCTTGTGTTCCACCTCGTTGCTGGTCTTCCGATGGGCCTCTTCTGGTCTCGTGGTAGCCACTCTGTGATCCGTATCGTCCATCTGTCGTCTATTCTTCTAGCTATGTGGCCAGCCCATCTGAGTCTTTTTCTCTCAATCACTTCCACTGGATCTCTGAGTCCGGAGAGCTGGCGCATATCTTGGCGAGACGATTCATTTGAACTTTAATTCGTCTCCAGTAAAATTTTCAGCTAACATTTTCGTCAAAAATTCTCGATTCAGGTAACTCCCATTCGAACACAACCGGGCATCGCCAAGACTTCACCAAAACCAAAAGAACCCAAGGAAAAAGGTGAAAAGTATTAGAATTATTCTAGAATTAAACTAGAAATGTTATTCATCTTATTCATCTTATTCATTTTAGATCCCGAAAAAGAGAAAGGCTTTTTCCGATCGTGTTACCGCGAAATGGGGACTTGTTGTCTTGGATTGTGCTCTAATTTTTCTCTCTAAAATGAACCAAAAATCATTTCCACGTCGGGTTTATGAACTTTATCAACTAATTCTTTATGTTCTTTATGTTCTTTTCTCTTTTAATCTAACTGTTTCCTTTTCTTTGTCCATTTCTCCATCTCACTTATAAAAATTTGTGATAATGCCCAATGACTCTCAGCTAATTTCATGTTTTGTAATCTAGATTTTTAAAGATTTTTTTTCTCAAAATGAAGAGCTTATATAAGATGAAAAAAGTTAAATGAATAAACTATTGGAAAAAAAGGAAGTTACAAACAGGAAACAATAGTACAAGTTTCAAGCAGCTATCGATTGTTTCTGTGCAGAGTTTAAAGCACTTGTAAGTAGACTTCGGAAAAGAAAACTTAACCAAAACCAAAACCACCAAAACCAAAACTAACCAAAACTCGCCAATATCTCGCGACTGGGAGGATCTAGCGAAAATATGTTTGCAGATTTGAAATCAGCATCCAAAAATCTATCCCATAGGCTATTTTTTGTTTCGAAATTTCGAGGTCGTGTTTTGGTCCTTTTTTCGGCCGCGAGATTTTGTGGAGTGAGAAAAAGTGAAAGGCTAATTTGCATTTTACATTAAAATTTGCATTTTACAATTTTAAATTTACATGTTAATTTATATGCAAATTGAGTTTTGGTTTGTTTTGGTGTTTTGGTTTTGGTTTTGGTTTTGGTTTTGGTCTGTTTTGGTTTTGCTTGCCGAACTCTACTTGTAAGTACTATTGGAAAAAAAAGGAATACAATAGTACAAGTTTCAAGCAGCTATCGATTGTTTCTGTGCAGAGTTTAAAGCACTTGTAAGTACTATCGATTGTTCTCAGAGTTTAAAGCACTTGTATGTACTATTGAAAACAAAGGAATACAATAGTACAAGTTTCAAGCAGCTATCGATTGTTTCTGTGCAGAGTTTAAAGCACTTGTAAGTACTATTGTTTTCGATTGTTTCTTCTGTGCAGAGTTTAAAGCACTTGTATGTACTATTGGAAAAACAAAGGAATACAATAGTACAAGTTTCAAGCAGCTATCGATTGTTTCTGTGCAGGGTTTGAAGCACTTGTATCTGGCGTTTCTTCGTTGTAAGTTGGTGAGATCTAAAGCAAATATAAAGATTATTTAAAACTATATCAATTTCTCAAATCACTATATTAATGGTAAAGATTTACATGATTTCGACGCTTTTTATAGACGAAGGCGCGTCTTGAGAGGTAGATTACCTGAAATTTATAGAAGTAAAAAAAAGTAGAAAAGGAAAAAAGCAAATAAAAGCAAATAAAAGCCAAAAAAATGCTTAGTACAATATTTCAAATAAAATATTAACTTGGTTTCTTAGCTTGGTTTGAATGAAAGGTTATTTTTTACAAAAAATATTGCCCTGTCGTTACGAAGAACATTCGCTGTCTAGGATTTTTCTCAATAATATCTCAAAATGTGCTTACCGTATTTACTCTATTAGTGGGGTCCCCCACTATTTTTTCAACCCCCTTCCAGACGACCCCACTATTAGAGAGGACCCCACTATTAGAGAAATTTAAAAGAACATAAAACCAAAGTTTTAAATTGAAAAGATATCAATTTTTCTCCGAAATTCTTGACAAAACAAGTTTGGCTTCATATTTTATTTAGCTTTAACCGTAAAAAAACATTAACAAACAGTAAAAGAACTAATCCAAGAGATCAACAATTGATGTATCACTTTCGTTACCAATATCTTCTTCCAATTCGAGAGGACCCCACTATTTTTTCAACCCCCCTCCAGACGACTCCACTATTAGAGAGGACCCCACTAATAGAGTAAATACGGTATGTTTTTTTTTGCAAAAACTTTTTTGTTTTAAATAATATTTGTATTGTTTCAAGCTCGACAAAGATGGGTGACCAAAAATTTAAAATCAGGGTTGCCATATTCTTTGAATTCAAGTTAAAGCTACGGAAAAATTCAATTAAAGCTACGGAATGCCATCAGAACATTTGTACTGTTTTTGGAGAAGCTGCTCTTACTTACAAACAATGTTATGTTTGGTACAATCGCTTCAAAACGGGAAACGAGTCAAACGAGTCATTGGAAGATGCACCACATGGAAAGCCACCGATTACTTTGGACAATCAGCTGTTACTGAACGAGGTCGACTTGGATCCATCGCAAAAGTGTAGAAAATTAGCAGAAAAGTTCGGATACACTCATGTTACCATTGAAAACCATTTACACGTTCTTGGGAAATCATATCGAAGCGGGAAATGGCTCCCCCACGGCCTCACTGATGCCCACAAAGTCATACGAGTCACCCTGAGCTCTTTTCTTCTACGCAAAGCTCACCATCGTGACTTTTGGAAGTATTTTTTGACATCTGATGAGACTTGGCTTCCGTATGAAAACATTCAACTCCATGGACAGTGGCTGAGTTCGAAGTAGACCCCTCATCCAATCCCAAAGCCTCCGATACACGGGAAGAAAGTTATGATCTGTGTGTGGTGGAATACTAAGGGACTGGTTTATTTTGAAGTATTAGATAAAGGCGAGACTGTTGATGGAAGACTTTATGCAGAACAACTGCGTCGAGTCGATCGAGCACTGAGGAAAAAGCGGATCGATCCATCAAAGGTCAGATTTCTTCACGACAATGCCAGGCCGCACATTTCAAAGGTCGCCCACGAACAGATCGATAAGTTGGGATGAGAACTTCTTTCTCACCCACCATACAGCCCTGACCTAGCCCCATCGGATTACCACCTCTTTCGGTCTATGAAACAAGCGGTTTCTGGAAAGCAGTTCAAGCAAAAGCAGGACATCGAAAATTGAGTTGCCAACTATTTTGCCTCTAAAAATCTTCAATTTTACGACGACGGTATTCGTGATTTGGGGCGACGTTGGAAAGAAGTTATTAAGCTTGTGAAGCTTGTGGTGAATACATTTGATTTTGGAAGTTTAAATAAATTTTTCTGTTATGTTAAAAACATTAAATAATTGGGCATCGAGTTACAGTCGAAAAGCCAAGTCTTCATAATCCTGCCGCACTCTGTATTCAACAGAATTCAAATATCATATAAAATTTCTGTTAATCACTGTTTCTTTGTGACCTTTAGCCTGAACAAAAATCAAAAAAATGATAAAAACAAAAAAAATGATCAAAAAAATAACCTTTCATATTTACCAAGTTAATAAAATAAAAAGGATTCGATTTTCTTTTAAAAAAACTTCTTTAATTGTTTTTGATTGATTTTAAAATGGACCTTTTTTGGGTAAAGAGGAAAACAGACGAAAGCGAGGAGACAAACGGCTGACGGAGTGTAGAGAATGAGGAAATCTCTCAATGAGATGAACTTTAGAAAAGCGTTGATCATCGCCATTCGGAATTGATCAGGTGGATTTACTAAAAGAAAACGATTAAAAAAGATTACAAAAGATTACAAAAGATTACAAAAGATTTAAGAAAACATGCTCTCTTTTAGATTTTCTCTTTGTAGAGTGTGTTCCTCGCGAGTAATGCGTTTTTTAAAAACGCACACTTGGAAAAAAAAATTACCGTACCTTTAGCAAAATTTATGACAAAAATAATGACGCAAAAATTATTGCAAAAAATGGGGAGTGGGACAAGTGCGACCTTTTTTTTGCGCACCTGGACATTTGCGCACCTTTTTTTTGCTGGAAAAGGCTTTAAGAAAGATCGTAGAACTTCGAAAATGTTTCCATACTAGGGAATCGTATGCGTAGATTCCGAATTTCGACAAATCACACCTCGCTGACACGTTAAATTTGAGCTAAAAGGCAAAAACTACGCAACTTAACGCTTTTCCGCAGTTTTTGCCTTTTAGCCCAAATTTGACGTGTCAGCGAGGTGTGATTTGTCGAAATTCGGAATCTACGCATACGATTCCCTAGTATGGAAACATTTTCGAAGTTCTACGATCTTTCTTAAAGCCTTTTCCAGCAAAAAAAAGGTGCGCAAATGTCCAGGTGCGCAAAAAAAAGGTCGCATTTGTCCCACTCCCCAAAAAATGATGCAAAAATCACGAGGCCCCGCATTATATACGACACTTTTTAAAGATACTCAGCCGTTTAACTGATTTGGTGGGAAATTCCCTTCCAATGTAAAAACATGATTTTTTTTTCTTGAAAAACCTGCGCAAAAAATTGCTTTTATATTTTTTTCGCGCAGGCGCACTTTTTAGAAAACGCATTACCCGACAATTGCTCATGTAAATTTACTCGAGTAATTACTTACTCGCGAGGAAAACACTCTACTTTTAAGTATTTTTGTTTTTCTCATGAATCACGTTTAAATCGTAAGAGAGAACCATTGAGAAAACACTTTGGTAAAGGCTGAAATTGTGTGTAATGTCGAAAAATTTGTCATTTCTTTATAGCTTTTACTTCTAAAACCAATAACTCACACTCAATTTGGCCGACAATTTTGTAAAGAAATCCCTTGTAGTAGGAGAGCAAAAAATCGCCGTAGTTCATCGATTGATATGGCGTTAAAATTATCTGTTTTTCGTTTTTAAAATTCTATTTGAAAGTCTGTTTACTATTGGGTTGGTGAATTGAAAACTGCGGCCTATTGTCATATGTGACAGTTTGAAAACTTTCTTCAAAAGAAACCCATTTTTGTGTCAATGGAAAAGTTGTAGAGAATCAAAAATCAAGCTTATATCCAAATTTTCAGAACGATTCAAAAACTGGTTTTCAAGAAGTGCCAAATTTACAAAACTTGCATTTTAAGCAAAACTACTAAGTGTATCTTTTTGGAAATTTGGCTATAAGCCTCATTTTTGATTCTCTACAACTTTTCCATTGACACCAAAATGGGTTTCTTTGGAAGAAAGTGCTCAAACTGGGACATCTCCAGTCCTCGATTTTTGAGTCTCACACTTGTCTCACACACAAACCAAAATCCAACTAGAATCCAAAATCCGAAAGAGGAAGTAGTCAAAAATTGGCTTTGAAAGTTTTTCGATTCAAAACCAAAATCCTACTACGAAAGAGGAATCGGCAAATTGCCTGTAAAATGGGCAGAAGTCGTCAATAAGAATGGAAATTATTTCGAATGAATTCATGGTTTTATGTTGAATAAATTTTGGTTCAAAGTCCCGCAGTTTTCAATTCACCAACCCAATGTTTTACCTGTAAGATGAAACCATATAAAGATACTAGATGTAATTTACCAATCACAGATCCAACTTTCTAAAAAAATAGTGTTTAACTAAAAAACTTTCTCAAACCAGAGTGCCTTCTTTTTGACGACGTCTACAAATGAAAGGTAAACAACAAGAAAGAACAAGAATGAGTAGGAAATAGAGAATACCCATCAAAGTGGCACTAAATATGTAAAAACATTGTTATATTAAGCTGTCACTGTTATATTAAGCTGTGAAAGTTCAATTGGTGCATTTGTTGGTTTTAAACAAAAATATGAAAAGGAACGTAAAGACAACTTAATACTAGGCAACAGTGCTGATTAGATAATTTGATTGTATAATGATTATATAATGACTAGTGGAAAACGTTCACTAATGTTCCACTGGGAAGGTCCACGTTTTCCGTGCAATCTGAGCCCTGCCCCTTTTTGCCAATGGCTGCCCAGACGAACAGAGGGACAGACGACAGACGAACAGACGAACAGACGGACAGACGAACAGACGGACAGACGACCAGACGAATAGACGGACGGACGAACAGACGAACAGACGAACAGACGAACAGACGGACGGACGGACGGACGGACGAACAGACGAACAGACGAACAGACGGACGGACGAACAGACGAACAGACGAACAGACGGACGGACGAACAGACGAACAGACGAACAGACGGACGGACGAACAGACGAACAGACGAACAGACGAACAGACGAACAGACGGACGGACGAACAGACGAACAGACGAACAGACGGACATAGTAAGGGATTACATAATTAGATTGAAAACTTCTGACCCCATTGCAACGATGACATTGTACGTGGGCAATGGCTCGAATTGACCCTTCTTTAGTGGCATTTTTAACTGAAAACTTTTTTTTTATTAAAATCTATTTCTTTTTTATTTACACCTCTAAATACATGCAATATCCTTGTGCAATGTTTGGCACGATTAGCATCAAAATGAACCAAACGAGAGTGTAAAATCGGCGAAACGTTTCACGAGGTTTCACCAAGAAAACACATAAAATGGCGCTGATGAGCGATTCCAAGTAAAGTAAGATGAGGCCTGAAAGAAGAATTCAATGAAAAATTAAATGAAAAGCGATGGTTTTGAAGATTCGGATAATTACAAAGAAATCCCAGTATGGCTGAATGAAAAGCATTCAGCTTTATGACTACTTTTCACTTCAGAAAACTACAAAAAACTTTAATTTACCGTATCATTTCTTCTACAATTTAGCTTATTTAGATGGTAAATCTTGTTTTTTGAAATACCCGTTGAAATAACACTCATGTTGAGCATCAGCCACTGTTCGCTCGATAGCCAAATCGACTCGTCATGCAAGAAATTTCTCAACGGTGATTGCTCGGCAATGTTCGAGTAAAGAACCTAATATTTCTCAAATTTTCCACCATTTTAACACAATTCTTTACTCAATCTTTCCTCAATCTTCCCTCAATCTTCCCTCAATCTTTCCTCAATCTTTACTCAACTCCTCAACTTTACCAACTTTACCAATCTTCCCAACTTTACTCAACTCCCCTTCCTTCCTCAATCTTTACTCAATCTTTACTCAATCTTTCCTCAATCTTTACTCAATCCCATTGATTTCTTTTTGACTTCTCAAAGCCGAACAAGCGGAATTTTGTCTATCTCCAATCTAATTTATCTTTCTGCTTGTAAATCTCAAATTACTCCCAAAACATCTGCCCTAATCATTATTTCTTGAGACTAAGTTTCAATGAAATTTTTGTAATTGCTAATGGTTTAATGAGATTTTTGTAATTTGTAATTGTTTTTTTTTCGTCTAAATAGCAACCAGTTGCCAAAACATCCAAGCCGAGAGATTCAGCATATGCCATCGCTTGGGATCCGTCGATCGGGAGAACAGTGAAAAGATGAACAAAACCACGCAAAATGGAAGAGTCACCAAAGCTACTGCCTGAAAGAGATCATTGAAAACAAAGTAGAGTCGAATTTCAATATAACGAATCTAAAAGATGCCTCAAATTTTCTGCGTAACTTCCCTGAACGGCCACTGATTGCGTTTAGCTTGGGCAGCTAGGCAGAAATTTTGGGAGCGTTTTAGAATTTCAAATTTGTTGTATCGAAGTTCGACTTTATTTTGTTGTGTTAAAGATTTGCTTAGAGATCATCACCGTTATCATTGTTTACTTTTTATATTTTTTTAATGGTCACTTTAGGCTTTCCAATGGGCTTGATTGGACTACCAATCAGCTGAATTTCGTCTTTTTCTTTTACAAAAAAAGATATTCATCTAAATAAAGGCAATTCAAAATTTTCTTGGTTTTTAAATGGAAATGCTTTCTTTCAATTACCGTAAATACTGTAATAGTACCCGATCCCCCTCGTACAGTCGCGTAGTCGCAAAAGTTTTTTAGTATTTCATTGTTTTCAAAGCGCCCGTACTTTCAAAAAATGCGTCTTTGGTATCAAAAAATAGCTGAAATTCAGGGCTATTTTTTGATACCAAAGCGCACATTGTAGCATAAAGCAATGTCGAGAAACTAATGTTTGAAAAAGATATCAAAAAATAGCTGAAATTCAGGGCTATTTTTTGATACCTTTTTCAAACATTAGTTTCTCGACATTGCTTTATGCTACAATGTGCGCTTTGGTATCAAAAAATAGCCCTGAATTTCAGCTATTTTTTGATACCTAGGCGCGCATTGTAGCATAAACCAGTGTCGAGAAAAACGCGTTCAAAGCTAGACTACGCAACGCTCCGCACCGTCATTATGGGGGTGGGGTACTATTACAGTATTTTACGATAGGTAAATCGGAATCTTACCTCAAACGTTGCATCAGGCACTTGATCAGCCGGTGGAACAGATGAGTCATCCGCGATACTTGTCTGCGCACCACCCATAGGTTTTTTTTTCGGTTTTTTTCTAACTGAATACAAAACTATAGCCGATTTTGCGAATGAGATTTCTTGGAAATTTTTGGAATAGCCATTCTCCTCTTCCTCTTCTTCCTCTTCTTCCTTCCCTAACTTGTAATTACGATTCACCTGCTTTTCTTTTCACCGTCTAATCACTAGCTTTTTAAATCTTCTGAACATCTCATTTATTGTTGTTTCATCAAAACATAGAAACTTTATGAGAATTGAAATAATTCGATTTTCTTAAAAGTCACGGAACAAAGTACAACAAAGAAACAAAAAGACTTTCTGGAGAGCTTAGACTTTCTGGAAAGCTTAGACTTTCTAGAAAGCTTAGACTTTCCAGAATAAGACATGAGACAAACTGCATGACAATGAATGAACCCATATCAATACAGAACATAAATTCTTTTCGAATACTGGTTTTCGATTCGGCTTCTCAAAGATGATGCCATTGGCGGTGAAAGGAAAGCGATGGATTTCCCCTTTTCCCTCTTGATCCTTGATTTCATCTCTCAACCTCCTTTCAAAAACGCTCACTTTCCCCTTCAGATCTCTGCCGCCAGTTCACCTTGATGTGCTTTTCCCTTTTCATCTTCACAACCAATCTCTCAGCTGATTTCTTTCAGTTTTGATTGCTATTTTGTCAAAAGCTGAAAGAGAATTTCAAGTTCTACATAAAAGAATCATTTGTGGTCACCTGAAGAGCTTAGTGGCACTTTGAGAATGTTTTTTCTGTTGAGAGAATAGATTGGGAAATGGAGTGAGATACTCGTTGATGTGTGGCTGAGAAATGAAAAGAATGGATGGAGAAAGCCTGTAGGATGAAAAGGAGCGACTTCTCGTCGATAATTCGTGCCTTTTAGACGCATCTTTTATGGATTTAAGTCTTTCTCTTTTCCTTTTCCCATTAGCTCATTTCCCCTTTTATTTCAGTCTCTATGTTAGTCATTCGATGGTTTTCTTTCCATTCCTTTTGTTTCCCTAAAAAAAAATGGCTCAACCTTTTCGAAATCTATTTATTCGCTGACTTTTTGTTCTTTAAAAGTTACTTTTTTTGTTTTGTTTACTACCGTATTTCTTCGAATAGAAGACCGGGTAAAGAGTATCATCGCGTACTCCTGCGTAGCAGCCCTTTTTCAAATTTCTTTTCTGCATAAAAGCTTTCAATGAAGTGCTATAGGGCTGGAAAATGACTCAAAAATACGACATGAGCTAACAGATTACATAACTACCGCATTTATTCGAATAGAAAACCGGGTAAAGTGTATCATCGCGTACTCCTGCGTAGCAGCCCTTTTTCAAATTTCTTTTCTGCATAAAAGCTTTCAATGAAGTGCTATAGAGCTGGAAAATGACTCAAAAATACGACATGAGCTAACAGATTTTTGAGCCATTTTCCACCTCTATAGCACTTCATTGAAAGCTTTTATGCAGAAAAGAAATGTTAAAAAGGGCTACTACGCAGGAGTACGCGATGATACACTTTACCCGGTCTTCTATTCGAAGAAATACGGTATACTTCTTACAGATATGAAAATCTTTCTAATACCCTGGTCCATGATTTTCCTTTTGCTGCATGATGAAATCGATGCTCAAACATCCAGTCAAACAATGTCAACAAATGTCCAACCGGTAGGAGAATCAAATTATTAACAACACCTTCAACACCTTCAAAATCAATAACTTCTTTTTCAGACTTCTGCACAATTTACTTCAATGAATTTGTTCCCAATCCTTCAACAATTTCCTCTAACGTTTGAATCAAAAAACAAATCATTAATCAGTTCAGATTCAGATTTGAACAGCACGAAGTTTTACATCAAAAAGCTCAAGAAGAATTTTTCCGTCAACAAAAACAGATACGAGATCAGGTAGAAAAACAAGAAATATTTCGCGGCGGGGAATCGAACCCGCGTCTCGCATGCGACAGCCGAGAATACTAACTATTGGGTTGATGCATAATTATCCGGACTTCTTTTTGCGTGCTTGTATCTTTTTTGTTTTGAAAGCTTTTTGTCTATTTCTTTTTTTTTAAATATTCGTTATTCTTTAGTGAACAAAATGCGTGTCGACAATCATATCCATCTTCGCCATATCATGCTCTACCACTTCGAAAAGGGATGGTCTGCCGCAGAGTCGTTTCGCGATCTCAAAGAACTTTTTGGTCAAGGAACAATTGGACGTGCAACAGTTTATGAATGGTTCGATCGTTTCAAGTCCGGTAACACAAGTGTTGATGATGAACCAGGAAGAGGACGGCCATCAGAATTCGATGACAAGGCACTTCTGGAAGCCGTTGAAGAAGACGAAAGCCTGACAACCAGAATGCTGGCAGATGAATTCAATGTTGACCAGTCAACGATCGTGCGCCATCTCAAAAAGCTTGGCAAAGTATGGAAATTGGCTGGATGGGTCCCACACGAACTCTCCGAGAAGAACCAAGCAGATCGCCTTCGAATTTTCAATTTCAATCAAAAAGAAGTCCGGATAATTATGCATCAACCCAATACTAGACTACCGACATAGCCTATCGCTAGAAAGAAAATCGCTTAATAAAAACAACTTCCAGCTTCTCGGTCCCTTACAACAATCATTTTGTTGGTTGTTTTTATTTAGCGATTTTCTTCCTAGCGACACGCTATGTCGGTAGTCAATTCAAAACCAACAACCAAAAACAGCTTTTAACAGATTAAACAAAGATTAAACAAGTTTTAACTTTTAATTAATACTTTTAAAAAGCTCAAAACGAATACTTTCAAAACAAAATACAGTTAAAAATGATCTCGGTTCACGTTCGGATCCTTTCATTTTTCCAAGATTGACACAAATTCTTAATTTAACTATTCTATTTTATTTTCTTTCATTAAGAGCTTTCAAATAATATATAACACTTAGCATTGTCTTCATTTTCTTCTTTCAATAACCATTCTTCTTTCAATAACCAGTTAAAAATGATCTCGGTTCACGTTCGGATCCTTTCATTTTTCCAAGATTGACACAAATTCTTAATTTAACTATTCTATTTTATTTTCTTTCATTAAGAGCTTTCAAATAATATATAACACTTAGCATTGTCTTCATTTTCTTCTTTCAATAATCATTCTTCTTTCAATAACCATTCTTCTTTCAATAACCAGTTAAAAATGATCTCGGTTCACGCTCAGATCCTTTAATTTTTCCAAGATTGACACAAATTGACTACCGACATACCCTGTCGCTAGGAATCGCTAGGATATTTAGAAAATCGCTAAATAAAAACAACTTTCAGCTTCTCGGTCCCTTACAACAACCATTTTCGGGAGCTCCACTTTTCCCACAATCTAATGGACGTTAGTTTTTTTCTAAAACTTAAACCAATACTATTCTAGAATTGGCAGGCCTTTCTTTCCTCCTTCCTCCAAATAGACAATTGTCTGATGGTGTGGACTCATCTTTATTACAACCAGTACGCTTTCTCTATTAGCAAAAGACATTAAATTCCTTCAGTTGCGTCAAGGTAACGTAAAAAAGCCAAATCTAAGCGTTCTCTCGCCTCTTCCCACTCCATATCCACCAACTCAAGTGCTTTTGTTTTAAAAATCAAATTAAATCAATTCAAATTTAGACAATTCAACCTAAAGAAACACAGCGTGAAAGCGTTGAATTAGTATGTTTTTATTATTATTTTATTATTATTTTATTATTATTTTATTATTATTTTATTATTACTTTGAATTATTTTGAAACTTCACAAGAAATTCTATTGTTAAAGGTACCCCCAACTATTGAAAGGACAAAGGTAGCGACATTGAGTCAATCAATAACTCGATTAGATCAAGTAATTGTATTTTTAAATCAAAAAAAAAACCCTCGCTTATTATAGAAATTCGATGAGAAAAAGGCTGATCAAATGGTTGCTCAGATGTTGCTGGATTCTAGCGGTACTTTATCATTTTTTTTTTCCTTGAATCATCCATCATTTATCTCTCTTTCAGAATTCAAAAGCAATCCTCAAATCGGCGTCTCAAAACATCGCAAAGTAACAAAGGATTTACACAAAGAAAATCGTGAAATTTCAGGAAGATTTGGAGAAACGAAAAGCGGGAAAAAGTGGAGAAAGATCAATGGAAATGGCGCATGGAGAAACCACTTTAACAACGACGTCTGAGGTTCGAAATTTACAGGATGCGGCATCTATAGTGTTGTGCTAAATGGATCTTTTTGGCTTTCTAAGAAAAAACATTAATCTAAGCTGAAAAACAAGAATGAATCATAAAATCTACGCCTAATTTTACATAAAATAGAAGAAACATAACATTTTTTCAAATATCAAATGACTTTGATAAGGAATAAAACCAAAACTAATGAAAATTTTCCCATTCACCAGATTTATATGTGTCGTAGCTGTAGAAAAAATTCTACGCGGTATGATGCTGAAAAACAGTTAAATTCGAAGTTGGGGTCTCTAAAAAAATTGTTTTTTTTTCATTTTATAGTAAATTACTTTAAAAATAGTGCATTTTAAGCTCCATTTTTGCAAATCCGAGCTTATCTTGGCTAACAAAAATGGCCACATTTTAGCAGCAATCACGTTTAAAGTCTTATATGAAATGTAGAAAGTTTTAAATTTTTACACAAACACATAAATCTAGTGAAAAACTGCCCGTGGATTTTAAATACCCTATTCTCTCTAATAGTAGTGCACCCTGCCGAGCCGAGTTGAAGTTGATGACTATTTTACGGTTTCGAAGTTTTCGCAGAAGCTCAACACTCAAATCCCCCACTAGATCTCATCGTCAGCTACATTTTCCGGCCCACATCGATAGGTTCTGATAAGCGGTTCTCGAGATTTCGAGCAATTTAGGCAACGCTCAGGGTGCACTACTATTAGAGAGAAAACAACGGATAATTTAACCGACGGTATTGAACCCTTGATCTCCCGTCTAGGATATAAGGCTCTTAGCCAGTCGGCTAACGATTGAACATTTTAAGGAATCCTTTTCATCGTTGTCATCTTTTCCGACCCCGATAGGTTCTGATAATCGATTCTCGAGATTTCGAGCAATTTAGGCAAAGATTTGGGTGCACTACTATTAGAGAGAATATGTTAGTTGAAAAATATTTGGATAGTTTTCAGCCAAATCAACCTATTCCCGAATTTATTTTCGGTAGACGGACTGACAGACCTCACATTTTATATATGTTTTATATATATAGCCGATAAGATTTAAAGACTATCAGATCGTCTATCAGACAAAGTTTAAAACTATCGACTAGCCAAAAAGATTTCAAACCTCTTTGGCTAACCGATATGCTTTGAAAACTTTTTAGCTAACCGAGAAAATTCAAACCTTTTTGTCTACAAGATTGAATTGAAATAAAATAATTGAAAAAGAAGAGAAATAGGTCATTAGTAATTTGATAAAAATGATTGTCTCTTGAAATTAAGAGCTGGGGAAACCTTTTTGCATTATTAGTATTTAAACAAAAAAAAGTGTCAACTCTTTTGATTTTCTCAAAAATCATCCTTTGATAAAGCGCAACACTTTACAGGATGCGTACACTTTACAGGACTTTAAGACGCAACACTTTACAGGACGTTAATTATGAAACGACTGCTTATTGATGAATTAAAAGAAGAAAATGAAGACAATGCTCTGAGTGGAATATAGCATTTGAAAGTTCTCAATGAATACTACAAAATAGAATGCATTAAATACAAAAATGTAAACCTTACCAATTAGTAAATACACTTAACGTAAATAGTACGTAAATAGTAATAGTACCCCACGCCCATAATGACGGTGCGGAGTGTTGCGTAGTCTAGCTTTGAACGAGTTTTTCTCGACACTGGTTTATGCTACAATGCGCGCTTAGGTATCAAAAAATAGCTGAAATTGATCCACCTTGTATAAGCCACATCCTGTACTAAAAGATAATGACAAAATTTCAGAGCCATGATGAAAATTCTGAGGAAAATGCTAGAGACATTTCTATCAATAAGAAAGAAAAGAGTGTGGATATTCAAGTGAGATTTGCTCTCTTTTACGAAATTGAATTCCTTTTAGAAGCTTTTTCATGCTCTTGGTTTAACCACTGATGAGAAGAAGGAAATCGTTCAACGAGTTGAACAAGTTGCTTTACAAATCGACAATCAAACAAAGATTTTCAGTTATTGAAAGAAGAAATTGCTCGCAAGATACTGGGCGATATGGGTGACAAGGAGAAGCCAACAACAACCGTAACTCCAATCATGATCAGCATGAATACTGAAAGTATTCCCATCCACGTTGAGCCCATACCTCTAGCAAGAAAAGTAAAGATCGTCTACCAATAGACATAGGCTTTTTGTAGAAAACGAGTTCCAGCAAACAGCTCTTGATTTCTAAAGCGTGAATACAATGCTAGAAAACAAGAGTTGTACTAAAACAGTTTACTAAAACGTGGGACTGACTCGTTTTTTTTTTTTTACAAGGTCCATTACAAGGCCTACCAGCAAATATTCAAGCAAAATTTCAGAGCGTTGAACCAATAGCGGCAATCGATTTAATAACAAAGTCTCCCAAACTCATGTCAGGATTGATCCATATTCGGTACATTGCAAAATAAATCTGATTACACGAATAAATCTGATTTAGAGAGCAAAAAGAGATCCGTGAAAGTCAACCAAAAGCTTCAACAATCGACAAATCGGCTCTCGTTTCGACAAAACTCGGCACTACTCATGAAGAGTTGAAAAATTTAGGTTGAGTAAATGTTAAACTAACTGTTCAACTTGTAACTTTAGAAGCAATCGACAAGAAAGCAATGCACGAGGTTTTCTATGAGGTTGGTTTAAGGTGTTCAAAAATTCAGCATTCAAATTAGAGTCTCTCTTTTATTTACAATTTTCTAAAAACAAAATGCATTGATCTTTTTAATATGATAATATGATAATTATCAAAAAGATTAACATTAATTTACAAAGTTTTAACTCAATCTGATGACTGAGCTTTGAGAAAGAGTTAGAAATTGTGATAGAAAGAAGCATTTTTTTTTCAATATAACTAGCTACGGCCTCGCCACGTTGAAACACGGTATCCCGTCAGATCCCGTCAGATCTACCAAGTTAAGCAACGTTGGGTTCGGTTCGTTTCTGGTTCGAATCCAGCAGATGAGTCAGGGATATCTTCCCTGAACCTAGTGCTGTAGGTAACTGCATATGGTGAACTGGATCTCAAGACCGGTCCCCTCCCCTCGGGATCCCTAGGCTCCCTCCCCTCGGGATTGGGATCATCAGGGATCCAAATGGGTAGTTTGTCTAAGGCGCAAGCTCATATAAAACGGGTAGCCTTCTCCTCCTACATCGTCTCATCCTCAAAACCGATCGAATATCCCTGAACCGAGTGCTGTAGGTAACCGCATCCATATGGTGAACTGGTTCCCAAGACCCAAGAGTAGGCCCTCTCCCCTCGGGATTGGAATCACCAGGGATCCTAATGGATAGACTTGTCTAAGGGTCTAAGGCGCAAGCTCATAAAGCTAAAGCGGGTAGCCTTCTCCTCCAACATCGTCTCCTACATCGCCCCATCCTCAGAAACGATAGAATATTTCCTAGGTTTTAATGTGTAAATTGTGATTATGTGTGTGGAAAATAAATCACCGATAACCCCGGTATTATTATTATTATTATGATTAACTTAAAATCCAAGTTTAAGCTTTAAAACTTTCTCAGAGAATAAGCAAAAATTCATTCCAATTTCTCTAAATTTTACAATATTTGATTGATTACTTTGAGAGAAAAGTGAAAAATAAAACTTTTTGTTAAAAGAGATTTGAAATCAAATCAAATTATTACACTTCAAAAGTTTCTTTCTCAAAGTCCAGTCATCAGATTGAGTTTAAACTTTGTACAACAATGTTAATCTCTTTAATAATTATCATACTAAGGTTTTGTTTTTCGAAAATTTTAAATAAAGGAAAGATTGACCTTGACAATATTCAAAAAAGTGCTAATCAAAAATCAAAAATCAAAAATCAAATCAACAACCTCTCAATCTTTGTTTTCAGAAAATAAATTCATGTATTTATTTCTTATTTCCAAGCTTCTCTTTCTCTTTTTTTTATTCTATCAAGAAATTCCAAGAAGCTTGAGATTGAAATTGATTGATTTGATTTGATTGATCAAATTGATTTATTGATTGACCTAATAGACGGATATCACGGGATCAAAACCTCTTCAAACCACCGACACCCATCTCAGCTTCAATCGTCAAAAACAGATGGAAGATGGAATCGGGTTTTTTAAAAAAAAGAATCCTCTTTCTATTGATAGCCAAGTTTCAGTAAAATCCGAACTCGACGCATTCACCATGAGGAGAATGAAGGACAAGAGGTTGACACACAAATCCCTCCAATTACAGCCGAACCATTGGACCTTCGTGGTAGATTTTGTAAACAATTTTTGAATAGAAGCTGACCTTTTATTTAGAAGCTGACCTAGTGACTATGGGAATAGACTCAGAGATCGATCAAGAGGAAGTGACCACTCTTGCTTCAACGACTCTTGCTACCACCACTGAATATGAGGTTGGGAAATGAAAAACGAAAAACGAAATTAAAGCCAATTATAGCCCATGTCAAACGCAAATTATTTACCGGCTCGGATCAAAAATCAGGTAAGTTTGATTAGAATCTATAGATAAAAGAGTACTGTCTGTCTGTACAGGCTTTTTCTCAGCCGTGTTTTGACCAATAAAGCTCAAACTTTTTTAGAAAACCTTAGAATATCTGGTAGTTGTGTTATTTAAAATAAAAAGTTTAAAAAACAAATCACATGGCACTACCGGGGGTCGAACCCGGATCGTGTGGGCGGTAGACCAGCGCGCTTTCAACTGCGCTATGGCGACAGGGAGGCAGGGCGGCAGAAAACCCCGATCTTATGCTGGTTTCAAATGAAAGCCCATTTAGCTGTACTTGTTGACCGCTTTTGAGAGACTAGCGAACGACTACAGAGCACTACCGGGGGTCGAACCCGGAGCGGTAGACCAGCGCTGGTCTACTCGTGTGAGCGGTAGACCAGCGCGCTTTCGACTGCGCTATGGCGACAGGCATCAGAAAAACCCGATCTTATGCTGGTTTCAAATGAAAGCCCATTTAGCCGCACTTGTCGACCGCTTTTGAGAGACTAGCGAACGACTACAGGGAAAGATTGGAGGGAACGGACAGTGTGGGCAGATTGTTGGCCAGCTTTTACAAAGACGCTTACATTGTTTTGAGACAACGAGATGACAATTCAGTGGGTTATTCTAGTGCAAAAGAAAAACCTTGAAAAGTCTTGCCAAGAGGCTGTAAAGGCTTTCCCTTTCACACACTGTCTAAGAAAATCGAAAAACAAGCCAAAAATTTGAATAGAATCTCAATTCCTCTTTTTTTTTATATAAAGAGTAAATTCTAGGCACTTAGCCGTCCCCGTCGGCATCCACAAAGAAGAAATCATCGAAACTAAAAACAAAAAAATAGTTGCAAAAGCTTGTAACAATCTTTGAATAATTGATTTTGTATTTATTTTATTTTTTATTTATTTTTTATTTATTCCATTTTCTTTGTTGAAAATTCTCTTTTAATATCTTTCATTTACTTTTCAAAACACTTTTTACGGCAATATTTCAAAGAAGTGCTAATCAAAAACCTCTCAATCTTCTGTTTTCAGAAAATAAATTAATTTATTTATCTTATTTTCAAGCTTTAGTTTCTCTTTTTTTATTATATCAAGAAATTCTAAGAAGCTTGAGATTGAAAGAGATTGAAAGATTTATTGATTGACCATCGATTGATTGATTGATTTATTGATTGACCATTGACAGACGGATATCACGGGATCAAAACCTCTTCAAACCACCGACACTCATCTCAGCTTCAATCGTCAAAAACAGATGGAAGATGGAATCGGGTTCTCATTTACTTTTCAAAACACTTTTTACGGCAATATTCAAAGAAGTGCTAATCAAAAATCTCTCAATCTTTGTTTTCAGAAAATAAATAAATTTATTTATCTTATTTCAAAGCTTTAGTTTCTCTTTTTTATTATATCAAGAAATTCTAAGAAGCTTGGTGATCAGACTTGGTGCTGAGAGTTTGATTATGACAGGATTAGAATGATGGATTGAGAGAACGGCTGTGTCCACTCGATCGACAAGGACAAAGAGGTGAGTAGAAAGAGATTGGTGGCATTTCACAGGAGTCAATGGTGGATGAGTGAAGGTGAGGGTCACCAAGCTCATTACACCCGGTACCCCTTCCCCCATCCAACCTTTCCCTCTCCCTCAACGCACTTCCGCTCTCCATTATTCACTCCCCTGTAATCATTCACGGCTTTTATTATTCCTTTGATCTATCGTTTCAAAACAAATCCCTATTTGGGCTTGTTGTTACTTTAACAAAGCTTGTTATTACTTCTACAAAGCTTGTTGTTGCTTGCTTCTAAAAGTCTTAAGATCCATCTCTGCTATTCGTTTTTTTAAAGAAACCCATTTAACATTCCATCGACAAAGCAATAAATTGATGAAGAAATTGGGTGAGTGGATGTGCGACCAATGCATAGTGTGTTTTTGCACTGAATTCAAGATTGTATCCGATCATAAAGGAGCAAAGGGAAAGCCCACCCAGGTGCTCTCATTAATGGCCCATTTCAAGACTCTCCGAGATCCTTTGAACTTGCCGATTTACCTCTTTTTTTTTCTCCTCCTCCAGACTACCATCCATAAAAATTGTTCAAAGCTAAACTTTTCGTTGCAATGTTCATTAGCGGTACACCTGGATAGGTTTTTTTTGATAGAGATAGAGGTTTGATAGGAATAGAGGTTTGATAGAGATAGAGGTTTGATAGGAATAGAGGTTTGATAGAGATAGAGGTTTGATAGGGATAGAGGTTTGATAGGGATAGAGGTTTGATAGGGATAGAGATTTTTTTGTACAAATCTTACAGCCGAGTCTTTTCACTCAAGTCGTTGCATATTGATTTGAATAAGAAAGTAAATATGTCACCTAGAGGTGAAGCGGTTGTGCACTTGTGAAAAGGGAAAAAATTCGGTGCCCGGACTTCTTCATTTCACTAGGATTATGTCATAATGATTTGAGAGTGGACAGGTGAAGAAAAAAAAGAAATGAGAGAATGGGTGAAGAGGCTTGATGACAGCTCCGTTGAGAGCTTTGCCCCGTCACTCACAGCCTTTGGCTCATCCCTAGCACTTGTAACTTTTTCTCTTTTTCCTAAGCATTGTTTTACATATCTATGGAAATTTTTAAGAATTTTATTCCTTTATTCCTCTTTTTTTCCTTTATGCCTCTTTTTTTTCCTTTATTCGTCTGTTTCCTCTTGTTTTATTCATTTTTCAAGAATATTACAGAGTCATCAATGTCTTGCATCAATATCATCAATGTCTTTCATCAATGTCATCAATTTCCCCGAATTCTAAACCAAATCTAGGCTAATTTTCATGTCAGATTACTGTAGTAATTGGTTTTTTTTTCTCTAAAACCTGTCACCTAGTCAAACCTGAATTCGAAATAAGCGATGATTCCAGGAAAAAAAAGAGTCAATCAATCTTCACATTCACTATTCAAAACAATTTTGAGACACATCGTATAGAAACACTCAATCAAGGTCAAAAACGACTCTGTTTTCACGATTGAGGCATAGCAAAAAAAATGGAACATAAAGAACGGGGAAACTGAACTGAAAGAGCTGAGTTGACAGAACCGATGGTCAGTTGGTCATTCACTTGGTTGTGGGATGGGGGGGAAAGACAAACATTTACCCAAATTTACACCAGCTGTCCATCGGTTACACCACCATCCAACTTGATGGTAGACTCACTGGAAACCGAAAAGGGGCTTCCAATTCAAACAATAAATTTATCCCAGTCCGATTCACTGCTAGGATTTTGTCTTGCATTCAATGTCTTGCATCAATATCATCAATGCCTCCGAATTCTAAACCAAATCTAAACTAATTTTCATGTCAGTTTACTGTAGTAATTGGTTTTTCTTTTCTCTAAATGACTCTCAAATGCTAAACTCCTTCAGCTCATTGCTATCCTTGCAAGACAAGACTTATGCAAGACAATTCTTATACATATCTTCAAATCTATCTTTTCTTGTAGTCAAATCTATCAAATATTTTTTGATCGAATCTATTTTGATGTCTAAAATGGACAGATTTGTTTTAAAAGTAATGAAATTCTAATGAGGAATGAATGAGGGGGAATAAGGAGAATGAGGGCACACAGGTAAGCCTAGTTGGCTTTTCTCGATTTCTATTGCTAATATTTTCAAATTACTATTGCTTCTAAAGATTAAAAGTAATGAAATTCTTGATCGTCGAAAATAACTTACTTTTTCTGTTTTTCTTAAAGAATAAATCTATTAAACTTTAAAAATTTCAATTTTTTTTAAGGTTTATTGTTTGAAGACTTTAAAAGACTTTGAAAAAAAGTTCTTGAAAGCCTCATTTATCATTAGGGATTGCCCTGAATGGAGAATGAGGGCACACAGGTAAGCCTAGTTGGCTTTTCTCGATTTCTATTGCTGCTCGATTTCTATATTTTCAAACTACTATTGCTAATATTTTGAAAAAGTTTTGCTCATTGGTTTGATTAGATTTAGACTATTCTTTTTACTCTATAATTTCTTTACTCTATAATTTCTTTATTCTATAATTTCTTTACTCTATGATCTCTTTACTCTATAATTTCTTTACTCTATAATTTCTTTACTCTATAATCTCTTTACTCTATAATCTCTTTTGTTTCCTTGAGGATTAAGAACTTTCCTAAAGCTATTCCGGTGACTTTCCAGTGATTTCATTCCAAATTAATTTCATTCTATCAATTGGAACTCGTAAATTTTGGGGGAGAAAAAAGAGAGCGCGGTGTTGAAAAAGGGGACCGATTCGTGAATGGGGCTCGAAAAAAGACCTGGGGGAGGCGGCACGATGATCGGAGAGATATCTCATAGGTTGGATCTAAAGACGGCATTCGATTCGATGAATTGTGGCCAGAGATTAGCCGATGAGAATTGGGGTTGGTGAGAGCCTTTTGCCAGCAAATTGCCCCCACACTCAATTGATCCTTTATCCATTGTGGCCTCTCTTTGAAAGAAATTCATTTCCCCAACCCTCACTCACTCATTATCTTTTTGGAATAACTGATGTTGGGATTAGATTATTTTGTGTATCCTTTGTGAATTGTTGAATTTTTCTCATTGTTTTGTTTCTTTGAAAGTTTTCGACACTTTTTTTGCAACAGTATACTTAACTCCCTCTAGAGCAACGGAAATGAATTGCCTTGTGGTGTAATGGTTAGGACAGTGGTCCGATACGCGAACGGTCGCGGGTTCGAGTCCCAGTGGCACAAAATTTTTTGATCTGACCTATTTCCAACTGTGCTTGATTATTTTTAGTTTCATTGGTGAAAGTCCTAATGCCTCAATTTGTTCAGGCACTGTAATGAGTGAAGAAATTTGTTGTTCTGTTGTTGTTCTGTAGTCTTATTTCTGTAGTTGTTCTGGAGTCTTATTTCTGTAGTCTTATTCCTGTAGTCTTATTTCTGTAGTCTTATTTCTGTAGTCTTCTTTCTGTAGTCTTACTTCTGTAGTCTTTTTTTTTTTTTTTTTTTTTTTTTTTTTTTTTTTTTTTTTTTTTTTTTTTTTTTTTTTTTTTTTTCTTTTTTTTTTTTTTTTTTTTTTTTTTTATTCTCTTTTTTCTTTTGTCTTATTTTTTTTTTTTATTCTTATTTCTGTAGTCTTATTTCTGTATTCTTATTTCTGTAGTCTTATTTCTTCTTTGTTCTTCTTTTTAGCAAAAAGACTTCAAAATTACTGAATTCTCAAAAGAAAATTTACTGCAGCATGCTTGAAAAATGAGTGTTTGAATGAAGAAAAAAACAATCGTTTCTTCGATTTGAGGGGGACATACTTTTGAAGAATCGTCGAGCTGAGAAAACAATGGGCTTCAAATATTGCAAGTGGCTCTTTCTCTTTTATCCTCTTCTTTCAAGATTTTCATGGATTTACTTCTATCACAAAGGATTCCACCTCTCTATTCTACCTCCGCTTTTTCAATTTCTCTTTTTTTTTGGCTGTATATAAAGATTGAATGGATTGAATTAGTAATTCTTATTTTAAGATTTAAAACTTCTTTTCAAAACACTGAAAACTTTAGAGTTTACATAAGAAATCTGCTTCGATGAGTGTACCATAGCAAAGATGTTTTTGTTTCAAGTCTTGTCTTTTTTGACAGCTTTGCTTAGCTGTGAGACTTTGCGCCTATGCCAGCAGGGCGAGGTTGGTAAACTTTTAAAAAAAAACCAAATGGATAATATCAATTTTCAGACGGAAAATTGCCTTCTCGATGTGCCGAGACTTGAGATCAGACAACTTGACGCTTTACAGAGGTAAAGAGTTTAGTGAAATCATAGAGTTAGCAATTTTTGTTTAAGCTTACTAGGGAACGGTCAGATTTTGCATATGAATCCGAAATACTCAAACACTACTAAAAATACAACTTTATTGCTCAAAATATGCATTAAAATAAAAGTGAAAAGAAAAATTGATTGAAGGGGCATAGAACTCGGATTCCAAGAGTGGGGGCCCACGGAACTACCACTGCACCACCGAGTTGTTTGCTCCGTCAGCGACAGTAGCCCTTAGAAACTCGCTCAGTGCACTAGAGGGTTAAATTTCAAATGCGTTTTTACAGAAATCTAGAGTGTTTAGTCAAAAACTCAAAAAACGCCATTGTGTTGCCCGTATCCGACTTGCTTAAGTCATATAGCTTTGGTCTGGATTTACCCTTGCGAAATCTGATTGTTCCCTAGTTAGTTAAACTTGAATACGGCTGAAAAAAACGCTCGCAAATTTTAGAAAACATCTGATTAATGCATTTCGAGGTGAGAAAATGCAGCACAAGAGAAAGGAATGGGAGCGCATTTTGGAAGGAGATCTCGCTCATGATCTCATCAGAAGGTGGGTGCAAAACTGAAACAAAACTGAAACAAAACCTTTACAAATCAATACTTTTTATTTAGACTTGATGATCGACTCTCGATTGAAGGCTTTTTCACGCCTTATTGGGACTCAAGAATAGACCGAAGATTGGCCAAACCGGAAGACTCAACACTTTTCCATGATGATTTCTTACCGCGTCAACTCAGCAGAAAAGAGAGAGCCACAAAGCAAAATGAAAGAGTTTAGCATCATTTTTTATTTTTAAATAATGAACTTTTAGAGAAAAGACTCTCACCCACTTGCTGATATTCGAAAAACGAAAAACAGTCAGCTTTTTTTCGTTCTTCATGAAGTAGCCAAAGCAAAGAGATACATCAATGGTAAGAAAAAAAGTGAATCATTTCAGAATCATTTTCAGAATCATTTCCAGAATCATTTTCAGAATCCTGTGCTTCTTTGTGTGCGATAAAAAATGATTGGCTTTTCTGTGATCGACAAATCGATCGTTGTGTGGCAACGGTAAAAATGAATTTGAAAAATGTTTGAAAAGAATTTCAGATCTCATTGGGTGGGAATTGTTCAACTCGCTCGAAGAATGTTTTCACAAAAGTTTGCTTTAAATCCGAATGCGTGAGAGGAGTTTGCACGGCAGTCAGCGTTCCACCAAAGCCAACAATTTTGATGATAGATGAGAAGGAAATAATCAGAAAAGATCATAAACGAGAGCATCGGAAGAAAAACAAATCGAGAAAAGAAAAGCAACAGAAAACGATCACAACAACAACAACAACGTCAACGTCAACGACAACGACAACAACAACAACAACAATGACAACTGAAACTCCGAACACGATGGACATCGAAGGATCTGGTAATTGTAAATTTCTATTAACACAGAAATTGTTTTAGGAACAATGGATGCTTTAGAGGAGCTCATTCATGAAGCTGATCAGATACTTAATGCGGTCACAACCATTGAACCGGGAAAAGCGGAAAGGAGAAGAACGTTTAGAAATCTTTTCATCAAGCCGCTCGATGATGAGCTCATTGGAGTAAAGATTTTGTTTGGAGAAAAAAGATTATAAAGATTTAGGTACAAAAGGAGAGTCCTGAATTGGAGATTGCACTCAGTTTGCCGACTGAGATTCCACACAAAGCTGTGTACTCGATTCATGAACAAGGATCGAAAGTCGAAGAAATGATTGATGTGATTGCTTTCAAACCAATGATGAGTACTACTGAGCCAAAAGTTGACATGGATGAGGTGGGGACATATCGTAAATACTGTAATAGTACCCCATCCCCATGCGGAGTGTTGCGTAGTCTAGCTTTGAACGAGTTTTTCTCGACATTGGTTTATGCTACAATGCGCGCTTAGGTATCAAAAAATAGCTGAAATTCAGCGCTATTTTTTGATACCAAAGCGCACATTGTAGCCTAAAGCAATGTCGAGAAACTAATGCTTGAAAAAACGCTTTGAAAAAATGAAATACTAAAAAAACTTTTACGACTACGCGACTGTACGAGAGGGATGGGGTACTATTATAGTATATTTGTTTACGTATTTACGTAAATAACGTAAATAATTTGTTTTAGTAATTCCAAAACTTGAAATCTTTTAGGCTGACGATGTTCCGGTGACTCTACGGGAAGAGTCGTCAACCCCGTATTTCCAAGACGTTCCCATCAGTAAGGTAAAAGTTTTTCTGTTAAATGAAATACTTTTGATTGATTTTTGAAGATTCCTATTGCTACACGGCTTCCCCAGAAGGGTTCTCCATTGCTTACTGGAGAATATCTCCCAAGAAAGGCGATTCTCTTTGATGCACCGGCTCCATTCCCCACCGTTTACTTCACAGTCACTGTCGTCGAGGGTGAATACAGAAAACGAAACCGTCGCCAACGTTTTGCCTCGGGTGTTACTGCTTTCACGACAGGTGCCAATATGCCAAGCGGATACACACATACTTTTGAGGTATAAAGCTTTAACAACAATTCATTGAGCTAATTTTAGGGTAAATCATTGAATGGAACCACAATGCTGAGAGCTCTTGATCCACATGTGGCTGGGATTTTGACCGAATTCAATGTGACTGTTGTTGACAGTCGTGGATTCCCGTGTCAACAAATGTGCAAGCACGAAGCCAAAAATGTATGCGAAGCAGGCTTGCAGGCGGAAAAAAAAGCGGAAAATTGAATAGCTTTTAATTTTCAAAGGAAAAGTCAACAAATGTTTTTCGTTTTTCCGCTTTTTCCATCGCAGTGCGTAGCTGCCCCATTCGTTGGGTTTTGCTTTTTCGCTTTTTTTTCCGCTTACAAGTCTGATGCCAAGAATTGAACAATATTTTGAGTTAAAGAGATTTTCAGTCGTATCGTCCGTGTCCGACAGATGTGATTCGATTGAGCACTTTCGCCCAATACGCTGACGATATACCCATCTATCAGGTATAGAATGATGAAAAAATAAAACAGTTGATTCAGTAAAAATTCAAAATCAAAAGTTTCAGAACTCGTTGGAAGCCTCGCAAGCGGCATGGCTGGGACAGGGGTATTTCCGGCGAAGAAAAGCCGACTATTTGGTCTACAAGTGCAGAAGTGAGAAACGAATGCGAAAAAGAGAAAAACAGTCGCCATGAATGAAAGCTTTATCAAATACACTTAACTATTCTGTATGTAAAATAAATTTTCCTATTTTTCTATGAGATGCAAAATACACCTTACTATGGCGCGCCCCAGCTACCGTACTCAACGGTATTGTCGGTTACCAAAGCAAAGCCTTGTTGTTTCCTTTTGTTCAAGAGTGATGGCTGATCTTCAGGAGAAACCTCGAAGATTATGGGGTTGCTACTTTGCGCCAAATTTTTTGCGCAACTGGATCTTTTGCGCAACTCGCCCCTAACTTTCTTCTAATTGGGGCAATCTTTATGATTTTGGTGTCATTTTGTTGCACTTGTTGAGATCTACAAAATGACTATTTTAATTTTAACAACAGTTATTCCACTGAATAACATAACATTCAAATTTTGAGATTTTCCTTTTTATCATTTTCTCACTTGCGAAGAATTAGGTATGCTTTGGTTTTTGTGATGTAAATCACTTTCTGGTGCCAATTTACTCTCACAATGTGCTTACATATTTTAGTCTAGTTTCTTTGTGGCTTTTCGAACTGTTGCGGGTATTTGGGTGTACTGCCGTTATTTTCGACATTCAAAAGTTAGCAAAAGCATTGCAAAGACCAGATTTCTAACTTTCTAGGCTCTAATTATAAACAGTGCTTTTTTTAAAAATTTCGTTTTGTTGATTGATTAAGATCATGTATTTTTATTTTAAGAAGATGTCATCTGACTATTCAAACGTCAAGGTTGGGGCTCTCAAGTTGAAAGGGAAGAAAAATATGTAAGTTTTAAGTTTTTTTGTTTTGAACATGTTTTTGGGTTACTTGTTTTTATTTATTTTAGTTTCAAGGCCGAAAGAAAGAAAAAGTCAAAAGGCGATGCCAATGCACAAATTGATGAAGATGCAATCGCTCACGGTACGTTTTAATATTGCCGAATTGTGAGAGCCTTACAGGATATTTCTCGATTTTATTTCAGCTTATGTATTCATTTCGTTTAGGTGGATGGTGGATGATCAAAGATGAGGTTGATTTAAAGGGCGGCATCCACATTTCATTGGAATCAGGAAATGGAAATCGGTAGGCGCTTCGTTAGGTTTATTTATAAATAGTGATCTTCTAGATGCTATTTGGCTGCTATGGACAACGGACGCTTTACAATTGGTGCTCCGCATACAGAAGGAGAAGGGCCCAATCCTGAAGAAGTATTCGCTCTTGTAAGAACTCCCGATGAGCAGAAATTCAGGCAATTTTATTTCTTAAGCTTGATAGAATGTTTGGAGCATCTTTTAAATTTAAATGATTGTTTTAGTATGAAGACTGGATATGGAAAATATATTGGCATTGATACTTCCGGCCAACTTGTTGCGACGGCAGAGGCAATTGGAACGAGAGAACGCTTTGTTGCTGTGTTTCAAGACGTAATTTTATCTTTTCATTGAAGACAATATTATTATTATTATTTAGGGTAAATCAGCCATTCAATCTGTCAGCAACCCCCTGTTCCTTTCAATGAAACCAGACAAAGAGGGCTATGTTTTTGTTGCAAGTCGAACAGCTTCCGAAGACGAAATGATAAATGTAAGCTTATTATTTTAAAATATTTGTTGTTTATTTCTGAAAAGCATGATTTTACGAAGTTTAGATTCGTACTGATGTTGAGAGAACTGGCCCCGTTGATTGGCGTCCAGCTGAAGACAAGCAAAGTGCGCGCGAGTGCGAAACTTCTTATGTGTAAATTTTAAAGTCTTGTAAAAATCTTATTCCTCTTTAGAAAAATGTTTCAACACTCGAAAGTTGATCTCAAAGGTCGGCATGTTTCAGGTAAGCTTGGCAAATTTTACTATTACTATTTAATTTGTTTTAATGGAAAAACGAGTTGTTTTAGTTGACATCAACAACAAGCAAGCCGTCAAACGAGCACAGAAAGACGGTGATTTACACGAGCTCCTACTTGAGAGGAGAAAGAAAACAAAGAGTGATCGTTACTGTTAACAGTTTGGAGTTTTTCGATTTTCCATTATTTATTTAGCCATTAAATACCAGGTATCGTATTTCCTGCAATTGCACCTCTAATAGAAGCCCATATGGGTATAGAAAAAAATTTCATTTTTAAAATGCAAATTTAGACCAAACCCCTCACAAATAAACATGAAAAACTAGATCCTCATGGGGTTCAATTGCAGAAAGTACGGACGGCATCTATAATGTTTATTTCAAAAAATCCTATTGCTGAAATTGTGTTGTCTTCATCTAATTTCTAATGTGTTATTTTTGTCTTAAAAGTATTGTTTTTGTCAAATGGTTAATTTAATAAAGAGTTATTCTATTGTTTTATGGTCATAAGCGGCGAATATTCGATCTAAATATTTGTTCAAAGGGTGCTTTTTTGTGGCGTTCTATATTGCGCCCGCGACCTCGTTGTGAAACTTATTGATTCGCGAACACGAAACGCACCCTCATTGTTGAGCCATTTATAAATGAATCAATGCGCTAACTTATTCCGATTTTTCTACTGGAGGGCCTGAAATTTACCCCTTGAAACGATTTTAATACCCTCGTTGCTTTTCCAATCTTGTTTTACATTAAACCCACCAAATAAGACATACCAAATCATTTTTATGCACGGCTTCTATTAGATTGATTCTCTAAATTGCAAATCTTCCCTCAAAGTACATATTTTATGACTTTTTTATAAATTTTCTCATATTTTCACTGTTCGATATGATCATGATGGAAATTTTGTATCAATTATAAAAGATTCCTTTTGTAATCTGCCCGACTAGATTCGCATAATTGAACTGAGCCACCCTTGCAAAATATCAATCTCTTCCATAATTTTACTCAAAATTCTTCATAAATACTATTCTTTTATAATGTTTTCTGGTTTTCATTTACATATATCATTATCCGATATCTCTTTCCTCACCCCGAAATGAACACAAGTGGTGTAGTCAGTTGCATATTATCACTTCCCTTGCTGTTTGTGCATTTGTGCAACGCATTAACTAAAATCCAAATTATTCCTTTATCCGCATTCTCCTATTACGTTCTTCCGAAATTCACGATTTCTTTTTGCTCGATTTACAAAGTTTCTGAAAATTTGACCCAATGACCTGAATCGAAAAACCCTTCTTTAACTATGTTTATGCCCGCCTTTCTTTGGAAAAATAGTGTCATTTGCGCGTTGATTATCGTTTGTTAGTACTTATTACCTATGACTGTGATCGTAAACGAATAAACCGGGGATGTGCCTCAAGCATAAATACATTGACTAAACAAAATACTATGCACTTTATTGATCAGTTTACAAAATAATTGGGCAGTAAGAAATGTTTTCTCATTCAGAGTGAAGAAAAAAATGGACGAAGAGGATATTTTACTTGGATCCTCGCTCGACAATGAAGTGGTAATGTTTTCCGAAAATTTTTAACATTAGGGCACTTTAAATGTTTATGTAAGCAATCGTTTGTTAAAGGGTGTGAAAGTTTTTGGGAAATATCTCAATGGTCTTCTTAAATATCTCAAAGGATATTTTTAATCTAACGCTTAGCGGCACCATAGTAAAAATTCACCCAGTATACATTTGTTTTAAATGCTAAAACTTTTTCAAATTAATTTCTTTTCTTAGTTGGATACTGAAATCGACGAAAGCATTTTATTGGACACCCTTGAAAATAACAAAGAGGATAATGTGTTGTTCTCGGAAGATGCCTCACCTCGGAAGGAAACCAAAGAGGAATTTGTTGGCGCCTCAATAAAAGAACAGGCACATAAGGTTTTTCTTGCAAAATGTTATTATGACAGTGTTTTTGTAGGATGATGCATTTGAATTGGATTATGAAGAGGACGATGAGACTGAAGAGCGCGTGGATAGATTTGAACCCGAACGTCCGGAACACAAAACGTTGTATAAGGTGTGTTTCTTTATTTGGCTAAATGACTTGTGTTTCTTATTTTTATTTTTAGACTAAAGAAGAATCATCTTCTCAATCAAATGACAACGTGGAAACTATCTTTAAAGTTCGCATCCAACCTAATCATTTACGAGCCGGCTTTCCTGATGGTGCAAACTTTGGATGGTTCGTATCTTTTTTAAAAAAAATGATCGATTTAAAATAGGAAGGTGACTGCTGCATTACAAGGACAGCCGACAAATGCAGGTTCTGGAAGTCCGGTTAGTGTTTGAAGAATTGCATCACTAATTTGTTTTAGATGAAAGTTAGTTTAATAAGTGGATTGGCGCGCATTCCCGGAATGGGCATTCCACCCCCAAATTTCGGAGCACCACCTCCTAATATGCCAGGTTTTTTTTTGCAAATAACGATGCAATAGCTTTTCTTTCTATAGGAAAATGGGCAGTGGATTCTTCTCGTGCTATTAAGCCAGGATCATATCCTCCAGCTTCCAAAAATAAACCGCCTTCGCTTCTCAAAATGAATATAGCAGAACCCATAGTGCTTCCTGGAAAGAAAATATTGGTTAACCCAAAATTTTCCCAAGGTTGGTTATTTAACAATAGCATTTATTACATTCCAAACCAACTTAAGGAGGAATCTCGGTTCCACCCCCAATGCTAAACGTACCACCTCCAGCTCTGAATATCAGCGTCCCATCTTCAAATCTTTTTGAAAAGCAACCTCCTGGTGAACCATATTTTCTATTGAATATATCTATAAAACAGATTGCCTATTTCTTTTTATTTGTTTTTTATAGTTTCAAAATATTTTAGCGATGGGACAATGGGACGCTCAAGTTGCCGCATTTCTTGCCTCGTCTAGTGGAAAGACTCGCAAACGTCGCTCAAGATCTCGCTCTGAAAGCAGCGAGTCATATGATAGATCCTCGGATTCGAATAGGTATATTTTTAATATCTGGTAGACTTTTTACTATTACACGGTATATGGTAGACTTTTTTTTATAGTATATTGACTCAAAATAACAATTTAAGCGGGCGGTCACGTTCCCGGTCCCATTCAAAGGATCGGCGAAACAACTTAGGAACAACACGCTCAAGACCACAGAGGTTAAATGATTTTGATATTAAATATGCTCACTAGATGCCTTAAATTTAACAATTTTTCTATTTTAGAGGTGATCGAACTAATTGGAATCGCTCAAGAGGGCACACACATCGAGCTGTCACCGAGGTTTATTTTACTATGAGATATAAAGTAAACACAAAGTTGCGATTCAATGGGGTATAACTTTGTATAGAGCTTTAAATTGTTTTAGGATACCCTTGAAAGCGCAAAAGCCCTGGGACTTGATCAAGAATATTTGCGAAAAGTGGAAGAACAAAAGAGAAGGCGTGAAGAAACTTTGAAGCGAAAGCATAATAGTAGTAGCAATGTCAAGTAAGTGCCTTTTTTTAAATAACATATTTTCTTTTGTAGATCGGAGCCGCCGCGAAAAATTTCACCTTCATCAATGCAACATGGAGATGAACAAAAGAATAAACTCAGGGTAAGCTTTCTGCTATCTTACTATTTATAAAAAATTTTAGGCATATTTGGTTGTTCGTATTGTCAATTTATCGGCGCTTGGTGGATTTGCACTGAAAAAAGTGACGCAATTAGCCAAAGAACACGCAGAAGTCAAAGTATTATATTCCTCCTTGTTGCTTTCTAATCTAATTTCATTTAGAAATGTTGGCAAGACGACGCAGATGTGGTTTCTGTAATATTTTCGGAGCACGACAAAGCCAAAACTTTTATGTTAAAACATAATTCGTAAGTGTCTAAAACAATTTTCCTACATTATTTGCCGTTTAGAAAAGTTTGGAGTGGTGTGCGCGTTTCTGTCAACCTGGAGAAAATCTATTTAAATTTAACGAACACTTAAATCATTTGGACCAAATATTGTCAATTTTAATTCTTGTTATTAATTTGTTTTTGATTTAGTTAATTTGTTAAGGAGATTTCACGATTTATCCGTTTTACTATTTGTCCCTATTTCCAAAGCTTTTCACTATTAAATCTTTACTTTTTAAATTTTTTATCATCATCGTGTTCTTTATGAAAACGGGTGTATCAGATTGTGAGTTAAAATCATTCGTCGAATAAAATGTTAGCTTAAATCCCTTCTTGAATCTACACACACTTGCCTAAGATGCTTTTACAAAATCGAAATATAGTGTGGTGTGTGATTGCTTATGAGAATTGCTTTCGGGATTTCACGGAATAAGTGGATTCTTTGAGAAGAACTGGCAGCGGCCCACGCGGTGATAAATGTCTTCTTTGAATTTCGCAGCAACTAAAGAATCTTGAAAGAAGCCCTCAAATGGGCATTCTAGCAACCCTTTCCCCCCAATACTCTTGTTCTAATTTTAAAAATGTTTTTACTTTTAGATATTTTTTTATTCTGGCTGCCTAGATTTCCTTTCTCATAATTTTTCGGACTATGCCTTGGGATTTGGGTAAACCAGAAAAGCATTATTATTACATATTAGCATTCCAAGTGTAGGCTCAATTAGCATTTTTGGATTCGATTACACAGTTATTAGGCACATTTTTTGGTTCTTTGGCTGAAAAACCTTAAACTTTTTACTTTACAAGTCCCTCGTTTGGAGTATTCCCAGCTAATCTAAACCTTTCCATTCACAACTTTCCTCTTCCTAAAGTATCCACTGAACCGTGAATTTTGGCTTTTCACACACCAGAGCACTTTTCTTTTATCTATGCGCATCGAAAAAGAAAGTGCTTTTCTGAAAATTTTCTTAATTTTTATGCAAACGGCTTTGAAAAATTTTAAATTAGTATGCAAAAGATGGAAATGAATACTCTCTCACAATAAACTTTTGAATGAATCGATTCTAAATGCTCAGCATTTAGCCTAAAGCATCGCCTATGACTTGGATAAAATATGTAGCTCTTTCAAAGAACATTTTTCAAAACGAGAAGTCACGAGAAGGGGGCAAAGTCGTCAACTAAAACCAACCAGAGAGGTGAACCAGAGAAAGAAGCCGTGAAAATTGGGTTTTCGCTTCCCAAAACGCCCATCTCTGAGAAAATCCCTTCGAAAATTTGCCTTCGAAAATTCTCAGAATGGGAGCTGAACAGTCAACTGAAAGTCGTCGTGGTTTTGATTCAACAAATGTGCCTTCAACTCGAAAAATCTTGAAGAGCCATAGTTGGACCTGCTTTACCACAAAGAAATTGATCTTTGAGCCAAGAATTCCCAAAAAAGACCCAAACGATCAGCACAATTCGCGGGTAATCTCTATTTCTGAAATCTCCGCTAAAGGAACTATTCCCGAAGAGATCGCCGATTTATCATCGATTAAGCACAGTCAATCAAGCTTGGATAATCTATCTGATCAAATCGTTGCGATTTCGAAACCGTCCACTGAGGTGACAAGAGAAAATCAAGAGAAAATCATTGACTTATCCAAGTTGGTCAACTCCAGAGACACTTTCTTTCAAGCTTTACTTGATTTGGATCAATCAAAAGAAGAAAAATCATTGGAGAGGAAAGAGGAGAGTTCACGCTATAAAATCCCATCACCAAATCCGTTTTTCTGGTTGACAACGGATCAAGTAAACATGCGAGCCAAGAGTTGCGGTCCAATCATGAAGCACAAAACACCCGAATATAATCATCGGGTAATTTTTCGCAAAATTATAGGATTTCTTTTCTTCTCATTGAACTTGAAATAGAATTTCGGTTAGAGTTTGAAGGGAATTCCCTAGAGATTCGAGCTAATTTCTCTCCCTTTCACCTCCATTTTCTCCATTTTCTCCATTCCCCTCTTTTCCTATGACTTTTTAAGGAAAAAACATTTATTTAGAAAACATTTTTTAGAAAATATTTTTTTTTGCACATTTATTTAGAAAAACCTTTTAGTATAGATTTTGTAAGTTTTGTTGGTTTTGTTAGTTTTGTTGGTTGAATTAAAAGAAAAGAATTGGATGGGTCTCCGGGTGTCTCCAAACCTTGTCAGGGCAATTACCGCCGATTGGATTCCGTCCTTCTTTCTCAAATTCCACTAAAACAACACAAATTCACGAATTCTCACCGTTTTTTTTTTCCAGGCTTTTCATTTTTTAGAAAGATTTTAGATGCCACATGAGTTCTACGATAGCAATGTAATCATTTATTTAGAGGTAAGCATCTTTTGAATCTTTATCTAGCTAGATGAATAGATATTACAGTGATTAGCGAATAAAATTCGTTCATTTTACAGGTTGGAGGGAAATTGTACTCATCGACGTTGAAAACCCTGGCAAATGAGCAAAGAAATGGGCGTTTACTCGGCGGGATCATCAAGAAATGCGTCGGTTGGGATAAGAAGGCAATCTACAGGGTGGGCTTTAGAAAGATCTAGTTTTCGGTTTGCCTTTTTCGAAGCAAATCGTTTTCGGTTCAGATTGAAAGTCGAAAAAAGCTTTGAATCGATATGAAAACGAACATCGACCAAACCGATTCGATTCGATTTGAGAATTTGAAGGTTTCGGTTCAGACCGAATCGATTGGATTCTAGAATTTGAAGGTTTCGGTTCAGACCGAATCGATTGGATTCTAGAATTTGAAGGTTTCGGTTCAGACCGAACCGATTCAATTCGAACATTTGAATTTCTCGAATCAGACCGATTCGATTCGATTCTAGAATTTGAAGGTTTCGGATCAGACCGAATCGATTCTTTGAAAGATTCTTTGAAATTCTACTGCTAACCCCTTCTAGATTATATAAATAAATAATATAAATAAAAATACACAATTCTAAGCGCTTCTCAAAGCCAAACTCTTTTTCAAAAGTAGTACCTTTTTTTGGGTGACGAATTTTGTATTGAAAGGGTGCCCTTCAATTACATTATTTACGGTATTTTTAAATTCCAGGTCAACTGTGAAAAGGAGCACGACTCAAATGGTAACTATCGATATAAAGTGAGTGTAGATCATGCTGTTTTTGACTTGTAAAAGCTTTTCGGTAAAAGTTAGTGCTATCACTTTTTTTCTTTCATCATTTTATTCGCACAAAAAATTTCAGGTGCTACTCGATCGCGATCGTGAGATTTTCGCCTACATTCTGCGCTTTTTACGCTACGGAGAGGTGATGGCGTTGCCCACTGATGTCACACTTTTGGATCATATTTATGTAAGTGGATTTAAAATTTAAAATTTAGATTTAAAGATTTCCGCAAACACATTTGAGTCGATTAACGATAGTCCATTCGATAGTCCATTCGATAGTCTATTCGATAGTCTATTCGATAGTCGATTCAATAGTCTATTCAATAGTCTATTCGATAGTCCATTCGATAGTCTATTCGATAGTCTATTAACGAACGATAAAATATCTTTCATATATGTTTCTTTTCGTAGTAATTGGCGTTAAAATCTTTAAAATTTCTTTATAAAACCTTTAGTTAAAAGCTATAAAGTTAAAATAGTTAAAATAGTTTTCAAAAGAGTTAAAATAGCTAAAATGCATTTTAAATGTAAGATGGTGTTGTCCATTGATGATAAATTTAGCTGAAATGATCAATTGTTTTTTTCATTTCAGCGTGAAGCTGACTTTTTCGGTATGGGGAAATTGAAAGCATTGGTGAAGAAAAAGATTGAAGATGAACGGGAAAAGGTGAGAGCACGAGATCGAAGAGATGAGCAACGAGATGCCGCTATGAAGCTCCTTCTCGAAGAGGTGAGTAGAGTTTTTTTCTTTTGAAAATCCGTGCCTGGTTGATTGATTTCTGAGTTTTGAATAATTGTACGATACCACTTTTAGATAATTCGATTACGTCAAGAAATCGAAGCGACTCGCTCGAATTCTGAAGAAGAGTGGCAAGAGAATATAATTCTTTAAGAAATCATGTAAATAAAAAAAAAGCCAAATTTTTATAGAAGACACGAAATCCTAAAAATTGTATGAAAAGAAAGACTAGGACAGTGGCAAGTTATCGCTTCATAAAAAGAAACAGATAGAAATATTGAAGAAATTGTAGAAGCTTAGTAGTAGTCTCGTTGTTGATAAGGAGGTGGAGCGATTGAGGGACCGTCAAGTGAAGATCGATTTCTGAAATCAATGAAATACTATCAGACTGTAGCTCTCTAGAATTCGAAAAGGCGACTAAGCCTAAGCCTGAGCCTGAGCCTGAGCCTGAGCCTAAGCCTAAGCCTGAGCCTGAGCCTGAGCCTGAGCCTAAGCCTGAGCCTGAGCCTGAGCCTAAGCCTGAGCCTGAGCCTAAGCCTTTACACACAATATCTTCATCTCATTATCTTTTCAATCAATAAAAAAAAACAAAGAATCCCAAAGATTTTCAAAAAAAAGCGAAAACCAGGTCTTGACGGGGCTCAAACCAACGACCTACTCTTTGTAGAAACATAAGTTCATATAGCATTCATATACACTACTGGACAATGAAATATCATATTTGAAAAACGATCGTCACTTTCGCGCGTCTGTAACTCCCTTGTCTTTACCGTATTTCAAAATATTAATATTACCATTGTGTAGCCCTTGAAAAGAGCTTTCAGAAAATGTATAACACTAATAGTTTAAACTCAAAGACAAGGGAGTTGCAGACGCGTGAAAGTGACGATCGTTTTTCAAATATGATATTTCATTGTCCAGTACTGTATGTTCTGTTGTATGCCTACTGGTGTTGACACTCAAAATTAGCTGCCTATCATCCATATATCATTCATATATCATTCATATATGATAATCATAAAGCTCCATAAACACTACAACACTAGACCAAATGATTCTCAATTTCTACCTTTGATAAGGCTGATTTACAAGAGGTCCATCCATCGACGAATGCCGTTCTTTCTTGAACAATGAAGCCAATTGTGTGAGTCTCGCTTTTGATGCTAAATTTGGAATTGCAAGAATTTCGGGTAGCACTTTACACTCACATTTGCTCATATCTTTTAAGCGAGCTTTAAATTCAGTGTCTTGATTTGTTTGATTGTAGCCAAGGGTTACTGTATGCGGAAAGGGATCAGCGCCCACTGATTGCTCGTATGCATCGGCACCTGAAAGGAGATTGATTGATGAGAAAAATTCGATCAAAAATCGACTTGTTGTTGCATGAGGAGTGTAAACAGGTGGCGGGTGTCCTTTCGTCATTGTGTTGAGTTTTGTTTTCATCTTTTGCGCGAATCCAGGCTTTGAGTTGATTACAAGTCCATCTGGAATAGACAAAAGTCGAACTGTCAGAGTATAAATGCTTCTAATTTACTTTAAATCTACTGAATTGACATGATCTATAGCTCAAAAAATAGAGAATTTCAAGAGCTTTTGAATGGTCTAAAGCGCACTAAAAAATAGCAATTCTAAAGAAAGTTATAGTGGCTTCCTAGTTACTCGAAATGGATAGGAGTTGAAGCGATTGAGTCAGGCTATAAACTACTGTAACTTTCCTTAGAATTGCTATTTTTTTAGTGCACTTTAGACCATTCAAAAGCTCTTGAAATTCTCTATTTTTTGAGCTATAGATCATGTCAATTCGATAGATTTAAAGTAAATTAGAAGTGTGACAATTAGAGTGTGTAAATTAGAAGTAAATTTATAGTGTGACAGTTCGATTTTTTATAGTACCCATGTCTTTTTGTAGTACCCAGTGCTCATGTCTAATCTGGAATCATGATTTTACAAGTTTTTTTTTTTGGGTCTTCATAGGTTTTTATAGCACCAAACACGCTTTTCACGCACCAACAACTGGACCATCGGGAACTGGTTGCATGGCTTGGGCAGGCATGTAACAATTTCGATTTGGTTTCCGGATTGATGCATTGTAATTTGGTGGGACTAAATTTCATAAAAACATAAAAACAAGCATTAACACTAAATTTTTCGAATTCTTGAACAAACCTCGATTATTCCCAAAGACATCTCGCACAAATTCGGGATCTCTTTTCAAATACGAAACAAATTCCTTATTTTGTAACATTAACGCGATTTGCTCGTCTTCAAGAATTCTGAAAAAAGAAAACTTCTAAAATGGCAAACTTTTCTCAACCTTGCTTCTCTCTCATCACATACTCGATCCAATTTTTGCTCGTTTTCGTTGAGTTTATGGCGGAGGATCGCCGTCTCTCGACAAATCTCATCCACACTCTGAATTTGAGTACATTGAAGTTACATTTAAGTTACTTTTAAGTTACTTTTAAGTTACTTTTAAGTCACATTCAGTTGAGTAAATTTAAGATCAAATTTGAAAATCAATAAGATCAATTCAATGTGTTTTTCAAAATCCTTTTTATTCAACCACTTACCAATCTCGGCTCACGAGCTCGATGTGAAGTCGACGGAGCGTGACGAAAATTTTGCGCTGCTCCATTTCTCAGCAAAGATTCGTTTATTGAGTGAGCCTGAAATCAAGTTTACGATTCAAATAAAGCAATAAGATAAAAATATACAATTGTTCAATAGTGATACAAACAAAACAAAAGTAGTCCTAAGCCCTAAATCTAGGGATAAAAGAACCAAGAACCCTTGACCTCTCGATTAAGATACGAGGCTCTTAGCCAGTCGCCCATAAACGACTCGTTAAGGCTGTGAAACTTTAACAGGAAATGGCGCCTCCACTTCCAATCTTGATCCCCCGACCACTCTCCTGTCGAAGAGGTTCCGACTGTCCGTTTGGATCATTGTGTCAAATGGATCTCTCTCGGGTTTCACAGTGTCAAGTAAATTTTCTATTTTTGCTTTTCTCACTCATTTCCAGAGTCCCATTGTGTCAAGTTGAATGTTGAATGCTAAAAATACCTGTGCATATGTATCGGAAAGGTCGTTCGATTGAGCACGGCGCTGCTGGGTGATCGGACGGGGTTTCGCGGGCGGACTCGATGAAGAATTTGGCTGAAAATTTCACTTTTTAAATCCCAGACAAGCTAAGTTTAAAGCTTTTCTAGTCTTTGTATTTATTATTGTATTTTGCACCTCATTGTGCCCCTCAGCAAGCAAATGATCAATGGTGTTGGCCACATCACCCTCATTTGCGCGTAAAGCTCGCTCGATTCGCTCTCTAGGGAAATCGGGAAACATTTCCTGAAAAGTTAAATGCAAATTGAGTTACCGTATTCTCTCTAATAGTAGTGCACCCGGTCGAGCCGAGTTGGTCACTATTTTACGGTTTCCAAGCTTTTCCAGAAGCTCAACCCTCTAATCCCCCACTAGATCTCATTGTCAGGTACATTTTCCGATCCCACATCGATAGGTTCTGATAAGCGGTTCTCGAGATTTCGAGTAATTTAGGCAAAGCTTTGGGTGCACTACTATTAGAGAAAATACGGTAGTCGTGGCGCAGCCGGGAGCGGGCATTTCTACGGCCCACACGACCGATTTGTTCGACCTATCGTTTCAAGATGAGATTCAGAGCTATCACATTCATTGTAATACCGTATTTTCTCTAATAGTAGTGCACCCGGCCGAGCCGAGTTGGTGACTATTTTACGGTTTCCAAGCTTTTGCAGAAGCTCAACCCTCAAATCCCCACTAGATCTCATCGTCAGCTACATTTTCCAATCCCACATCAATAGGCTCTGATAAGCGGTTCTCGAGATTTCGAGCAATTTAGCAATTTCAGCAAAGCTTTGGGTTCACTACTATTAGAGAAAATACGGTTCTAGACATAAGAAAATTCAAGGCCGAACCTAATTCCATCTAATTCCATCTAATTCCATCTAATTCCATCTAATTCCTAATTCCATTACTCCACAAAAATTTCGATTTTTCAAACTCATTTTTTTCAGATATGATTATTTCTTATTGCTCACTTGAAAATCTTTCATCGCCGTTTCAAATTCCAAAAGCCCATTTTCGGACCCAGCTTGACTCATTTTCCTTTTTGCGATGCTGAAAATCGAAAAAATTTTTATGTAAAATTTTTCTGAGTAATGAAAGCGAAAAAAAAAGAAAATGACTTTTCTGAATACTAATGTAAAAAAAAACTTTTAAGGCAGGCGGTTTTTTTTTTGATGGAACACCTGGATTTTTTTTTTTTGATAGCTCTTCGAGGCTCCAGGCTGGGGACATGTGATAAAAAGAGAAAAGAAGAGAGACGAAAACAAAGGGACATTTTGACCGATTGTTCAAAAAAATAGGCGAAATGTTTTACGTGATAAAATATTATTTTAAGATCGAAACTAGAGAGCCGAGCCTTGTGAGAGTGTTTTGGGGGAATTTCACATTTGTTTACGATTGATTCCGCAAAAAAGGAATCGAAGAAGTACTAGGTTTTCAAGATTTTAATAGAATGGGGATTCTTAAGACTGTAAGACTTGAAGTTTATAGGGTCAAAACGCTCAAATTCTTGTAAGTCTTGTACTTTGTAAGGTAAAAACGCTCAAATTCTTGTAAGACTTGAACTTTGTAAGGTCAAAACGCTCAAATTCTTGTAAGACTTGAACTTTGTAAGGTCAAAACGCTCAAATTCTTGTAAGACTTGAACTTTGTAAGGTCAAAACGCTCAAATTCTTGTAAGACTTGAACTTTGTAAGGTCAAAACGCTCAAATTCTTGTAAGACTTGAACTTTGTAGGTCAAACGCTCAAATCTTAAGACTTGAACTTTGTAAGGTCAAAACGCCAAATTCTTGTAAGACTTGAACTTTGTAGGTCAAAACGCTCAAATTCTTGTAAGACTTGGACTTTGTAGGTCAAAACGTCAAATTCTTGTAAGACTTGAACTTTGTAAGGTCAAAACGCTCAAATTCTTGTAAGTCTTGTACTTTGTAAGGTAAAGACGATCAAATTCTTGTAAGTCTTGTACTTTGTAAGGTAAAAACGATCAAATTCTTGTAAGGCTTGTACTTTGTAAGGTAAAATCCATCAAATTCTTTTAAGTCTTGAACTTTGTAAGGTAAAAACGATGAAAGCAATTTTCTGGAAGACTTGAGCCGTTGTTTACCGCTAGTTTGTAAAAATAGCACACTTTTGCAGTAAAGTTTTTTTGAAAATTGAATATTGAGCAACAAAAAAAAAGGTGAGTGCCGAATCGATGGCCGCTTTTTTAGAGAGAAGAGAAGAGTGGAACAATATGAGAAAAGAAGAAGCGGCCGCAAGAGGAGACAACCAGTTATATAATCACTTTCTTTTAGTCGCCTTTTCTCATTCAAGACTCATACACGGTAAATATTTAAACAACTTTAAAAAACTTTAAAAAAATTTTAAAAAACTTAAAACAACAACCGGTAACTTTGTGAGTGGGGATTGGTGTTGAAATATCGAAAATATTTGCTCGTTTGACTTGTTGAGAGATCGGTTTCGAAAAAAAGCGGAAATTTTGCAAGAGCCCGTGCTTTTTTTTCACTAATTTGTGTGAAAAAATTTACTAATGAGTGCAATGAGAGCTGGGTAGTCTTTTTTTGGTGTTGGAAAAGAGTCAAAAGATGGGTGTATTTGCTCGTGACTCGATCTCTGACTCATTCTCTCTCTCTTTCTCTTTCTCTTTCTCTTTCTCTCTTCTTCTCTTTCTCTTTCTCTTTCTCTTTCTCTTTCTCTTTTCCTTTCTCTTTTCTTTCTCTTTTTCTTTCTCTTTCTCTAAACCATATTTCGTTGTACTCTTTAGTCTTTAAAATCTATTTCATTAAACAAAAGAACAAAACTGGTTCTATTATAGAATTTAAAGCCACTTTGATATCTTTTATAGAAAAATTTTTTCTTTTTAAATTCTTTAATGTAAAACTTGAATTTAATAACTTTTGGTATCCATGGATCAATAAATTAGAACTTAATATCAATGGATCATTAGTTTTGGTTCATTATTTCCAAAACAATATCAACACAACAAATCAACAATATCAACACATCAACAAAACGGATCAATAAATTAGAACTTAATATCAATGGATCAGTTTTGGTTCATTAGTTCCAAAACAATATCCACGGATCAATAAATTAGAATTTAATATCAATGGATCATTAGTTTTGGTTCATTAGTTCCAAAACAATATCCACGGATCAATAAATTAGAATTTAATATCAATGGATCAGTTTTGGTTCATTAGTTCCAAAACTTAATATCCACGGATCAATAAATTAGAATTTAATATCAATGGATCAGTTTTGGTTCATTAGTTCCAAAACAATATCCACGGATCAATAAATTAGAATTTAATATCAATGGATCATTAGTTTTGGTTCATTAGTTCCAAAACAATATCCACGGATCAATAAATTAGAATTTAATATCAATGGATCATTAGTTTTGGTTCATTAGTTCCAAAACAATATCCACGGATCAATAAATTAAAAATTTCATCTCAATAAAAACCAATTTCAATTTTTTAATAACAAATTTAGATATGGGAAAAATAAACGCAAAAAAAGTCGAAGAAAAAGATGAAGATGAGGAGAAAAGAACGGGGATTCTTGGAATGGAAAATTTTTTAGGAAAATTATTGCATAAGAATCTTAATAATGAGCTCAGGCTCTAAAGAGCTAAGAAAAGTGAAGAGATTCGTGAAAGAAGGAAACTTTTAAGGGAATGCTTTTTACTGTTTGAGCGCGCCCACCAGCAGAAGATGTGTCACTCGTCTGCTTCTTCTTCTTCTTCCCCCCTCCACTCCTCTCCGCTTTTGATAAGGAATAAAACCAAAACTAATGAAAAATTTCCCATTCACCAGATTTATATGTGTCGTAGCTGTAGAAAAAAACCTAAGAGAAGAAATTCTATGCGGTGATGAAAAAAAATTCGAATTTGGGGTTTCTAAAAAATTGTTTTTTTATTTTTTTTTATTTTATAGTAAATTACTATTGTCAGCTTCGAGCCAAACTGAGATTTTAGTTACTATTACGATTTGAGCACTTTTATCAAAGAAACCTATTAAAGAAACCTTTTTTCAAAAGACAAAAGATAGAGAATAAAAACTTAAGTAAATAGTATCAGCTCCAAGCTCTCTTATTTACTATTGTTGTTAGTATTGTTATTATTGAATGATTTGTCTATTCTTATGCAAATGTGTTCTCCCCTGTGCTTATCCATTTTTATTGCCGAGAAGGGGCGGTCCTTAGGATTGTATAGGAGGATAAGTGAGGAGCCTAGGAGGACAGTGAGGAGCCTAGGAGGACAAGTGAGACTCTCATTTGGAGTCCCCCCTTCCCCTTACACTTATTTGTAATCTATTCGTCTTATTATACTACTGTAAATAAAGATACATATCTTCCGGGTCTATGCAACTGCAGTACAGGTCGGTCATTTCACAGGGACTCCCCTCTAATACGTCGGAGGAGTTGAGGTGGGTTGTCGGGGTGTTAGAGATGGCGGGATATCAAAAGGGATCCACTCTCTTTAACTTAACCCAAATTCTAGTCCACATCCGTTTATACCTAGGAACGTATACTATAAAAGTAGTGCATTTTAAGCTCCATTTTTGCAAATCCGAGCTTATCTTGGCTAACAAAAATGGCCACATTTTAGCAGCAATCACGTTTAAAGTCTTATATGAAATGTAGAAAGTTTTAAATTTTTACATAAACTCACAAATCTAGTGAAAAAATGCCCGTGGATTTTAAATACCCTATTCCCTCTAATAGTAGTGCACCCTGCCGAGCCGAGTTGGAGACTATTTCACGGTTTCCAAGCTTTTCCAGAAGCTCAACCCTCTAATCCCCCCACTAGATCTCATCGTCAGCTACATTTTCCGACCCCACATCAATAGGTTCTGATAATCGGTTCTCGAGATTTCGAGCAATTTAGGCAAAGATTTGGGTTCACTACTATTAGAGAGAATACGGTAATCATTTTTATCTTTATTCTCACAGAATTTATCATCCCTTCTCAAGTACCATATATCTCGAGAACCGATATTTCTCTAATAGTAGTGCACCCTGCCGAGCCGAGTTGGTGACTATTTTATGGTTTCCAAGCTTTTTGCAGAAGCTCAACACTCAAATCCCCACTAGATCTCATCGTCAGCTACATTTTCCGACGCCACATCAATAGGTTCTGATAATCGATTCTCGAGATTTCGAGCAATTTAGGCAAATATTTGGGTTCACTACTATTAGAGAGAATATGTTAGTTGAAAAATATTTGGATAGTTTTCAGCCAAATCAACCTATTCCCGAATTTATTTTCGGTAGACGGACTGACAGACCTCACATTTTATATATGTTTTATATATATAGCCGATAAGATTTAAAGACTATCAGATCGTCTATCAGACAACGTTTAAAACTATCGACTAGCCAAAAAGATTTCAAACCTCTTTGGCTAACCGATATGCTTTGAAAACTTTTTAGCTAACCGAGAAAATTCAAACCTTTTTGTCTACAAGATTGAATTGAAATAAAATAATTGAAAAAGAAGAGAAATAGGTCATTAGTAATTTGATAAAAATGATTGCCTCTTGAAATTAAGAGCTGGGGAAACCTTTTTGCATTATTAGCTTTGATCGTCTAATGCTTTCAAAAGCTAAGCTAAAAATAAGATAAAAATGGGCACTTTCAAGAAAAGCGAACTTCTCGAATTGAAGAAGCGATTTCATAACATTTATTCAAAAAAGAAAACAGATGAGTGTGACGAGGAAAACATTTTCTAAATAGTTGTTTTGCGAGTGTTTGGTTGGTCGCATTGAAGAAAGAGAAAGAGAAAGAGAAAATGGGAAAAAGGAATGGAAAAAGAAGAGTACCTTGTGCCTCTCTCATCGCTCTCGATCCTTTTCCCTAAGTGTGTCACCGAGAGGATGGGGGTGAAGAGGCTAAAGGGGGAGTTCCCCTTCTCTAACCTCTAAGGCAAGCTCAGATTGAGGACTCAGGGTTCTTTTCAGTGTCCCTCAGGACTCTTTGGCTTTTTAGAAACTCCTTAGCTAGGCAAAACGATTTCCGGTGGCCCATCCA